TAGCGCGTGCGCGCTGTATCATAAGGTTTGTCATTGAGTCAACTGACGTGGTTTCGATCCGCCGGTTGTACGTGACAAGGAGTAGGGTCGCCTGTCCATCCTGGTGGGTTTTCTCCGGGTTCTCCGGTTTCCTCCCACGTCTAAGGACCCATACGCGCATGTAAATTATTGAAATAAGATTGAACCATACGTTAGTCTCGAAATGAACTAGTTTGTGTCGAGTGGACGTTAAACCCCGACCCGTCTCTCTGTCTCAATCTGTCTGTCTGTCTGTCTGTCTGTCTGTCTGTCTCTCTCTCTCTCTCTCTCTCTCTCTCTCTGTAAACCTTGGTTAGATATTTTTATACTTCTCAAATAAGCGGGAAAGTAACAGTTAATATACCATCACTCGACTCTCGATATATGATTCTTGTGTTATATGTTAGTATATATAGATATTGCTTTGTATCGTGACTTAAGTATAAATTTGAAACTTAAATATTATACGTAAAGGAGCTAAATCGCTAATATCTTGGACCAAGAAGTTGACACAAATGAGTCGCAACACATATAATAATGTAATATGAATGTATATAAATTGATTTACATTCAATCGTTTCCATTTTGACTGTAATTTCAAATCAGTTATGGTCGGCGAAATACGCCAGAAGTTTCAATCGAATGGCAACCTCTGGCGTCTGTCATGCTCTCCAGATAAAAATATGGGGTCACCGTTTGACATGACTTGTGGAATATGTCTAGCCTCGATCTCGAGTCCCTTGTTACAAATGGTTTTGAAACGTATTATGGTACACGATTCGTGTACCAATGGTAAAATGTTTATTTTGTCTTAAATATTGGATATCAGAAGCCTATTTTCCCCGTAAGATTACAACGTCAATGTTGATTTAAATTGACAAATAATTCGTGTTTTCTGTGTCAAATACATTGGATCATATTGAGTTAGATACTTAGCTACTTTAAACATACATTATGCAAGAGCTAAATCTGCCTATTGCAGGTCTTTCTTAAGGCCTGGAATGTTACCTAAATTATTAGACATTAATTAACTTATCCAGATCGTAATCAACTCTCGATGTCATCGCTAGCCTGCGATTATTACTGGGTTAGGATCCGATTTGCTGCTCAACTTTCATTCATGATTTAATCATGAAATGGATAATCGAGACTATGTCTTTTATCGTACCGACTTTAGTGGATAATTCGACTGATATTTTCAGCAAATTCCCTTTACATTATCTAGTTTTTAACTATTATAATGAGAACGGCCAGCTCTTTATCTACTCTTCCATAATGTGTCTTTAATTATTATCCCTTTACTCCCTTTACTATGATTGAATTACATGTCAGTCTGTTGATTCATCTTGACATCGATAGGCTTCGGATACAATTAGCGACGGCTAAATAAAGCAAACACGGAACAACTAAAGTGACATTTTTGTATACAAGAACTTTTTTTTTTTAGGTTTTTACCCATTTTCTATATATTACTCCTTCATATGTAAATAACTTAATTAAATCAACCTGTTCAGAATATCATGAATAATGTATAGGGCATTAAATTAGTAATAAACAACAAGACACAGATAGAATAAACATCTAAGCCAAGGAGAATAAAGTAAGGAGGAAAAACAATAGAACAGGAGAAGAGTATAAATGAAATGAAATGAAATGGGCTTTAAGGTTCTAGTCTGGAGGCCGCGTGTTCGAACCCTGCATTGGCCGAGGGAGTTCATCGGATTTTCCGACGTGGTTTCCCCTTGTTAGTGGTGCAGGACGGAGGGCCTGACAAGGACAGCCGTCTAGTCGTTCGGATGGTATAAAAAAAACTGAGGTGCCGTGTATACATTGGCGGGCACGGGAATTCGATATACGAGTAGGCCATAGTGCCACTGCCCGGGCAAAATTTCCCTCATAGCACACTGTATGTGCCCGTCTTCATTAGCCCATCGGGGCAGAACAGTAGGACGTTAAACTCTATTTCATTTCATTTTTGTCCGCCGGTTTGTCTTGTCGGTTATGTTTTGCGTGTAGTGTGGTTCTCCTGAACACGTTTAAAGTAGGTTGTTATTTCTTGTGGAGTTAAGAATAATTGATTAAGATATAGTCGATGATATTTAGGAACATTTAAATTCTTTAATTGTAAATCATGTTAAAAATCAGTTTTACTTGGTGTGCTAATACGTTTAAAACCAAATGTAGGTATATTTTACCAAAACTCCTAAATATTAGAGTACACAAGCAAACTCGCAACCCAACATACGGTGTACATATCACACTGTTGTCAGAATGTCTCCTCAAATAAATCCTTTGTATTGTGCTTGAAAACGACAAGAGAATCATGAATTGTAGAAACGTAGCTTCGATTAAAATACAGTAAATGCTTTCAAACAGGGGTTTAGTAAGTGGGACGCCTTGATTTAGAGTTTTTGTGTCCCTTCTCAAATGGCAAAAAAATCACGCGGTTTCAATGCGGTTTTCAACATGCATTATGCTCAACCAGTGTCCGACATATACCGTGCGTCATGGTTTAGAGTTTTTGTGTCCCTTCTCAAATGGCAAAAAAATCACGCGGGGTCAATGCGGTTTTCAACATGCATTATGCTCAACCAGTGTCAAACATATACCGTGGGTCAGATATGTTACAAATCGACTCTAGCATGTTCCACACAGCACAATATTACCCGGTGGCACTGGGTGGGACTGGCACCCCCCCCCCTCCCCGGACGGGATCTTGTCCCTCGTGCAAAACCATGGGTCACCACTCTCTCGTTTTCTATAGAATTAGAACTGTCGTGATTAAATTAAAAATAGGGGTCACGGTGGCTAAGTGGGTAAGACGCTGGCTCGCTAGCCTAGAGGTCAGGTGTTCGATCCCTGCATTGGCCGAGAAAGTTCACCCAGATTTTCCGGCGTGGTCCCCCCTTGTCAGTGATGCAGGACGGAGGGCCTGACAAGGACAGCTGTCTGGTTATTCGGTTGAGACGAAAAACCGAGGTCCCGTGTACACATTGGCGTGCACGTAAAAGTCCCTTTGACAGCTGGAATTCGATATAAGAGTAGGCCGCTGTCCGGGCAAAATTTCCCCCATAGCACACTGTATGGCGTATGTCCGTCTTCATTAGCCCAGTTCGGAGCAAAACAGTAGGACGTTAAACCCCATTTCACTTCGTTTAATTTAATATGTTCAATTACTAAATGCTGTTTAAACAGTATACCTTTTTATGCTATCGTCTAGAACACTCGGAAGGGTCAACTTATCCCTAACACCCTAAATACAGATTATCAATGGTGAAAATTATTCAAAATATATTATGTAAAATTCAGATAAAGAGCTGACCGTTCTCGCTATAATACTTCAAAAATAGATTATAGAAAATATATATATTGAACATTGCATTTAATTTTAATAACTTTATTCTGAGCGAAGTTTTGTCCAAAAAATAACTAATTGTCAAGTACCATTGCAATGATAAACTGAGTAGCCTAACGTCCATTTTAACGTTAACCGACTATATGGGGTGGATTTTCTAATCCATTATATATCTCAGCCATCCGATGGTCTTGGTTATTAACGGAAATGAAATGAAATGGATTGGTTATTAACGGGCTTGTAATTAAAGTCAGAAAAAGACCCACAATAATAGGCATATTCAGCTCTTTAATGGAAAATTTTGATTACCTTTATCCGTGTACTCTGTTGACATATTGTCGGTAGTTAAAGACGGTATAGGATGTCACCTATATTACAATATATCCCAGTGTATTATTAAGAAGATTTTGACTGGATAAGATTATAATTACGTATTAAGTGGGAGTGGTTAATTATTTATAGCCTAATATTGTGAAATGTTATTCAAATAAATAGTAATATATTTCATACTGCGGTTTCAAATATTAGCCATAACAATTTTCAACAGACAGTTGTTTTTCACATGCTTAATAAAAGAATATTTACGTGTATTTAGCTGTATCGCTCGACTTTCAATCTACTGCCAAGAAACGTATTTCCACTCACAGAATAAAGAATATTTACATGTATTTAGCTGTAACGATCGACTTTCAATCTACTTCCAAGAAAATTATTTCCACTTACAGAAAAAAGGATATTTTAAGTGTAATTTAATAGCTGTATTGATCAACAATCAATCTATTTTTTGTAAAAAAAAATTGCGGTAAGTCTTTGTTGTTCTTCTTCTTCGCCGTCCGATTTAAGGAAACGATTCTCGGGGATCCAGGACATTGTGTTTAAAAAGAATACAGTGGGCTACGAGGGAAATTTTGCCTGAACAGCGACACTACGATCAACTCTTATATCGAATTCCAACTGTCAAGGGATCTTTTACGTGCACGCCAATGTGTACACGGGACCTCGGTTTTTCGTCCCACCCGAATGACTAAACAGATGTCCTTGTCAGACCCTCCATCCTGCATCACTGACAAGGGGGAACCACACCGGAAATTCTGGATGAACTTTCTCGGTCATTGCAGGGATCAAACACCCGACCCCCAGGCTAGCGAGTCACCGTCTTAGCCACTTAGCCACCGTGGCTCCCCGCAGTAAAAAAAACCACATAACACAATTTATCTGGTTGTAATATTAGTTTTAGTGCCCGAAATAACCTTGTTTGTTTCGAGTGGATGTTAAACCCCATTTCCCTCTCTGTAATATTAGTTGTAGATTCCATGTGTCTGAGGCTTTAATTTATTTTAAACGTGTGACTTAAAAAAAAATGTAACCATCGCTTTAAAATTCTCTCAGTGGTAAAGCGATTTTATTATATGAGTGAATTGGGTGTTTATTTTTAGAAAATCTACTTTATAATATTATGCCAAACGTAAGAAAGAGTTCAAATACTGAATGTTTACTATGTACAGAAGTAGTGTATACAGTACATGAAACGTCCATTTAGTGACCGTAGACACGATAACCCAGTCACCGTAGACATGATAACCCAGTCAGTCAGACGTTTATCTTTGTTGGATTATAGTTCGTTTCAGAAATACCACACGAGACAAGATATTGGTATGTGTTCTTGTAATATATTTAAACACCTGTGTATATTTATAATTAACTGAAAACTTGAAATTATCTTAAGATAACGTATTATACAGCGGTAGGTAATACTTTATTTATAGGTCAATGTACAAGATACCCGAACACTTATCTCATGTTAAGGGCTGTCGGAATATCATATAATTTCTTTTAATTTGTATTACCTCCAGTTAAAAGAAATGTCTTTAATTTATAGATTTTTAAATAAGTAAATAATTTGACATTCCTAAATATATATTTTTTTTAGGATTTGTATAATAAGTCCATTTATATCGCGCAAATTTCACAAAAACACAATCACTTGCAAATATTTCTCAAATAAGAATGTTTACAATCTGGATTTGAAGGAAGCGTGGGCTAACACATTCACTTTAAATCTTAAGGTCTGCACTTATGTCAAGTGGCGGGGTTCGATCCCACACTTGTAACTGAAAAGGAGTAGGATCGCCTACCAAGCCTCGTTGGTTTGTATAAAAAAACTGAACACGTATCTCATTTTACGGACTATCGGGAAAATTTATCGCTCCTCATAATTTTCTTAAACGTTGGAAAAAAATCTGTTTAATTCATAGATTTTTTAGTTAATAAATAATTTTATATTCTTTAATATTTTTTTTTTGTAGGATTTATACATTTAAGGACCTGGGGTTGGCGGGGGTGTGGGTGGCGGGAGGTGGAGTCGAATGGGCTAACGCAATATTGCTTTTGATCATAATGCCTACCATTCAGTCAAGTGCGTGGTTCTATCCCATACTTGTACGTGACGAGGAGTAAGGTCGCCTTCCCAACCTCGGGGGTGCGAATTTTCTAAATTAAACACAATTGTACTACACTTTAGTCGCGAGATGACCTAGTTTGGGTTGAGCGGACTCTCTCTCTCTCTCTATCTCTCCTCCCCCTTCTCTCTCTCTCTCTCACTTTCTCTCCACGAGGTCGTCATGTATACCTTACATGTTATGCTTTATGATATATGAACGAAACAGAATACACTAATATATAGAGGATATTTGTCGTTTTAGAGTGAATAACATATTTTATTTCATCGAGAAGCAAGAAAACTTAACGTTTTCTTGCTTAGAGATGAAATAAAATATGTTATTCACGACAAAACGACAAATGTTCTATTTATTGTATGATTTTACAATCATTTTAGGTAAAAACAACAAGCCAGTGGAATAACATTTTTATTTCACTGATAAAACGCGGTATTCCACTTCTGATCCTAAAATAAAATAATGTTATTCAAATTCTGTTTACGTATATCTAGATCAAAATCATATCTAAATCTATAGAAAAACTACAATTGACCCGTTTATTTTCTGTTACGGGTATTCGTGTTCACCGACGTATTTGTTAACACCAATACGGCCTCTTTGTATCATCCTGTCTTAAACCAGTTAATATATAACTCGGATTAAGAATACGCACCAAATGGGAATTCTATATATTATTTGCGAAAATACTGGTTTTAAATGAAAATATGTTTTTTTTCCAATCATTTCAATGGCATGCGCAGGTTGCATATTGGGCCATATTATTCGTTAAATCTGGTTAATGCGGAATTTTATATATTGAAATGAAATGAAATGGGGTTTAACGTCCTACTGTTTTGCTCCTAAAAATTTTATATATTTCCGAAAATAATTGTTTTAATCGAAAATGACATGCCCCCCCCCCCTCTATCGTTTCAAATGCATGTCAGGTTACACATTGGGTCGTCACATTCGTTTAATGTAGAATTTTGTTTATGTATATAAAATATTTGAATGATAATGACATCATTTTCTTTTCTGTCGATTCAATGGCGTGCCGGGGTACATATTGGCCCATTATATCCGTTTATAGTGTAGATATGTTTATGGATATATTTGCGAAGATGTTCTTGACCTTGTCTGTAATAATAAGAGTGTCTGTCAACCTATGATAAGCTCTTATGATAAGTTTATATCTCATTCCACACGAGATCATCAGGTCCAATTATGATTCATTATATATTTATTTATATTATCCGATCCATCATACAGATATATAATAGTATACATTTTAATAACGTGACATGTTCTCGATATAAATATACTATATTTTTTTACATCTATCTTTATCGATGGCTACAGACTCGCTTCATCACTTTTATCATCTCTTCCGTCTTCATTAACCCAGTCGGAGCAGAACACTAAGACGTTAAACCCCAGACAAGAATTGTTATATGTTGAAGGAGTAGGGTCGCCTGTTCAACTTCGTGGGTTTTCTCCGGGTGCTCCGGTTTCCTCTCACTCTCACTGCTAAAGACCCCTAACACGCAAAATTGAACCATGTGTTAGTCCCAAAATGACCTAGTTTGTGCCGAGGGGACGTTATCTCTCTCTCTCTCTCTGTTATATGTTGACTACTGAATATAAACGTTGTGTGTGTAATAAAAAAAATATATCCACGGAAGCTCAAGTGGAACAAATTTTAAGTTGCCGGATATATTGGTTGTATTTAGGTGATATATTTAAACACCGTTTTAATTGCGTTATCCAAATTATGTGTGTCATATATAACGGATATATTTACGTTTTCAATCTTCAGCCAATGAATAATGTTTTGAATTAGATTAAATTGTAATTTCAATGAAAGACCCCACCAGTTTTATTAATGCAAAAAATAAAACAGATACAAGCAGATATAAAAGCGATAAAAAGTATTCATAAACAACATCAAATAAAACCTAAAACGCTGCGCAATTTCTGTCTATTGCAGTCTCGCATGGCTGATATTGGACAAATATGTTGCAACCATAATTTATGTAGCCGGAACTAATAACAATATACCCATTTATGCACTCCTTACAAGTAACAAATATCCATATGACGCGGAATAAATAATCTACAGTGTAGAGGTTTGGTGATACCTGCATGGGTCAACTCCGTGATTATATTGGCTAAATCTATTTGTTAAGGCCAGCTCAATTTTTGTCAAGGTCGCGAAGATGTAAATAGGGTTAGGGCACGTGATTGTTGGCGATCTTGTAGGTTGGGGTTAGGGTAAGCATTGGGCTACGTCCAGGGGCAGGGTTAGGGTTGGGATTAGCGCTTGCCCTGTTTACATCTCGTGCAATGACGAAAAATTGAGCTGGCCTTATCATTTAGCACTAACCGATTATATTATGCCTCCAAGACCCAAGTATAGGTCCTAGTAGTTCCTTCGGGAACGGTCTCTGATGGACGCTGACGTTTATTCGTCCATATTAAGCTGCAATATGAAAATATTGCTCCGTCCAGCCTCTGTTTTAAGGCTATTTTGGAATCCCCCACCTTCTATTTTTCACCGTGATTCTTTCGTTTATCGCCAAAAGGAATCCTTTCTCGCCACATTTGACACAAATTAATAATAATTCAACACTATTTTCAAATAGATTATTGTGATTAAAAAAAAAACATATACAAAATGTACGTTTGAAATGATCCGTCATGCGCATACCGCACGTTGTTTTAATCCTAAAATTTTACTTGAAAATAGTGTTAATTTTTTTTATAAATTTGTGCCAGAACGGTCAGCGGAAAGCGTCGGATCAGAAACCGTTGATAAAGGAACTAATGACCTAGTATTCAGAAATGAGAGAAAATAAGTAGAGTAGCTTGTTTAAAAGGGATAATTTCCAATTACCGCAAAAAATAATTTTAATTTCAGTTGCCCAAATGAATGCCCTTGACCGTCGCACCTCTGTAACAAGGAATACGAGCGCCTGTCTAAGCTTGTGGATGTTGAGTGGACCCTCCTGTTTCCTACCACTGCTAAAGACCCCTACACGCAAGCGAAGTATTGAAATAAAATTGAACCGTATGTTAGTCCCGAAATCCCCGCCCCCAATAATTCTTTCCTCGTTCCCCCTCCTCCAGTTAATAAACCATATTCTAGAACCGCGGGATTGATTTTCTGAATTTGCATTATTTTATGGGACAAACGATACACTTATGATGGTTGTCTTATGTTTTGGTAAATGGAAACTGAAAACAATAAACCCAGTCTTCCAGACATAGATTCTAGTCCCGAAATGACCTAGTTTGTGTCGAGTGGACGTTAAACCCCATTTCTCTCTCTCTCCAGACATAGATTCGGTTATTTCCTTAACTTGTGTGTCTTATGTTTTGGTAAATGGAAACTGAAAATAATAAACCTAGTCTTCCAGACATAGATTCGGTTATTTCCTTTACTTTCACGTATTGTTCTAAGTTTATTTATAATGTGAGAAAACTTAGGGTATTGCCGAAAGATTATTTCCCGTTGTAGGGGTTTGATTCGATGCCCGGTTTGGTTTGTTTCCTTTTGTTTGGAACTTGAGTGAAACCGCATCAATAATCTATTTATTTGACTCCAGGTTACCACAAGAATTGATTGATCATGGTGCTTCATTTTTTTTCATTATTTGTTTGAAACACACCGAGGTTTCCAACGACCCAAATGGCTAGATGTTTTATTACGTTGATTTCCTTTATTTTGTTAATGTAGAATGGTAATGAACTGCGCTTTTCATTTTATTTGTTTTATTTGTTTCGTTTGAATTTGATTTATCTGTTTAGGTTTTGATTGTTTAATTTTTGTTAATGAAGTTGATTCTTTTAAACTTCGTTTTTATTTTTGAACTCTACTTGGTGTAGGTGTTCATCAGGTAATACCTCGACTGAGTTCAATATAGAGATTAGCCGGATGATTTGTTGATATAAACCTTTGAATAATAGCGCCTAACAGGCAGCTGTGTTTAATTATGTTCTCCTGATTTTGATTGTTTCTGTGTGTTTGAAGTATATGTTTGTGATATGCGCTTAGAAACACTTCACGTGTAATGAAGCGCTATATAAATCGAACAATAATAATAATAATAAATATTTGATTTGGTGTTGCATTCCTTTTTATATGCACATTCTTCTCTTTTTACTTATTATGATATAGAATGCAGAGCTGCTCAAGTTTGTTTAGTATTCTGTTGCATGTTATGTGTGTCCGCTAATTTACTTGTCAAATTGTCAAATCAAAGATCGCATAATAAAAAGGTAAAAACACCGAGCCAAACCGGGTACCATGCCAAACCGCCACGTCGAGTAAAAAGTGCAGGTGTGAATTAAAAACAAAGTCATTATTTTAATAACGGCAAGAGAGGGTCGAGCATGGTTAACTGGCCATTGTGTAGAGGTTTAGATATAGATGACGCCATACTGCCCCAGTTTTAGTAAACTACATCAATCCTATTTTAGAAGTGGTGTGTATATATATTTGTCCAAGATTTTGTGAACAAATAGAGACACATACGTATTGTATTAAATAGGATCAACGCGACCCTGTGTTGTGGTCCACCTGAAATCTTTAAACTTAAAGGTACAACTTGCTTATGATCTCACACGCACGTGGCCACCCAAACCCCCTTTTTTGACCAAATAATGGCGTTGTGTCCAATGCAGTGGTATTGTTATTACAAAATGTACATTATTCCTTTTCACGGGCTTGTTCGAGGGGTTTGGAGCAGAACAATAGGAAGTTAAACCCATTTTATTTCATTTGTTCGAAGGGCTTTACACTTTTAATCGTATAAAATTAAAAACACAAAAAATTAGGTAAAACCAAGTACTAAAAGAATATTACAACAAAAGAAGACGATCACATGTCCAGTAGTAACATAAAAGCAAAAAGGTTATACTCAATATATATTAACAGATTTTTGACACATGCTAATCCCATTGAAAATAAACCGATTAATTTACAGAAGACTTGATTTCTTATAGTATATTCAATATAAACGTAACAATACACGAATACTGAAAAGTCTTATAAGGCGTTAAAGAGACGTTTAAAGTAACTTATAAATTATTTGAACAGAAGGAAACATATATGAAAAAAAAAAGTTTTCAGAATTAATCCCAAGTCCTTAATTTACGAAATCTTTAATTTAAATATGCTAAGAATGCTGCCTTTTTTTAATATATAAAATATATGTACTGTAGGAATATAGCCTAATTCTTAGCCAATGAAAATGCTGAATTCTTAAAATATTTAGTTTAAGTATTCGTGAATAGTTGAATTGAAAATAGATTTTATTTTTGTTTTTCCTTGTATTCGGTACTACTCTGTTAACTGGAACAAACAAAATAAACAACGTCATTAGACTGAATAACAAGATTAAAGATGCATTATGTAAGATCTAAATCTGCCTTCAGGTGTAATCTAAATTATTAATAACACATTTATTAACACAACAGGTCGATAAGCAATTTACTCTCTAGGACATCGAATGGCAGAGATTTAAATGGATTAGAAATCCCGCGAGATTTAATAATTTAACGATAAAATTGATCATCGAGGCTGTCTCGGTTGTCATGTACCGCTGCTACGATAATAAACGATCTACGCTACATTTTCAAGCAGGCATAACTTCGCCCAGAATAAAGTAATTTGCTAGAAATTTTCAATACATTCATTTTACATTATCATTTTTTGACCTGTAACCGTAAGAACAACCAGCTCTTTTTTTAAATCTCACATAATGCATCTTTAAATATATAATCCTTCAAGATACATTGGTTATCCCTATAGACCGCTCAGTTGGCATACTTAGACCAATTTCGGCAATTTTCGGTGTATTTGAAATGTTAACATTATGGTATTATGTGTGGAACTCGAGAGAATTGGTGTTTAACTTCCACTGGACGAAAACTAGTTTATTTCGGGACTAACATATGGTTCAATTCTGTTTCAATATGTCGCTTGTGCGTAAGGGTCTATAGCATTGGGAGGACCTTGGACGACACGGAGAAAACCCGCGATGGTTGGACAGACCGATCGTTGCAACGTCCATGCGGGGAATCGAAACCACGCCATCACGTGTATACTGTATAGTCTGCTTTGAGACGTATTGATGTCACAGGTATTTATTATATCTTGGTCATTAATGATTTTCATTATTTATATTTTACAGATAATAAAGTTTGATGAGAGGTGGGCCATCTAAAATCAATAATAAATGGGAGTCTTTCAACAGTTAAAACTTCTGTTTAAGAAGAATTATATTCTTCGGAAACGGCAGCCTGTAAGTATATACATATTTGAACAATACCAAGATCCCTCGCATAATTATTATTCTGACAGACAAATTCTAAATCTATCCCCCATTATGGATTTCATCTTTTAGTCCACGCCACAGAATTTAATTTTCTGTTCTTCGGGAACACTTATTCAAAATTCTGCACCCAATTTCTTCAGGAAAAGGACTAATTGAAAAACAAAAAATAAGTTTTGAAATTTTAACTGAGTTAGTTATATTTTGATTATGATCCTCAAGAAATAATAATAATATTGGTTTAGCCTAAGGCTTAGAGATATTATGACGTAAAGATCTCACGTACACCATAGGACGTGGCATATATTTTCTTAGCAACGTTTAGGCTATTCGAGAGAGCCTCGCTTTTACATTTTTTAAATTAAATCGTTAAATGTCTGAAGCGTTCTAATCTACTTACAAAATCGAAGCTATCTGGTGGCTTAGAGAGTTGATTATGAACTTGTCATGTTAATAAATGTTTATATAACATTTAAAGACAAAATAATGGGCCGCTTTACTCTGATATAATGCATCTTTATAACCAAAAATAATGTTTACGCTAAACATTATCATATTTTCTGTAGCAAAAGACCATTGGCCTTTAATTTTGATATGGGCATATTTGATGGATGGGGTGGGGTGGGTGTACTTAATTCAAGACTTGAAAGTCCAGTCACTTGATTTGATGCATACGGTTGTTGTTCATTGCTTGCGATGTCTGTGTAATATGTGTGTTCCATTGTCCGCAGATTTACCTAATATAATGGGGCTTGTTTGTGTGTGGTGTGGTCCTTCTGCTCTTACTATTTGTCCTGAGAATGGCAGTCTATTTTCTCTATATTTGAGCCGGAGTGAAAGATATTCTGACAGGTTGTCCCTTTAACTGTATATACAGCTTAAGGTACACAACCTATTTATTCAACTTGGTTTGATTACAAATTACTAAATGTGACAGGTTGATGAATTCAAATCCACCATTTTAAGGGTACAACTACGGACTATGTTTCGCGTGTTAAGCTTTATACCACGAATTGCGAAATCTTTTCAATGCTTGGGTTCTTTGTTTGATTACACACCCTCGTCTTCAAACACATTAAAGTGTATTTAACCTATTTATATATAGTTCAGATTCTGTAATGAAATATATGATAAAAAGAACATTTGAATTTTTACAAACGAAGAGAATAATAGAATAGGGCCTATAAGTTATATTTTATTAGGGTTTTTGCTCTTTAAAAAAGAATGTTTATTTTCACAACCTGTCTATTGTACAGCATGTTGTACAGGCGGGTTGCATGGTCGAATGGTTAGCACATCCGCCTGTATCATAAGGTCTGTCATTGAGTCAACTGGTGTGGTTTCGATTTCTCAGTTGTACGTGGCAAGGAGTTGGGTCGCCTGTCCAACCTCGTGGGTTTTCCCCGGGTCCTCCGGTTTCCTCCCACCGCTAAAGACCCCTACGCGCAAGCGAATTATTGAAATAAAATTGAACCATAAGTTAGCCCCGAAATTACCAAGTTTGTGTTTAGTGGACGTCAAACCTCATTTTTCTCTCTTTCATGGGAAGCGTCCTATTTGTTATATCTTATTGGAGTATTATACAAAAAAAAAAAAAAAAAAAAAAAAAATACTTTCATGTTTATTTTCCCAACAAATTTATTGTACAGGGTATGAAGACAGGGCTCTATTGTAAGAGTCCAACTATAGAAGATGGATCAGATAAAAAAGAAAAACTTATTGCATAAAAACGTCCATGTACAGGGCCCTGTTTCTCGAAATCTTAACTAAAGATAAAATCCAAATTTTAGTAGATACTTCAATTTTGATTGGCTAAGCACTAAAGTCAATCTAATATTATCCAATCAAATTACTAAAATTTGGATTTTATCTTAGGTAAAATTTCGTGAAACGGGCCCCAGGCCTACAGAAACTTAAGCAAAACACTAAGCTATTACACCAAATGTAACCAATACTACCGTGAATGTATCGAGAAAAAATGGGGTTTAATGTCCACATGTTAAACCATTCCGCCGCCCAACCTCCCTACCCTGTACAGACTGTAGACGTCATCATCAACATTGTAATCTCAACACAACCTTTCACGAGAAACATCTAACATCGTGTCGTTAGTAATCGCTTTAGATTTTATACGTGACCCCTCTTGCTTATAGCAACTATCAGTCTTACAAAATTTGTCACAATTAAACATACATTATGAAAGAGCTAAATCTGCCTATTGATTGTCTTTCTTAAGGCCTGAAATGTTCTCTAAATTATTAATTAGACATTAATTAACTTATCCAGACCATAATCAATGCTCGATGATGTCATCGCTAGCCTGCGATATTTACTGGATTAGGATCCGAATTGCTAGTCAAACTTCATTCATGATTTAATCATGAACTTGATAATCGAGACTATGTTTGTTTTTATCGTACCTACTTTACTAATGACGATCGCGGCTAGACCGAAAATTCAATCGCTAAATTCTCGGTTCAGAGTGAATCAATTTGACTGAAATTTTCAGCAAATTCCCGTTAGATTATCTAGTTTTTAACTACTATAGTGAGAACTGTCAGCTCTTTATCTAATCTCCCATAAGGTATCTTTAATTAGAACATATCTATTGACTAATATAAACAAATCAAAATAAGCGGTTTTTTTCGTCAAATTCTCTATATCTTCAGTGATCACTGTTTTGGGACGGTTTTTATACTACACATCGATGAGCAAAATTCTCCACTGGAATTTGTCGCTAAAATGTCAATTTCTCATGGCTTAATCCGCGCTAATATGTACTCAGATTGATTATTGAACATTTACTTAACAAAAATAAATCACATTACCAATGGTAGATAATCCCCCAAATTGGATTCAATCGGATTTGCAGGCTTATTATTATTATTATTATTATTGTTCGATTTATATAGCGCTTCATTACACGTGAAGTGTTTCTAAGCGCATATCACAAACATATACTTCAAACACACAGAAAAAATCAAAATCAGGAGAACATAATTAAACACCGCTGCCTGTTAGGCGCTATTATTCAAAGGTTTATATCAACAAATCATCCGGCTAATCTCTATATTGAACTCAGTCGAGGTATTACCTGATGAACACCTACACCAAGTAGAGTTCAAAAATAAAAACGAAGTTTATAAGAATCAACTTCATTAACAAAAATTAAACAATCAAAAACTAAACAGATAAATCAAATTCAAACGAAACAAATAAAACAAAGAAAATGAAAAGCGCAGTTCATTACCATTCTACATTAACAAAATAAAGGAAATCAACTTGTGAAAAATTTTTCAAAAAAATAAGAGCAAAATAACACTAATGTTAATACTTTTTAAACGACCCTACTGAATGAATGTTGGGCTTAACAAAATGATCATGAAATGGCCCAATATAGTAATGATGAATAACATTATAGTATACATGGCAATACAATGATGAATAACATTATACATGGCAATACACAATAACAATAATAATTATTTATTAATGAAATAGCCCCTTTTGGCTATTTAAATAGGTGTTATTATCGAATTTTCTTCTTTGGTTAAAGAATAACAATTGTGATAACAATCTATGGGCAGGACGATTTACCCAATACTAATTAAATACTACCTCATTATTGTGGGCAGGATGACTGATCCAGTACTACCCCAAACCACCAAATACTAATTAAATACTACCTCATTATTATGGGCAGGATGACTGATCCAGTACTATCCAAAACCACCTAATACTAATTAAATACTACCTCATTATTGTGACAAACATGCAAAAAAAAATATATGACAAAAATGTCATATACCGATGTTTACTCATTTCAAATACATGTAAGCTCACATGTACTTAAAAACAATCACAATGTCACAGTTGATCAATTAATAGTTTTTCATATTCAAGCAGTTATTTTTATGAAAGTGACAACAGTTTTTCATTATTGAAATTTATAACGCTTACACCGTATTATTAACCGTATATGCATCAACCGACCGATCGGCTATCTGTATTATAATTTATTTTAAGATAAAGTATTATAAATATAGCCTATAAAAACATCAAAATTGATTAAATGATCAACATATTTTGAAAAATTAGCTATAAATAAGGTAAAATCCCTATAATTAAATAGTAAGTGGTACCGAAGCAGCGTACCACGTTTTGTTTCTATAGAAGCAGTAAGGCTAGCGTGGTATTTTGAAGCGTGGTATTTAGCCGCTGCCCTACGAGAACGTAGCTAAAAACGTTGAGATATTTACTGATGTGTACGGAGGGTTGAGAGTAGAAATGGTACCACGTACTGATGTCTTCCGTCTTACTCCAGCCACACAGTTTAACGTTACAAGTATAGTAACTAGGTTGAGAGATGAGGTTTGTTTTGTTATCTATTGTCAGATGCTGTCCTGGGCCACGGACAAGGGGGACCTGACAATCCCCGGGAAACTTTCTAGGCCAACACCGGGGGCGAACCGGCGACTTCCGTACTCTAGTGAGTCACTGAGTCAGCGTGGCTCCGGGTAACTCCCGCCAGCGGATAATTAAACAACGTTAACATTCACATTCAGTTCGGTCAATCAAAACAACGGCAACGCATACCAATTTCAAAGATTAAGACTATGATGTTAAAACAATTGTATCATTCGTGGACAACAAAATGGCGGCGGGCTTATTACATAGCGAGCTGTATAGATCGATGAAATTTTAATCTCACATATCTTTGTAAATACTGAACAGAATCGAATCATTTTGGGCTGATATTCCTGTAAGAGATTCATATTACAATATTTTAGTTTGCAAATGATTCATATAGTGCTAAAAAGATTCATATTGCTTAAATAAAAATGGCGCACCGGGACTTTAATCAGTGATAATGTTGCAGGAGATGCATATACAGTATTCATGAACATTATTTATTATGCTCATTTCTGAATTAGCCATTAAGCAAAATAAGCACGTGCGTAGGGCATCATGGAAATAGGGCTACCACAGAATGTCCGAGTACTTTGTTTGATGCCAAATTGTAAAATATTTAATTTAAACATTAAACATGCATTATGCAAGAGCTAAATCTGCCTATTGCAGGTCTTTCTTTAGTCCTGAAATGTTTTCTAAAGTATTAATTAGACATTAATTAACTGATCCAGGCCTTAATCAACTTTCGATGGCATCAGATTTATCCGATATTAAATAGATTAGAATGGTTCAGCGATACTTTGATTTAATCAAATATGCAGGACCGAGACTTAGCTTCGATCAACCAGTACGGTGGTTGCAAGACCCGCGTGTTTATTCAGCTAAGTAGAATCACAATTTTGTTTTGATTTTAGAAAATTGCGTGGGTTCATTAATTTAAGCCGAATAGTGGTAACTGGTAAAATAATATGGAGGTTTTCATCAACATTGTTTATGAACAAAACTAATAATGCCATTACTGTATAACTGGCCTATGCTAAAATGAAGACGGGCATACCCCACACAATGTGCTTTGAGGGAAATTTTGCCCGGACAGCGGTGCTACGGCCTGCATTTATTTCGAATTGCAACTATTATTGCACACGTCTGTCAAACCTTCAAAGGCTAATATCTTCGCTTGCAATAGAGTAATTTGAATGAAATTTTCAAATTATTAATTTTACATCATCTACTTTCGAACTATTATAGCAAGAAAGGCTAGTTCTTTATCTAAATCTTACATAATGTATCTTTAATTAAGACTTTTCAATTAGTTTTTGTTTTTGGGTTTTTTTCTTGTACTGTTACCTGTTTTGTCGCAATTAATAATGACGTGTATAAAATCCCAGAAAAACTCTAATCACGTGCTTGGCGGTTGTTTGTGGTTTAAAATTGTTTATATTTTGAAGGGGGCACCAAAATCTTTTTTTAAGTGCTCAAGACCTCTGTGGGTATTAATCCGGCTCTACCATTGCTACACATACTATGTGATTTAAGCAGTGGACACATTAGCCGAATCGTTCGGCCGAATCAATCGGCGCCGAATTTTATTCGGCCGAATGGGTGGACACACTTGCCGAATGCTTCGCCCGATTCAACCTGTCGATTGCGTCACCTTTCACGTCACATGATTAAACATGGCGGCGTCTATGTCTTCAATCTATCATATGACTTCTCGATATGAGTGGTGATTGGCTAATGAATTCTATATTCGGCCGAATGCTTCGGCGAAGCGGACACACCAGGCGAATATAATTCGGCCGAATATATCAAACATGTTTGATTCGGGCGAATCATTCGGCCGAATGACAGTGGACACACTAGGCGAATTTCGACGCCGATTGATTCGGCCGAATCATATGGCTAGTGTGTCCACCGCTTTAGCCTCTCAAAGAAATGACTGCATTAAATTTGAACTAAAAAGGGTGGGGAGGGGGAATTACCTCATAGAGTTGGGTATGTCTAGCTTCCGTTGAAAAGTAAAGATATAGTCGGGTAAAGTCGGATCCGGCGCTCCTCACAGAAAGATTTTTTACTTTGGATCGCAAACGATTTTAGCTCTATAAAGCCTATAGTCTAGTCATCAATCACTTGACCTTATGAATGAAAAATGGAAACATTAAATCATCTCGTGTAACTGTAAGTTGAAAATGAAGCGATCTCGTCCCAAGATGCGATTTTCAAGTACTTTAATTATAGTGAAAGCCGATCCCCAATCACCGTGGGGCTAGGCCTTTTTAATTTTTGTTTACCAGGATACTATTATAAAGCCGTCCTTAGTCAGTGATATTTCTATTTCATATAGTGTCACGGGTGTACATTTCGCAATGTTTCATTCTTTAGCTATTTTAATTTTGTTTTGTATGCAAGGCCAATGTACGCTATATATGTTTCTAGGTTGCGCATTTCCATTGTATATAAAATAAGGATTTATAATTTATTTAGGTCTGCTGTTCTAAATGGCGTGTGTGTTGTTGTTTTCAAATGATTGATATACATGTCACGATGGCTCGCGCTAAGTGAGTATATCGGACGTTTGCTCGCTAACATGGAGGCCCCGTGTTCGATCCCTGCGTTGGCCAAAAAAGTATATCGGGATTTTCAGGTGTATAGTCCCCCCTCATCAGTGATGAAGGGCGGAGGGCCTGGCAAGGCACAACGTATAGTCGTTCGGATGGGACGAAAAACCGACGGCCCGTGTACACATTGGCGTGCACGTAAAAGAACTCTTGACAGTTAGAATTCGAAATAATAGTAGGCCATAGCGCCGCTGTACGGGCAAAATTTCTATCATATAGCACACTGCAGCCCGTCTTCATTAGCCCAGTAGGATCAGAACATTAGGACGTTAAATCCCATTATATCGAATTTCAACTGTCAAGGGATCTTTTACGTGTACGCCAACACGGGAACTCGAACGGCTATGGGTAAGGTCTTTCTAGTAACTTTTCTGAAAAAAGCGCCACCGTAGAATCGACTATGTATAAAAAGAAAGAGTGGGAGGACGTCAGGTTTCCTCCTACTGCTAAAGACCCCTACGCGCAAGCGAGTTATTGAAGTGAAATTGAATCCCCCCCCCCCCTCTCTCTGCTATAAATGTGTAATTGTACACAGAATTGTGACATTCTTGTTATCGTTTCATATATTCATTATAGTCGGCTTGGTGTCAGTATGATATCTCACCGATAGTAAACGAATATTCCAGACGAATTAATGTAGGCAATGAATGCCAACCGAGCGAATCGAAATAATGACATTACTCTAGCTCTTTAAAGCTGAAAAACTCAGTATGTATAGAAATATACGCTTTTATAGTACAAAATAATTTGATTTTACCTGACGTTTTATGACATAAATTTTATAATTTATATGTAATATAGTGACAACTCAGGAGTAGTACGGACATTCTTTTGTCAAATAACCGGTCAACCAAAACTAATTTAAAATCTTGATATAGACAGATTTTATGTGCATGTGTACATAGGCATAGGAGCCGGGGGGTGGGGCTGAACCGAAAATTTTTCGGGCACAAACATCCGAGAATGGGGAACATTAAGTTGATTTTTCTTAATTATTGTAAATTTATATTGTTGTGCAATCGTGTAAATAATTAAAAGTAAACAACCAGATCACAGCTTTGTGGAAAACTCATTTCTGAAAATTCGGTTGACAAAGAAAATGTTCGCGCAAATAGCCTCACACCAGCCCCCCCCCCCCAAAAAAAAGAAAAGAAATTGGCCCCAAGCTATGCCTATGTATATGTATTATTGACCAATTGATCAGTGTGGTGGGAAATTCCTTTTTCTTCGAATATTTAACTTTTTTAAAAAAATTTCCAAACCCGGAAAAACAACCCCATACAACATCTCACTATTTCGACACTAATATAATTTTCAGAGTTTATTATACGATATTAAAACGAACATATCCGCAATATTCCCGAAAATCTGAGTCTCGTAGGCTACAGTAATGTGGGAGTGCGTTTATCAACATTCGTATTCACAACTGACCTGGTGGTGGAACTGTTTTTCATAATCAGTATACTAGTTTATTTTATGATCAGTAGTGGAATACCGCGTTTTATCAGTGAAATAAAAGTGTTATTCCACTGGCTAGAAGCGGACAAAGTAGTCCATGTTGCTTTTACCTAAAATGATTGTAAAATCATAAAATAAATAGAGCATTTGTCGTTTTGTCGTGAATAACATATTTTATTTCAAGTTTTCTTGCTTCTCGATGAAATAAAATATGTTATTCACTCTAAAACGACAAATATCCTCTATATAGTCTACACACTCCACCAAGGTCTACGAACGGACATCGGGGGCTATATGCCATTAAAAAAAAAAAAAAATACGTTTGTATCTGGAAAGAAGTCTGATATGGACACATCTTATCCCACATATTTAATTCTTTTTAAAGAAAAAATCAAAATAAGGCTTTAGTACCTTAATTATATTGAAAAATAAAGATCTCAGTGATCGAGACTATTTTGCGCGGGAAATATGAAAGTAAAAGTATCAATAAAACCGGAAGTTTGGATATTGGACTGTAAAGTTAGGCCTACCGTTTAAAGGAAGTAAACATAAATAAGGTGAATTTTTGTACAGCGGGCACTTTAACCGTCGTACGGTCTCTGCTCAACCAGCCATAACATCACAAATTTTGTTTTGAAAAAACATTATTTATTTACTTTCCGTAACACAGATTACAGATAAGATATTAATTTAGAGGTCGTACAGCGCTAACTGAATATTTTACATGAGATTTTACATTAAAAACACCAATTCAATAAGAATTCAATAGCTCTCCATTTTAATACCGTAACCATGAAAAACTGACTTGTTATTAATGTTATTTATTCACTTTCTGAAACATGAAGTATAGCACTAACTCAATAATATCATAATATTTTTCATACAACATGAACTAAAATTCAATATTGGCCCATTTCAATCAATATTGATGTTGCCATGAAAATAAAATATCGGCTACTGATATCATTCATATAAGATACAATAAACATTTTAATATCAATTCCCGAAAGTCAGGTTCTTTATGGAGTGGGGGGATCCCACAATGGTTAACGTGTGTATTTTTGATCATAAGGTCCATCTCAAATTAAGTGGTGTCGTTTCGATTCCCTGCTTGTAGGTGACAAGGAGTAGGATTGCCTGTCCAACCTCGTCTGTTTTCTCCGGATTAAAGACCACTAGGCCTACACACTAGCGAATTATTGAAATAAAATTGAACGATATATATGTTAGTCACGAAATGACCTAGTTTATGTTGAATGGACGTTAATCTATCCGATTGTTATTGTTATTTTTTCAGGGTATACTAGCGCTAGAGGTATTATGGCCAGTGTTTATGGTAATAATTGTTGCCGTCATAAGGCAGGCAGTACCACCAGAAGATCGCCATACATGTAAGATTAATTTGGATATCAGTGGGTTTCCACGCAAACCTTATGCAGAACTGTTCCAGGCCATGATAAAATTCAAGAAATTGCACGTTTACTTGGCTATACAGTTACTGTTCTGGATACTGTACCGTTCCTGACATGCTGAATGTGGAACTCTTCACTGTAAAGTTATTTACAGTCACGGGGGAAAAGGATCAACCTTAATGCTAACCGGATAGCGGTTCAGTGTGACCACCTCACTTCAGTGGTCCAGATTGGCATGGTATTCAGTATAGCATGGTTATGTTCAAGACCCGTTTACACTTCTCGGCACTGTTACTAACTGGCTTAATATTTGTAATGTAAATAGGGTTATAGTGTCAGAGGAAACTGGAATTTAAATTTCCATGAAAAATGGAGATAATTAGGTTCATCTTGACAAACTCAAATAAAACATGACACATGATTCAATATTTTGGAATACAAATTACTTAAAAGTTTATTTCTGGATACGTAAGGATTCTCTCATCTTTATTAAGCAAAGACTAACTAACCCTCATCAAAACGTCACCAGAAATAAACTGTTAAAGATGTATTATGTAATAGTTAGAAAAAGAGTTGACAGTTCTTAATATAACAGTTAAAAACTAGACAAGAAAAAGGGAATATCTTGAAAATTTCAGTCAGATTACTTCATTCTGAGCAACATTAGGGCTGTTTGGAGAAAGTCATTGGATGCTCGAGATTTAAACTAGATTGGAACGGTTCGACCATTTAATGATTTATTTTGAAAATGGAGAATCAAGGCTAAGAATCAAATATACCAGTACCTTGGTTACGATAATAAAAGAAAGATACACACATCTTTTCAAAACTACAAACAGTGATAACTTGCCTCAGGATAAAATAATTTGAATGAAATTTTCAATATATTCATTTTGCATTATCTATGTTCCAATTATTATAGCAAGAACTCCCAATCTAAATCTTACATAATGCATCTTTAACATTTGATTAAGAAAACTAAATCAAAATATTTCTGGACTTTAAAAGAGATCCATCAAAAGATTTCAGTAATATAATTATAGGTGGCGCTGGCTTGGTTTGGCTATATATTACATATCTTCTGCAGTGGATGCCATATTTTCAAATCATCATTACTGAGCAGATTCAAACCATATTCATTTTAGCAATTGAACTGTCACAATATTGTATGTTTGCAAGGGAATAGAGATATTATGTTTTATTTTTATACTTTAGGTCACTACCAAGAAAGAGCCATGCCAAGTGCTGGCGTGGTCCCGTTTTTACAGACATTTGTTTGTAATTTGGACAATAAATGTAATGATGAAGATCAACTGAGATCAGCCCAAGAAGTCTCATATAAGTATGTACATGTGTATTGTTTCTGGACACTCTAGACCACTAGGCCATCTCAACTCCCTGGTTCATCAACCAGAATGCCCCAGTTTTTTTCCCGATCTTAGCTTAGAAGTTCCTTGGGTTTTTTAGTCTGGTTGTCCCCAAGTCAGTGCTGCAGGATGAAGGAAGTGGGAAGGGGAAGGGAAAACATCTTGTCCTTGGGAAGAGATGATAAAACACTTCCTGTGTACTTGTTGAAGTGTAATTACAGAGCCCTTGGCAGTTTGTATTCAAAGAGTAATGGAAACACATACTCTATCATATAAAATCTCCTAGGTCTTATTTTTTGTTTTGTAAACCTTTAACAAATATATTTGTAGAAGTTACCGATTTTTTTTCAAGGGGCTATATTTTGTTTAATATTTTACAGGGTTTCGTCACTGGTGGGTAAATTGGCGCCATATATCGGTTCCGATGACACAGTGTCAGCGTTAGAATCCATGGATAATGGAGTTAAAATTCTTGATACTCTGAATAAATTTCTGGTAAATAATTCCATCATAGATGAACTTGGTGAGTACATTAATGTATATTGTATAATTGTGTCAAGAATCTCAAGCACTGAGGCAAATTGGATCCGAGAGGTTGTCTCCCCCTGGCTGCAAGGAATTTTTTGAATTTTGGCTTAGCTTTAGGAGTTTTGGGATCTGTACGCCTTGCACTACAAGTGTGATGTTTACCTAAATACACTTCTTTCCCTATGCATGATTTTCCATCGAGTATTGGTCCGCTGGTTCTATATTATTTCTTTTTATAAAGCACTGGGGCAATTGCCCCACTACTTACTATGCTAAGAATTGCCCTGCTATGTGTACAAGATTCTAAAAGCTTACATTTTTAAACAGAATTTTTACTCTATTATGGATGGTTGGTTAATTGGGGATTTAACGGTCGCTTCTACTCGGAATGGATGCGTTGTGTTATCGATTTATTGTTAGATGCCTTTCTTCTTGTGTGAACTTGTAACCCCATCTATGGACACCTACCATTAAGACCTTTTAATTACAGGAACTATAGTAGATCATTAGACTTAAAATCAACTTCTATTTGGTTTTTTTTCTTCAGAATTATAGTAAACCATTTAGACTTAAAATCAAATTTTATGTTGTTGTTTTGTTATTTATTCTAAGATCAAATTTAATTTAATTTTTTTCTTCAGAAAAGTCGTTGAAAGTTGGGAATTTATTTAAAGATGAAGATAGAGTTAAACAGATACTGATAACTGAGTATGGTGTAGCATCAGAGACGGTGGTTGATGCTATCCTCAACTCCACTCTTAACATCACAGGGGTTAGTCAAATATTTCTTATAACAATGCTTCTCTCTATCTGGGGGGTTGGGTGGCCGAATGGTTAAACAGATACTGATAACTGAGTATGGTGTAGCATCAGAGACGGTGGTTGATGCTATCCTCAACTCCACTCTTAACATCACAGGGGTTAGTCAAATATTTCTTATAACAATGCTTCTCTCTATCTGGGGGGTTGGGTGGCCGAATGGTTAACGCATGAGCTGTAGATTATTGAGTTAAGTGGTGTGGTTACAATTCCAGGCTTGTACGTGACAAGGAATAGGGTTGCCTGCCCAACCTCGTGGGTTTTCTCCATGTCTTCCTGTTTCCTCCCACTGCTAATGACCCCTACGCTAAAGCGAATTATTGAAATAAAATTGAACCATATGTTAGTTAGTCCTGAAATGACCTAGTTTGTGTCGAGTGGCTATATCTCGTTGACTGAGAAACTTCCTAAGGGTTTTACAGCATGGGCTTTCCCTTGTGAAGGAAGGAGGGTCTGGCAAACAATAATGTCTAGTCATTCAGATGGAGCAAAAAAGCAAACTCTCTTGTGCACGCTCGCGTGTGGGTTATTAAACCCTTGTTAGATGAACGGTAGATGGAAACTCTGCTGTCTGAACAAAATGTCCCACTGCATACCACACAGCGTATTTGTACGTGACAAGGAGGGTCGCCTGTCCTACCATGTAGGTTTTACGGGATCTTTAGTTTCCTCCCACTGTTAAAAGACCCTCTACGCGCGAGCAAATTTTTAAAAAATAAAATTGAACCATATGTTAGTCCCGAAATGACCTAGTTTATGTAGGACATTAAAATCCATTTGTCTTTCTCCTATTCAAGAAATTCATTGTTCTTTAAAAACATTTGTTTTAAAAGGTATTTAATCTATTGGGCTACTCGGACCTGAAATCTATTGTCTGCACACCATCAGAGTTGAAGATGTTTTTAGTGTTTCCGGATGATGTTAATATCATAGATGTATCTACAGATTTATGTGCTATCGATGCGAATAAAATACCTCAATTAACACAGTATTTACAAGAACAACTGGATATAGCTGAAATAGTCCGATTGGTAAGTATTGTTATTAAAACCTTTCTATAGCGCACAACTACAATATAAATGTGCTTATGTGCGCTTTGCAAAACATATTATAGAGACAGATAATATTACATTTACATAAATAAAAAGAGATAACAAAGAGCATGCCCATAAAATATACTAAACAGCAAAAAAAACGTCAGTACGATTTCAAAATCAGAGAGGCACTTTAATCAAATCATTCTAGAAAACGACTTATTAAATGGATCAAAGCAATTTTTTGTGAACAGTATGTTGACACATTAGTGATTAATTTGTCACAATTCCAAGACATTACGAGAAGGTTTAGAGTTTGTACACAATCTATACATCATTATCTGGTGTGTCCACTGCGATTGTCAATAACAGCAGCGCAGCCTCTGTACATGGAGCGTAGTTTGTCCATTTTTTTCCTCCCAGTGCCACACGTATTTGCGTAAGCTAATTATTGAAATTAGATTGAACCATGTTAGTCCTGAAATGACCTAGTCTCTCTCTCTCTCTCTCTCTCTCTCTCTCTCTTTCAAACATAATTTTAGATATATTTTTTTTGTAGATGGGATTATTCGAGAAGTTTAAGGAAATTTTCGACAGTGATTACAAGTATCCGGTATCCCAGGGTTTCAATGACGTAGCAGACATGATGGATCTGGTGTTTAAATCTCCGTCACTTCTTAAATCCATCGAATCTATGTCGACATTAAAGAATATTCCTGATATAATACGCAAAATGCCAAAGTGGATAAAAATGTTCGAGAGTGCAAAAGATAGCTTGAAACCGTAAGTGTAATAATATGAAGTTATTGATAGTGAAATATTTGTAGGTTTTTTTTATGTTGAAAAATTTGACGTAAGAGTCCCAAGTTTTAGATGTGTTTGAGAATGCAAAAAAATAACTTGAAATCATAAGTGTAATAATATGTAGTTTTGATGTTGAAAAGTTGACACAAGGAGTGTCTATTTCCAGATTTGAGTAACATATTACACTGTAACCTGGATATCTTTTAAGTACAAATTAGATGATTTTGAGTAATTTAAATGATTTTTACAAATTTTTAAACAAATATTTGATATTAAACGAATATGAAAGAAATTAGTGCTAGATACACAAGATTAAATAATACCCAGGTTACAGTGTAAGGATTTGGGTAACATATAAGGATTTTTATAGTGTCACTGCTTCCTTAGGCCACTAGATTTTGATTTTCTGTTCTTCGGTGTCATGAGAAATAAACAGCCACATGAAGCACATATAAGACCTTTTGTTTAACAGTTCAAAACTTTAAAAATTGGATCTAAAAGCTTTTGAAAAACATAAATAAATAGGTCATTTTCCAGAAGAAATCAGAAGGAAAATTTTTGTAGGTGTTCCCAAAGAACAGAAAATCAAATTTGTGTGGCCTTATATTGATAATATAGAACTAAATTCAGTAAAATGTGACATTATGAATATTTTTTTTCTCAGTATTTCTGCACTAGTGACTGTGCTGAGATCAGTACTATGAATAAATGAAATGAAATGAAATGGGGTTTAATGTCCTACTGTTCTTCTCCTAAACTGGGCTAATGAAGACGAGCATACACCATACCGTGTGCTATGAGGGAAATTTTGCCCGGGCATCGGCGCTACGGCCTACTCGTATATCAAATTCCAACTGCCAAGCGATCTTTTACGTGCACGCCAATATGTACATGGGACCTCGGTTTTTTGTCCCATCCGAACGACTAGACAGCTGCCCTTGTCAGGCCCTCCGTCCTGCATCACTGACAAGGGGAAACCACGCCGGAAAATCTGGATGAACTTTCTCGGCCAATGCAGGGATCGAACACCCGACCTCCAGGCTAGCGAGCCAGCGTCTTACCTACTTAGCCACGTGATCCCCCAGTACTATGAATGACATTATGAATAATTCCTTTTAATCAGTATTTATGAGGTAGTGACTATACAGTGTCCAACTCTATGAATAATAACACAATCTGATTAAAACACAGATCCTATTTAGTGTCAGTTTTTATAGTTCAAAATTTCATTTTACTTGTCTTCACAACTCTAGGATCTGGAAGAGTAGTTATATAACAAGCCTTCTAGTTGATGTGAGGAATTAGCCAATGAAACGGACTGTTACGGCGAGTTTTTAGCGTGCTCTGCATGGAACTGTGGGTAAACCCCTAAAAAGGTCAACACTGAATGATTAATCAATGTCTGATGTCATAGGGTCAAAAGCTGCTTGTATGACCCCTGACACTATCTCCCAGTACAGCTGGTCAGATCTTCATGTAGTGTAGGCCATCAAAAGTATAATAAAACAAAACGAAATATAGATCTGTATTTTGATCAGATTGATAATAATGCTATGAATATTTATTTTTTTCAGTATTTTTGAGTTAGTGACTATGAAGAACCCAAGTAATATTTTTTTTTTGTGACTATGAAGCAGAGTCCTATGCTAGGAGTAAAGCTATCTATATTATCTATATTTATTTTTTTAGTATGTCTAAATTATGAATATTTTTTTTTTTTCAGTGTTTCTGAGTTAGTGACTATGCTGAATCCGATTATAGAGCAGATTGATCCGAACAATATGATTTGGCGTAGTATTAAATCTGGTTTTAAAATGGTCAATAGTTTAGTTGATGTACTAGATGGTAAACATAACGGTAGCCAGGAAATGATGCTAACGATCAATGAATTTCTGACTGACGTGGAAATCACATTGGATAATATGTCTCCTGATGCTACTATGATACTCCAATCTCTGTCCAGTATTAAATTAGGAAATATCTTTGAACAGGCTGTTGCAGGAACTTTATCTGATAAGTAAGTAGTTTATAGTAAGTGCAGGTGGATGGCACCACACACAAACACCTACACAAGACAAATATACAGACACCACAAACTCACATATCTGATAAGGAAGTATAGTAAATGCATGGGGACCGCACCTCACACAAACAGTTACACAAGACAAACCTTTGGACAGGACACCATATACACAGTCACAACAAACTCACATATCTGATAAGTAAGTAGTTTATAGTAAATGCAGGGGGACCGCACCACACACAAACAATTACACCAGACAAACCTATGGACAGGACACCATATACACAGTCACAACTAACTCACATATCTGATAAGTAAGTAGTTTATAGTAAATGCAGGGGGACCGCACCACACACAAACAATTACACCAGACAAACCTATGGACAGGACACCATATACACAGTCACAACAAACTCACATATCTGATAAGTAAGTAGTTTATAGTAAATGCAGGGGGACCGCACCACACACAAACAATTACACCAAACAAACCTATGGACAGGACACCATATACACAGTCACAACAAACTCACATATCTGATAAGTAAGTAGTTTATAGTAAATGCAGGGGGACCGCACCACACACAAACAATTACACCAGACAAACCTATGGACAGGACACCATATACACAGTCACAACAAACTCACATATCTGATAAGTAAGTAGTTTATAGTAAATGCAGGGGGAAAGCACCACACACAAACAATTACACCAGACAAACCTATGGACAGGACACCATATAAACAGGAACACCAAACTCACATATCAGATCAAGTTACAAACATAATTTTTTCTCTCCTGGTTTATGATAATGTTAAAGTCTCAGCACACTAGGAATCCCTTTCAAACTATAATATCGTGCAAGAGGAATCTTGGAGGAATCTCTAATAGGAATATCAGTCCAAAAACGGTTCAATTCCATTCAGTATTTATAAAGAATTCAAATTCAACGTTCTATGCTGCTCGCTATGCTTTTAGCCCGCAAGCAATTGAATCCAAGCCATTCTGTATGAACACATGGTGTTTCCAATTGTTGCTAGAACATAAACATTGTGTATGAACACATGTTCTGTGTATGGACGCATGGTGTTTGAACACATGTTCTGTTTATGGACACATGGTGTATGAACACATGTTCTGTGTATGGACATATGTTCTGTGTATAGACACATGTTCTGTGTATGGATATGTTCTGTGTATGAACACATGCTCTGTGTATGAGCCCATGTTCTGTGTATGGACAAATAATGTATGAACACATGGTGTAGCCTATGAACACATGGTGCATTTAATGCCTATTGAATATTTGTTACATAAATATACTTTGATTGTGAATTTAAATTCTTGTTTTTTCTTCAGGAAAGTAACAGACTCTTTAAATGAGATACAGGAAACATTAGAGAAGACATCATTATGGAATATTACGGGTCCAGCTGTATCATTATTAGATAAAATGATCAGTATGTTTAATTTGACTATACATCAAACACAAGGTAATTATTGAAATATAATGTCCTTTTTTTCTGCACCAAATGGGCTTATGAAATGGAGGTATTTATAGGGTTTAAAAGTCCACTTTATATCTCCTTTTGGGACTAACATATGGTCTTTAACAGTGGGAGGAAACTGGAGAAACCCCACAAGGTTGGGCAGGCGACCTACTTCTTTTCACATACAAACTTGGGATCGAAACCACACCATTTGACTGAATGACAGACCATACAATCTAAAGTGCATGTATTAGATCTTTTGACCATGCCCTCACCCTCAGGGTGTTAATGTAACATACATGTGAGTGCTGTGTACAACTCATTATGTATGTGTTTTCTGTGCAATATATTAGTAGTTGTATGTGACTCTGTTTAAATATATGTGTATATGTATGCTGTGTACAACTCAACATGTATGTGTTTTCTGTGTAATATATTAGTATTTGTATGTGACTCTGTTTAAATGTATGTGTATGTATGCTGCCTTAATGGGTGTCTTGAAGCAATAAACATTTTATCTTACATCAATGAGTTCACTAATTAAAGGTTATAATGACATTAAATTTATTTATAACTAAAAAATGTATGTGTATGTATGCTGCCTTAATGGGTGTCTTGAAGCAATAAACATTTATCTTACGTCAATGAGTTCACTAATTAAAGGTTATAATGACATTAAATTTATTTATAACTAAAAAAAGCACCTTCCTATTGCTGCCTCTGACTGTGGCATTGAAGTAACACATTGAAAGGGTACAAGCACTAATACATTGAGAAATTTCATCTAGTTCCAACCAAATTTGATTTCGACCAAAAACACTTATAGGGCCACTGCCTGCGCAGTCGTTTTTATGATTACTTTTGGAATATTCCATTATATTTATAGGTCTGGAAGAAGCTGTCCAAGAATTGGTAGGAACAGATGGATCTCTTCAAACAAGTTTAAATCAACTCTTAAGTAAAGGACCAAATGTTACAAAAGCTGTTCTTGATGCATTTACAGATTCCAAGTTACTGGCGGTATGTTAAATGATGTTAAATGATTTTATTTTAGCTTGTGATTGTAACAGAATTGACAGTTTAACTTGGCTTTATATGATTATGAGACAGTTTTCTGCTATTATTATTTTCTCTTTGCAGAAAATGTTTGAACAATCTTTTTCGTATTCGTCAATGTGTAACGGTGTTATACAGAAAGTTAGAACAGAAATGGGAGATTATGTTGCCACTGAATTAAACGGAGTATTATGCAATGCAGATAGCTCTGAAGCTGTACAGAATTTTCTTTCTACTTTAAATTTAGATAGAATAACATTAGTTGTAAGTTTTTTTATGTATTTTCTTTAAATGTTCTTTAATATCAAATTTCTCATAGGTACTGAGATTGATTTTTAACATTTAATTAAGAGAACAAAATCAAAATAACAACACTAGATAATCTACTGGCTTGGAATCAATCAGATTTAAAATGTACCCATCAATTATGTTCACAATCGATAAAATGGCGGTGGACTTTTTACATAGCCAGCAGCATATTGATGAAATGTCAATTCAACATACCTCTGTAAACACTAAACGTAATTTAAACATTTTGGGGCTGATATTCCTATAAGAGATATGGCCTACTCTTATTTTGAATTCCAACTGTCAAAGGTTCTTTTATGTGTAGTGTGTACACAGGACCATGGTTTTTCATCCCATCCAAATGACTAGACACTGTAATTACCAGGCCCTTCGTCCTCAACCACCAATGACAAGAGGAAACTGATCTGGAAAACTTTCTTGGCCAACATCGGGATTGAATCTGAGACCTCTTGGTTACCGAGCCAACATCTTACTTACTGAGCCACCGCAGCTCCCTTGGTTTACAATAGTATGTTGATATGATGTATTTTTGTATTATAGATGAATGAAACAGTTCAACTTATACAGTATCTGGTAAATGATAATATGGATCTGTACGATCAAGTCAGCTTATCAACACTCTACATGTCCATTAAAGATTTAATAGAAACATCCATGAAATTTATCCACCGTACCAAATGGACATGGGGTGACATGTTTTCAGGGTTTAAGACAACTGGTATAGACTTACATCGTAGAGAATGGTATCCAGTCGTTGACATGATGAATGAAAATTATGTTGGAACCAGGTAAATCTTAGTCATTCTTTAAATCACTGCTTAACTGATATCGTTGACTTATGAACCTAGGCCTTTTACTAATCAAATATTTTATTAAATCATACAAGTGCTTATTATTCTAAACTAATGTTTAATTAGTACATATAGAAACTGGTTAGAAATGAATTAGCACTATAACTAGCGGGTGTGCTGTTTTACTGAAAATAACTGTATTTAATGTTTTGTTTCAAACCATTGTTGGTAAATTGTTAAAATTCGTTGAGAATCATTTAAAACTATTGGGTTTCTACTGTTGCATAGTTTTAAAATAGTCGATCTAGATTAGATAATGAATGTTGATTTTACAACTGTTTACTTGTTAACTCTGTGAGTGACTATTGTAAAAGTTCAAGTTCTCTAGTTATATGTCTTACGGGGGGTTGGATGGCTGAATGGTTAGCACGCACGCGCTGTATCATAAAGTCTGTCATTGAGTCAACTGGCGTGGTTTCGAATCCCCGGTTGTACGTGACAAGGAGTAGGGTCGCCTGTCCAACCTCGTGGGTTTTCTCCGGGTCCTCGGGTTTCCTCCCACTGCTAAAGACCCCTACGCGCAAGCGAATTATTGAAATAAAATTAAACCATATGTTAGTCCCGAAATGACCTAGTTTGTGTCGAGTGGACGTTAAACCCCATTTCTCTCTCTCTCTCTATACGTCTTACATGAAACAAATAGTGTATTAGATCATAGACGTATAGCAAGTTTATGAGGAGCATAATCTGGTATTCCTTTTTATAGCTGCATTATGCATTCCTAGCAACTAGTTAGCAATACTAACTATTACACTATGAATATACAGTAAGTGGACATGCGCATGGAAAGGTGTAAAAAGACTGTATTGGGTATGAGGTGATCAGTTTGGGAGATCACTGCTGGCTTAATGTAGGTGGGATATTTAAACTCATTGTATATATCATCTTTATGGTTTTAATGGTATGATAGATTCTTATAATCAATTGAGTTTTCATACCTCCGCGTCCTGTCTTCATTAGCCCAGTCGGAGTAGAACAGTAGGACATTTAACCACCATTTCATTTTGCACCTCCCCGAGCAGTGTTGATTGATTAATTAGCCTGTGAATTGATACCCCAGTTGTAGTGTATATGCTATATATGTTTTATTTTGATTTAGTATTGTTGCTATGGCAAGAGGTTTTGGAGAAGCTATGTATAAATCACCCCTAGTGGAACCTGTATCCCAATATGTTCATATGGCTGAACTGTTTGTTGAATATGGTTATAATCACATGAAAATATCCGCAGGTAATGATATTTCTTACAATCAAACCTCTATGGAAATAAACGTTTTGTAGTACCTAAAAACAAGTTGAAATATAAATGTGATGTCATCCTTTGATATTGGCGTACCAATATTTTAGATAATGTACCAGCAACATGCTAGTCATATATTATTTATACTGGATCAAATATTGAACTTTTGACGATTTCATTGAAATGTCTGTATTTTAAGTTGTTTAATGGATGTCATCTTTTGATATTGGCGTACCAATATTTTAGATAATATACCAACAACATGCTAGTCATATATTATTTATACTGGATCAAATATTGAACTTTTGACGATTTCATTGAAATGTCTGTATTTTAAGTTGTTTAATGGATCTCAAGCAAAACATTGCATAATATGTTGATTTAGTTCTCGGACTAGCGTCCTTGTGCAATATATTCCATCCAACAGTAACAATTGACTTTTTTTTTTGTATTGAATTTGGAAAATATTTATTTTACAGATACGTATGCCACAGATTCTACCATGGGTCAGTTAGTTCAATATGTTACCCAAAATGCACCAGAAATAGCCGGTGCTGCAATGAACATGTTAGAAAAGCCAAAAGTGGTAAGTTTTAATTATTACTGTAAAACTAGGAATTAATGCAAAAATTATAACAAACTGAAACATTGGTTTTGAAGTAATGTTGAGCCATTTGCATTTTTTTCTGAAATATCAATTTCTCATGCTTAATTCATGCTAATATGTACTCAGATTGATTATTTAACATTTAATTAGGAAAAAAATTCAAATTAATAATGTTAGATAATGCCCTGACTTGGATTCAGTCGGACTTAAACAGGCCAATCAATAAATTTTTGTTGACAACAAAATGGCGACTGGATATTACATAACAAACCGCATCAATCAGTGAGATTTCAATTCCACATAGCTTTGTAAATATTAAACGGAATTGAATCATTTTCAGACTAAGATTCACCTCTCACAGTATTGTTATTTGCATGTGATTACTATAAACTAGGTCATTTCCGAACTTTAATTATTTCAAGAATTCGGTTGCGTGTAGGGGTCTTTAGCAGTGGGAGAAAACTGGAGGACCCGGAGCAAACCCAAGAGGTTAGACAGGCGACCGTTCTCCTTGTCATGTACAAGCCGGTAATCAATACCATGCTGCTTGTGTCAGTGACAGACCTTATGATCTAAAGCATTCAGCCAACCAAACCCTCGATTTGTGAAGGAGATATTTCGTGATTATTTATATATGATTTATGTATGATTTTAGGTGTATGAGTTAATTGAAAGTGATAATCCCTACAAGACTGTATGTTCTGATAACTGGATGGATGCAATGAATGTACCATATTATGTTCCAATGGATAAAATAGAAGATCTTATATGTAAGACAGACTGGAATATCATGATTGAAAATCTTGTCTATATAAACATGGGTGGCACTGATCAATTAACCAAGGACGTAAGTGTTTTTTTCATAAAAAGTTTCAAAAACACCCAGAAATCAATTTTATTATGCCCAGAAACTATTACTACACACAAAATATCAGAAAGAACCCTACACATTTGAACAAAGCCGAGGATGATGACCAATGTTTAAGACTACAGGGTGTGTAAGAAAGACTGTAAAAAATATTATACTCTGTGGCCATTGGCCTCAGACTTCAATCCAGCACTGTTAACACCAGTTTCTCTTCTCTTTCTTTACTTGATTTTGATGGCTCCGTTGGCTTGATAACCGAGAGATCTCATGTTGGATCCCTGTGTTAAGCGAGATTTTCCGGTGTGGTTCTCCCTTGTCTTTGGTGCAAGACAGAAGGGCCTGGCAAGGGACAATGTATAGTCATTCGGACGGGACAAAAAAAACATTGTGCACATAAAACAACCATTACCAGTTTGAATTTGATATAAGAGTAAGCCGTAGCGCCATTGTCCAGGCAAAATTTCCCTCATAGTCATAGCACACTGTATGGCGTATGCCCGTCTTCATTAGTCCAGTTGGAGCAGAACAGTAGGACGTTAAACCCCATTTCATTTTAAGATATACCCTGTTTAGTCAATAGTGTTAATATTACATTTCTGAAGGTTAAATGGTTATGCCAGAGGCTATTGCAGGTCTTTCTTTAGGCCTGAATGTTGTATAAACTATTAATTAGACTTTTATTAACATGAAAAGACCTTAAAAACCCTTGATGCCATCTTATGTGTGGGATTTTCACAGAATTTGAATCTGATCTTATAATGGATAATCGAGACTATGGTTTTTATCGTACCAACTTTAGTAATGATGATTGAGGCTAGGCCTAAAATTCAATCGCTAATTTTCAACATATTCCCTTTATATTATCTAGTTTTTAACTATTATGAGAACTGCCACCTCTTTATTTAATCTCCCATAATGATTGTTATATTTATAGATCTCTGTAGCGATAGATACTATGTCTAAAGGTGAGCAGGGAAATTATAATATGACTATGGACTGGATTCATCTGATGGACTACACAGAAAGATCTGTTGATATTTTTACCGATGAGAAAAAAAGAAATGCTTTTCTGATGGGAACTGGAAATTGGTTACAAGTATTTAATTTGACTCAAGTGGAACAAGCCTTTCAATTAATGATGAATAAACTTGAAGGTTTAACAATGACTGATGTTGCAAGGTAAGGGCCGAGTACCAATAAACTTTTTATGTTTCAGGGTCGGTATCTAGCTTACAGCAGTTGCAATCTGTTTTAAACACAGATCGTATTTCGTTTCGTTTTTTTATAGTTCAAAATTTCATTTACTTGTCTTCACAACAGTAGGATCTGGAAGAGTTGTTATATAACAGGCGTTCTGCTTGATGTAAGGAATTGTTACGGCAAGTTCTTGGCGTGCTGTGCACGAAAGTGTGGGGAAACCACTAGAAACGTCAACGTTGAGGGATTGGATGGCCGAATGGTTAAATGAAATGAAATGAAATGGGGTTTAACGTCCTACTGTTCTGCTCCGAACTGGCCTAATGAAGACGAGCATACACCATACAGTGTGCTATGAGGGAAATTTTGCCCGGACAGGGCACTACGGCCTACTCTTATATCGAATTCCAACTGTCAAGGGATCTTTTACGTGCACGCCAATGTGTACATGGGACCTCGGTTTTTCGTCCCATCCGAATGACTAGATAGCTGTCCTTGTCAGGCTCTCCATCCTGAATCACTGACAAGGGGGAACCACGCCGGAAAATCTGGATGGATTTTCTTGGCCAATGCTGGGATCGAACACCCGACCACCAGGCTAGCGAGCCAGCGTCTTACCCACTTAGCCACGTGATCCCCCGAATGGTCAAAACATGCACATAGGATCAGAAGATCTGTTATTGAGTCAAGTTGCGTGGTTTGGATTATTGAAATAAAATTGAACCATATGTTAGTCCTGAAATAACACAATCTGATTAAAATACAGATCTATATTTTTTTATACTTTCGATGGGCTCTACTACATGAAGATTAGACAAGTTGTTGTGGGAGGTCGTGTCAGAGGTGATACGAGTGGTTTTTGACCCTATGACGTCAGACAGTGTTGATGTTTCTAGTGGGTACCCACAGTTCCATGAAACTCACGCCAAACATTCTCTGTAACAGACCGTTTCATTGGCTAATCCCTCACATCATCCAGAATACAGGTTATATAACAACTCTTCTAGATTCCAGTGTAGTAAAGACAAGTAAAACAAACTTTTGAACTATAAAAAACAAAACACAAATAGATTGAAAATAACCTAGTTTGTGTTTAGTGGATATTAAACTCCGTATCTCTCTCTCTCAACTAGGGGTGCAGATATTGGTGTGTTTGCTATGAAACAGATTGACAATTATTATGAGAATGATACTTGGTGGAAAGAAATGAAGAGATATGTTTTGAGTGTTAAAGCCTATTTAAATCTACTGAACACTTATTATGATGGACCTGACTGTAAGTATTTTTATTTTAATTTTAAAAGGCCCCTGACAAGGACAGCTGTCTAGTCGTTCGGATGGTACGAAAAAACCTAGGTCCCATGTACACATTGGCGTGCACGTAAAAAATCCCTTGGCAGTTGGAATTCGAGATAAGAGTAGGCCGTAGTGTCACTGCCCGGGCAAAATTTCCCTCATAGCACACTGTATGGCGTATGCCCGTCTTTATTAGCCCAGGTTAGGAGCAGAACAGTAGGACGTTAAACCCCATTTCATTTCATTTCATTTCCTCTTTTTATTGTGGGACTCTCATATTTGTTTCAGATAGAACGAAACTGAAAGTTTAAAAATGTACTTGAATAAGATATATTGTATTTACCGTTGCTTTATTTCAGCAATCAACAGCCTTCAGGCTATGTTAAAGCATTATCCAGAAAGTGTGAGAGAAATTGTTACCAAGTCAGCTGAATTAGCACCTTATCTTGTCAGAGCTCTAAAAGACACCATAATCTTTCCAGAAAGGGTAAAGCATTTAAATTCACTATTTCTTGATTTATTTACCATGTAGAAATATCATAGCAGAGATTCTAGAGCTATATTCTATGAGCTGCGGACAATTTTGGGTTTTGAGTTATCCTTATAATTTGCAGGGGGAAAAAATCACAGAGAATAATAGAGCAATTCGTAACTAAGAAAAACTATGTTTCATCCAATCAAACCTTGAAAGTAATCGAAGCAGTTTGACGGCTGATCCAATGGTCAAAATACTGTGTTGACAAGTAAATTCAAATAGAAATTTCCCTTGTGATGCTATAAAGTTGTTGTTATATTTAAAAGATTGATGAATATGTTCAAAATAATATTGTTCCCAATTCTGGGGACAAGGCGATAGAATCTTTTTTTTTGCTTTACTCAGTTTTTAATCTTGTTGGGTAAAATATGCATTTCTAAACACTATGACATCAAACCACTAAAATGTATTGTAGGTTGTTGTATTTTAGGTATACCATGTTAAATAAGGAACCATCCCAGAGATATATGTTATTGGGGTGTTGGGAGCAATTGTCTTAGACCCAGCCCCCTGGTCAACTGCTTCATGACAATTAACAACTATATTTATTTATTTAAAAAAAAACCATAATTTATTATTAAGAGAAAAAATTTATTTCTTGAATATAAACAATCCCACACGTGTATGTCACAAGGACCATGGTTGCCTTCCAGTTCCCCCTCACTGCTAGAGACCCCTATATTCAAAAAAACTAATTATTGAAATGACCTGATTTGTGGGTGTGTCTGTCTCTCTGCCTCCCTCCCTCCCTCCCCCCACTCCCCTATAACCAGTATATTATTGATGAGGAATGATTTATATTTTACAGTTGTTAAGAATGTTTAATAGAGGAGATTATAAAGCACCTGATTGTAGAGTAAACTTTCTGTCTGATTATATGGTTGATACTGATAACAAACTCCATCAATATGAACAGTTTATATGTGCTGTAAACTGGACTGCTATCGAAGAGGACTACAAAGTAGATCCTGATACCCAGGAATTTATAAATGCTGTAAGTATTATTGTGGAATGAAATGTTAATGTCCTACTGTTCTGCACCGACTGGGCTAATGAAGACAGGTATACACCATATAGTGTGGTATGTGGGAAATTTTGCCCGGACAGCAGCACTACTACCCACTCTTATTTCAAATTCCAACTTTCAAAGGTTCTTTTTCGAGCATGCCAGTGTGTACACATTACCTCCGTTTTCCGTTCCATCCGAACAGCTATACTTTGTCCCTTGCCAGACTCTCTGTCCTGCACCATTGACAAGGAGGAAATCCTGACAGAAAATTGCATGGAGCGAACACTGTGGCTCCCAAGTGTTATTGTTACATAAACGGACAATCTTTCTTTGTTATTTTTATATCTGGGGGACTGATTGGTTTAATGCAGGCCCTATAGATGATTAGGTCTGATTGCGTCAAGTGGCATGGTTTCGATTCCCAGATTGTACGTGTCAAAGAGTAGGGTTGCCTGTCCAAACTTTGTTTTTAAACAATATTTTTATTCACAGGATACCGAAACAAGCCAGGGGGGTTGGATGGCTGAATGGTTAGCGTGCGCGCGCTGTATCATAAAGTCTGTCATTGAGTCGGCTGGCGTGGTTTCGAATCCCCGGTTGTATGTGACAAGGAGTAGGGTCACCTGTCCAACCTTGTGGGTTTTCTCCGGGTCCTCCGGTTTCCTCCCACTGCTAAAGACCCGTACGCGCAAGCGAATTATTGAAATAAAATTAAACCATATGTTAGTCCCGAAATGACCTAGTTTGTGTCGAGTGGACGTTAAACCCCATTTCTCTCTCTCTCCGAAACAAGCCAAAGGCTTATATAAATCACCTTCCCAAAAACAAGATACATAAATGATATAGACATATATTATAATTATCAATATATAGATGTTTCAATGTAGTAAAAATCCTTGATTTTTCTTCAGTTAAGAGATATTATATATGTCGGGAATATTTCTGACAACAGTAGTGTGTATGTTAATTGGACAGAACTAGCTCTTGCCACAGATAAATATATAGAATTTACATGGAAAATAGTGGATGAAGTTTACTACAATTCTGATTACAATTGGTTACCTTTCAATATATCAGCTTTAGATATGAGTTGGTCTGAGTTTGTCAAGGCTATGGACTTGTTTCAAAGAATGCCTGCTGACAGGTAATGTGTATTTTCTATATATGACCATGGGGGTAATGTATAATAATTGGAAGGGTTGTTTTGTTAACTGGCAACTCATGTTTATCACCCGACATCAAGGTCAAATGAAATTTAAAGGCTTATGGAAAATTTTTACTGTATATAAGGGTTGGGGTGAATGGTGGCCAGGGGCGCCGGAACGGCACGAGGGCCAGGATACCTAAAGATAAGGGTGGGGGTCTGGGGGATCTAGAAAATTTTGAAATTTGTCACTTCCGAGAACGCTGTTTAGAGCGCCTCTAGCATTCCAAATTCCAACATAAAACCCTGTAAAATACATAATAATGAAAGAGACAAAAGCCTGATTATTCACAATTTTCGTATTATGAGCAATTTATCTTATAAAAAATTTGACATTCAATACACCAATCTTCATCAAGAAAATAGAATAAGCTTTTTGAACGAGACAGTAGATTTAGAGACCCGATTCTTACAAGAGCTCATATTCAGGAGCAAGTGTTGACGAGACACTATAATGAGACTATAATCGACCAAAATAATTGATGCGCTGATCAGATTTCACAATAAATTCAGATAATCTCATGTATACATGTATACCTCAGAAAAGGGCAGGGTACCATTTGTATACCCTGGTACCCGGGTTCCGGCGCCCCTGATGATGGCTTAGCGTAACGATGCAGGATTTGTATTTGTTAGAAAATATCAAATTTCTCACGGCTTAATCCACTCTATTATGTATTAAGACTGATTATTTAACATTTAATTAAGAAAAAAAAATCAATATACCAACGCTAGACAATGTCGCGTCTTGGATTCAATTTGATTTAAAGCAGGCCTTTCAGTTCTACGGCAAATAAAGATAGCGGCACTCTTGTTTGCCGTGGAGATCGATGGAATTTACATATCGTCATATCTTTGAAAATACTGAATGGAATTGAACCATTATTCGACTGATATTCCTACTAGTGATTCAACTTTCATAATATTGTAGTTTTCAAGGGATTCTATAGCGCTAAAATCACACCCAGGGTTTTAAAGTTATAATATAAAGGTCTGATTTCGAATTGGGTATAAAAGCTGTCTTATATTGTTAAAGGAGAAATGCTATTGAAAGACGGTTGATTACATTGTACAAGAATGGTTTTGAAACAGTATTCATTTGTTTTTTTTTAAATAAATGTATTTTAAAACTGTATTCAGTGGGGTGTTAGTTGAAATAAATGTTATTTAAAGTAGTATTCAATTGTTGTATTTGATGTGTTTTTTTAATGAATGTTATTGAATATTGGGAGCTGTTTTATTTCAGATTAACCGATATAATGAATGAAGTTCAACAGTTGAGCTCTAGTTTAGGTTTTATGGCATTTAATAACACAGAATTCGGCTCAATAATTGGTGGACAGATGTACATGACTAAAGTTGTTTTGACTTTTGGTGTACAACAACTTCAATACTTTAATTGTAAGTACCAAAGTATACAGCAGTCATTGTTTTCTGATAAAAGCTCTCCTTAAACTTGCATTATCGAAGAGCTAAATCTGCCTATTGCAAGTTTTTCTTTAGGCCTTAAATTTTATATAAACTATTAATTAGACATTAATTAACTTATCCAGACCATAATCAACTCTCGATGCCATCTTATCTGTCCGATTTTCAGTGGCTTTGAATCAGATCTGCTGTTCAACGTACGTTGATGATTAAACGCAAAAATGGATAATCAAGACTTTGTTACTTATCTTGACAGCGCTAACAATGACAATCGAGGCTACAAAGATTTTAAAATAAAATTTTCTCAGCTTAGTGTGAAGCAATTTGACTGAAATTTTCAGCATCATCTAGGTTTTAACTATCATAGTGAGAACTGCCAGATCTTTATCTAATCTCCCATAATGTATCTTTAATTTGCACACATATATCAAGTGATATTTATTTATTACGATTATCTGATTGTGTTTATTTATTTACAGCTACAAGTGATGTGTATTTATTACCATATATGGGATCTGATGAATTGACAAGATTAATTACAAGAGTAGAAAAATCACCAGAGATACTGAAAATAGGATTAGATACATTTGTAGACCTTTTCAGTAATCCCCATAAGGTAGGATTAAATTGCTTAACTTAACCTTTAAACAAAAACAAAATGTCTACCAGAAAACACCCTAACTAAGGCTTGATAAACTGCCTTAAACTGTCCTGTCACATGCTCAAATGTGGAGGGACCTGAAGCCCCCAAATGGTCATTTAATAGGGAAAGCTATTCATATTTTTCAGGCTGTTTGATGTGTTCTAAGGTACAGCAGTTTCGAACAGTATCACTTTTCTCTAATCTTCTTTGGGGGTTGGGTGATCTAGTGGTATAACGCGTGGTCTGTCATTGAGTCAAGTGGCATGGTTTCGATTCCCAGCTTGTACCTGACAAGGAGTAGAGTGGCCTGTCCCACCTCGTGGGTTTCTCTGTGTCCTTGTGTCCTTCGGTTTCCTTCCATGGCTAAAAACCACTACACACAAGCGAATTATTGAAATAAAATTGAACCATATGTTAGTCCTGAAGAGATCTAGTTTGGATCTTAAACCCCGCTCTCTCTCTCTCTCCCCCTCCCTCTCCGCTACAGCCTACTCTTTTTTTGAATTCCAATTGTCAAGTGTTCTTTTACATGAAGCCAAAGTGTAAATTGGACCTCAGTTGTTCCACCTAATAGAACATTTAGAAGCTTGGCTGACAGTGCAAGGGGAAACCATGCTGGAAAACCTGACAACGTTCTTGACCAAAACCAGGAAAGCACTCAAGACCTTCTAGTTAGAAAGCCTGCACTTTAAAGACAGTACAATAACTAATTATTATGTTGTTTTTTTAAAATTTTCAGCTGGCATATGTAACCGATCCAGAAAGGGTTCAAGAACTATGTACCAATGTTGACGTGGTAAAAGTCATTTTTGATTTTGATCCTTCGAAGATGTCACCAGCATACTTACAGAATTTTCTTTGTGAATACAACTGGAACTTTACATTAATATTGGATGAATTAACCGAGAATATGCCAGGAGTTAAAACTTTCAGGGAACAGGTTTGTATTTGAGATTATAGTTTTTCTCTCCAGCAATATCCCCATGCTTGTAGTCTAGGAGCCATATTCACATAAACTATAAGAATGTAGCACATTCATTGGCCAAGAGGTAAAATCTGCTTTAAGATTTTAACTTTCAACCAATCAAATGACTGTATTCTTAAAATATTTTAAGAATGCAGCACATTTAATGGCGAAGAAGTAAAATTTGTTTTAAGATATAACTTTCAAACAATAAAACGGCTGTATCCTTCAAATATTTTAATGAATATTAAATCATTGGTTAAATTTAATCACATCACAGGGAATTATGTTGTTTAATGGCATAGATACTTAATTAGTCCGTTAGTCAGGGAAAGTAAACGGTTGTAAAGCAAACGGTCCATTTTTAACAACGCGGCAGTAGCAATCAAATACTTTTAGATGATTCTTAACAAATTTTGAAAATTTTCCAACTATTGTTTGAAATTAACGATACAGAAACCACCAGTAAAATGAAAAGACGTTATTCAACTCTCGATGCCATCTTATGTGTCAGATTTTCACTGGATTTGAATCCGATTTGCTGCTCAACGTTCATTGATGATTTAATCCAAAAATGGATAATAGAGACTATGTCGTACCGACCTTAGTAAGGATCATCACGGCTAGGCCTAAATTGCAAACGCTTATATCTTGGTTCTGAGTTGAGCAATTCTACTGGAATTTTCAGCATATTCCCTTTACATTATCTAATTTTTAACTATTATAGTGAGAACTGCCAGCTCTTTATCTCCATAATGCCCCTTTAACTATTCAATAATTACTACAATATGTTTTTAGCTGGGATTCATTTTATAATTTCAGATCGAAGCATTTATACAGAATCCGACTGCAATTCCAAATAATTTGAAAGCCTCGGAAATTCTAAACCTTAATAATGAGTTTAGTTTATTGTTGACTGCTTTAATAACAACCCCCCCTAATTTCCATATCTTCAACGCCTCTGATTGGATGAATATGACGGTGTATGAACAAGAGTATAACCAGTTCGTAGATGATTTAAATTCCGCCGTGTTGATATTCCAAGATCCTAGGTATGTGAAAATGTAACTAAAATCTAGTTTCCATTGTTTCTAGACGTGCACAAAAATTAAGAATGCTGTTTATTTTGTTATCGATGATACCAGGGCCTCGTTTCTCGAAATCTTAACCAAAGACAAATTCCAAATTTTAGTAGATAATTCAATTTTGATTGACTAAGCACTAAGATCAATCTAATATTATCCAATCAAATTACTAAAATTTGGATTTTATCTTAGTTAAAAATTTGTGAAACAGCCCCCTGTCTTTTAGCTTTTTTGATCGTTCCTGAAATAAGCAATGGACCATCTAGACAACCCAATAGAACAGGGCTATATTCTAAAATATTTGAAGTATGTTGTCTTTTCATTGGTTAAGGGGGGGTTGGGATGGCCTAGTGGTCTAGAGTGCCGCGCTTCGACCTCTGGCTGGCCGGTCACCTCTGGCTTGCGGCTGTGGTTTCGAGCCCTGGTGTGAGCGTATGTGGCATGGAGATAGGGGCGCCTTCTCAACCTCGTGGGTTTCCTCCGGGCACTCCGGTTTCCTCCCACTGCTAAAGACCTCTACGCGCAAGCGAATTATTGAAATAAAATTAAACCATATGTTAGTCCCGAAATGACCTAGTTGTGTCGAGTGGACGTTAAACCCCATTTCTCTCTCTCTCTCTCTCATTGGTTAAGGGTTGAACTTCTGGTACAAGTTTACAATTTTAGCCAGTGAAAGTGCAGCATTCTTATTATAATACTTTAGTTTTAATGAATCAGGTCCCTCACTCACAATTGTCATAAAACAATGACTTTATTGAATTTCTTCACAAATTTATATTTTAATTTTTATAGTACAATATAATCTGTATTCGGCAACCATTCAAGGGTATTTTTTAGAAATGACCGCTTAATGGGTGTGACATCTTAATAAAATTTCGGTGTTTGTTAGTGCTGATATTAAGTAAAACTTTACACTTGGATGCATCAAAGTAAACATTGATACCCCCAACAATAAATTTAACCATCACCAAAACTTGATATTGGAACAAAATCTCTGATATAAATTCTCTAAACTTGTCATTTTGTACTCATATTAATACTACTGCCTACCTTTGTTATGGATTCTGTTATGTGTTTCGCTAGCCTGAACGTTGTGTGTTCGATCCCTGCATTGGCTGAGAAAGTTCATCAAGAAAATCCTGATGTAATTTCTCCTTGTCGGTGGTGCAGGATAGAGGTCCTGACAAGGACAGCTGTCTAGTCGTTCAGATAGTACAAAAAACTGAGGTCCTGCATATACATTGGCAGTTGGAATTCGATATAAGAGTAGGCCATAGTGCCGCTGCCCGGGCAAAATCTCCCTCATAGCACACTGTATGGCGTATGCCTGTCCTCATTTGCCCAGTCGGAGCAGAACAGTTGGGCATTAAACCCCATTTCATTTCATTTCTGTTATGTATTATGTCGCTGTATAATATGTTTATGTTTTGTAGTTTAATGCTTGATTGGGAATTAACATTGAATACGATCATGTATAATAGTGTATTCAAGAACGAATGGTTTAATACTGTACTCTACTATATAGATACAATACTAGATATTAACGCTAATTTATCTACAGGTAATTTATCCATTTTTCGTTTTACAAATATATATGATTATTTCTTGTTTTTTACTTTGTTAACACCGAACACTGCTAAAGACTCCTAAGCGAATTAATGAAATAAAATTGAACCATATGTTAGTCTTAAAATGACCTAGTTTGCATACATTAAACTCTCTCTCAACAGATGGGGATCCAGTTAAATACATGGCTCTTGTATTTCTTTATGATTTTGGTGTTTTTCAAATTTTATAGTCATTGTGTACTTCACTAGGCTTGTCATTATTTAAAACAGCAAGCAAAAGCTTGTCATTGTTTGAAACAGCAAATAATAAGATTGTCATTGTGGAAAACAGCGAATAATTTTAACACTTTATTTTTTACAGTATCTGTACAAGAAGAATTAAGAAATTATCCTATTATGAGTAAAGTGATTTCATTAGTTAATCAGATACCTGAAGCTTTAGAAGTGTATATATATACCTCTTTAATGAACCCAGAAAAGGTGAAACATGTAAACATTTCTTCTAGTCTATATGACGTGTCTTTTCCTATTACCAACTGTTTGATCCCTGCATTGTCCGAGAAAGTTCACCAAGATTTTCCATCGTGGTTCCCCCTTGTCAGTGATGCAGGATGAAGGACCTGACAAGGACAGCTCTCTAGTCATTCGGATGAGAAGAAAAACCGAGGTCCCATGTACACATTGGCATACGCGTAAAAGATCCCTTGACAGGTGGAATTCGATATAAGAGTAGGCTGTAGTGCCGCTGTCCGGGCAAAATTTCCCTCATCGCACACTGTATGGCGTGTGCCCGTCTTCATTAGCCCAGTTTGGTGCAAAACAGTAGGACGTAAACCTCATTTCATTTCATTTCCTATTGCCAACTGAAGCCGACGTGGCTCATTTAGTAGGACGCTGGCTCGCTAACCAAGAGGTCTAGGGTTCACTCCCAGAGTTGACTGAGATAGTTCCTTGGGATTTTCCAACACAGTTTCCATTTCGTCAGTGGTACAGGAAGGAGGGCCTGGCAAGGACAGTGTCTAGTCGTTCGGATTGGAAGGAAAACAAAGGTCCTGTGTACACATTTGCATGCATGTAATTCATATAACGATAGGCCATGGTGCTACTGTGGGGGAAAAGTTCCCCTCATAGCACACTGTACTAAAAATGCATGAAAACTGCACTACACACAAAAGAAAAACACTAAGAGATAACCTGCAGACATAACAAACTATGTAAGTCAATCTTCATCAGCCACTGTAACCCAGGTATCATTTAATCTTGTGTATTTAGCACTAATTTCTTTCACATTCGTTTAATATCAAATCTTTGTTTAAAAATTCGTAAAAATCGTTTAAAATCACCAAAAATCATCTAATTTGTACTTTTGTCCAGTTTAAAGCTGACTAATTAATTTTGATAATGAGTGTCCAATTTACAAGTATACAATTTCCTGACCACTGTTCAAAAATTAATCATTATACATCATTAATCAATTGGGTTGTTTATTTTTTGACAGAGACTGAGAAATTAAACACTTGTAAATTGGACACTCATTATCAAAATTGAATGGTCAGCTTTAAAGTGGACAGATGTGATTTTAAACAGTTTTTAGGAATTTTTAAACAAAGATTGGATATTAAACGAATGTGAAAGAAATTAGTGCTAGATACACAAGATTAAATGATACCTGGGTTACAGTGAGCCCAGTCAGTACAGAAAATTAGGACGTTAAACCCAATTTCATTTCATTTATCGTCAGTCAGTTTGTTTCTTTTCTTCTTTTCCAGATGATTGAACTGTATGTCGGAAACTTGAATAACTTTTGTGATGACCCAAATCAATATTTTGAGACACCAGAAGGACTGAACTTCAACTTAACAGTGTTTTTGAATGAGGCGTGCATGGTGAATTTGACACAATTAGAAACAGAAGCTAGTAACATAGAATGGGTGAGATTTTATATTTTATATTTCATTCAAATTACTTTATTTTGGGCGAAGTTATGACTGTTTGAAAATGTAGCATAGCAACAGTACTTGACAGTCAAGACTAAGTCTTGATTATCCATTTTATTGTTAAATTTTTAAATCTCATGAGTGTTCTAATCCAATTAATTCTTGGCCATGGTCTCGAAGGTTGATTAAATGCTTGTCATTTGAATAAATGTTTAAATAATAATTTAGATATGATTTGAAGCCAGAAAAAAGACCTGCAATACACAGATTTAGCGCTAACATAATGCATCTTTATTTGATATAGGCTAGGATAAATCATGAGCTATGGCTATAGCAATTTTGGGACATTTGAACTATGTCCATATTATTTTTGGAACTTTTGAGCTATGGCTATAGTAGTTTGAGGACTTTTGTGCTATGACAAAGTATTTGGGGGACTTTTGAGCCATGGCTATAGTATTTTGGGGACCTTTGAGCTTTGTCTATAGTATTTTGGGGACTTCTGAGTTCTGGCCAAAGTATTTGGGGGACTTTTGAGTGATGCCTATAGTATTTTGGGGACCTGTCAGCTATGGTTATAGCATTTTGGTGACTTTTTTTTAGCTATAGCTATAGTATCTCTAAAGTATCTTGGGTATAATTATAGGTTACAGCTAGAATATCTTGTTTACTTTTGTGTTATATATATATATATAATGGGATATCTTGGGTACATATGTGCTATTACAGGAATATCTTGGTATGTGCTATACTTGGGGTATCTTGAGTACTTATGTGCAATAACTGGTGTAGCTTGGGTATTTATGTGCTGTAACTAAGATATAATTGGGATACTTATGTGCTATAACTGGGATACTTATCTGCTATAACTGAGATACTTATGTGCTGTAACTGGGATATAACTGGGATACTTATGTGCTATAAATGGGATATAACTGGGATACTTATATGTTATAACTGGAAACTTGTTTATTTGGGTAAAAATCAAATCTGTTAGTTATGTGTTTGTAGACTTTCTATTTATTTGTTCTGTTATATTTTAAGTTCAACATGACGTACAAACATGTGAATGTAACAAACCTGGCAAAGAAAATAATCAAGTTATACCTTAAGGCAGGAAATAGCCCAAATTTTGGTCTAAATCTACGATTATTTGATAAGACTGTCTACGAGACAATGGTGGAAAGAGTAGAAAAATATTTCAACCAATCAGCCAATTACTACATGTATGTATATTTGATTATTTTATGAGCCATCATCTAGATTAATATGTCGAATAAAGTTAATCAGATTGATGTGAAATCATTGTAAAGTGTATATAGTAAACACTAGTTTTAAGGTGTATATAGTAAACACTAGTTTTAAGTACATATAAGTTTGTTTGTTCATTTTATGTGCACTTTAATTTGGATGATTTTGAATAATAGTTTTAGTCAGCACAAACAATCTTGTTGGTAACAAATTAAAGCGTATATGCTTCCTTACAACACAGTTTATGGATAACAATCACTGTATGATTTACACACGACGCTTTGAGAAGACTTTAAGAGTTGTTATCAAGCACCTTGTCAAAGCGTTGTGTGTATGAGACAAGGAGTACGGTCACCTGTCCAACTTCTTAAGTTTTCCTCGATTACTCCTGTTTCCATCGCTTCTTAAAACTTCTATGCACAATTAAAATTTATTGAAATAAAACTGAACCATATGTTTGTGTGGAATGGATATTAAACCATTTTTCCGCCCAATGTCTATATATAGGTAGTAACTAGTGATTAATATCTGCTTCCATTAAGGGTGATATCGCAGACAAACTAGCCTTAGCAGCTGGTCATGTTTGAGAGCCAAGTCAAGCATGGGGATGATTGGAAAGGAGGGAGGGAATGGAAATCGTATCACGACCCATGTAGATAATGTAGCAGTCGTGTCAATTGGGATTTAGTAACTAGTTTTTATTTAATTTTCCGTTTTTGCTTCTTTCAAATTGTCAGTGCCATATGTGTGTTGTGTAAAATGAATTGATTGTCTTTACAGGTCTCCAGAGAGTATATTTAAAGTTGTTGGTCATATTTATAACACCAGTACATCAGGAGTAAGACAAATGTTGGCATGGTTACCAACAACACTGACAGTGGTTGATAATGTTATGGATAAAATTATAGCTTTGGAAAATAGTAAGGATTTTTTTATAAATGAAATGAAATGGGGTTTAATATCCTACTGTCTTGCACCGACTGGGCTAAATCTAGATGTCTTACTCACTGAAACCACATGATTTTTTGTATTTGAGGGTGGGGGTGGGGAGGTCACAAACTCTGAACCTGTGATGCAAGGCGCATCATTGCATCCCCTGGTAAAAACAGCTTGACATAAGTTACTCTAAGCAGAGCTGAATTAACCATTAAACAAAATAAGCACGTGCTCAGGGGATCTTGGGAATGGGACTACCACAGAATGTCAGCTTTGTTAGATGCCAAATTTAGAATATTTAATTCAAAAATTTTCATTGTTTTTATCTTTTCTTACTGTTTTGTTGCAATGATGTATGTATACCCAAGAAAACTCGAACTACATACTTAACGGATGTTTTATCATTTATTATTGTTTATATTTTGAGTTACATATATATGGGGGCAACAGAATCTTTAAAGTGCTTAGTACTTCATCAGGAATTTCCGATATGGTTTCCTCTTGTCAGTGGTGCAACAAGGAGGGCCTGACAAGGACAGCTGTCTAGTCGTTCGGATGTAACGAAGAACCGAGGTCCCGTGTATACATTGGCGTGCACATAAAAGATCCCTTGGCAGTTGGAATTCAATATAAGAGTAGGCCATAGTGCCATAGCCCGGGCAAAATTTCTCTCATAGCACATCGAATAGCATATGCCCGTCTTCATTAGCCCAGTCGGAGCAGAACAGAAATGAAATGGAGTTTAACGTCCTACTGTTCTGCTCCTAACCTGGGCTAATGAAGACGGGCGGAGCAGAACAGTAGGCCGTTAAACCTCATTTCATTAAAGTTCTTGGGGCCTCTATAGGTCTTAATCCGGCCCTGACATCAATCTGATTAAAACACAGATCCAATTTCGTTTCGTTTTTATAGTTCAAAATTTCGTTTTACTTGTCTTTACTACACTTAGATCTGGAAGACTTGTTATTTAACTCTTGTTCTGCTTGAAATAAGGGGTCAGCCAATCAAATGTTCTGTCGAATCGAGTGTTTGACCTTTTTTGCCCGGAACTGTGGGTAATCCACTAGTAACATCAATGCTGATTGGTTAATCAAATGTCTGACGTCATAGGTCAAAAGTCAGTCTTTTGACCCCTGACGTGACCTATCGCTATAACTTGTCAGATCTTCATGTAGTGTAGACCATCGAAAGTATAAAAAACGAAACAAAAAATAGATCTGTATTTTAATTAAATTGGGTCTGACATGTAAGTGATGGTTGTGTGTAAAAACACCAATTAACATAAATATTGTATTTTTACAGAAACAAGTTTTACCCTGGCTGATATATTTAAAGATTCACCTCAGTTACAGTTCTTGGTAAATTTCATACAGAAACCGGGTGTAATTGAAGTTCTACTCGACTCAGTTAATTCACAAAAGGTAATTAAAGGGTGTATGGCTCTCTTCTTTGGAAACTTAAAATAAATGAAAATGAGTCTAAAAATGTACATAAAGAGACTTATAGTCAATTTGTAAAGGTTTTATTGTAATTTCTGATCAATCATTTTTGGTGAAAGTTGTTTACGCCTGCTTAGTCCATTCTACACATTTTTTTGATATTATTTTGTCGTTTGTGAATCAGCCATTAAAGCCTACTTCTGCATTGTCTTGTAGGATATGTTTTTCTTTGTTCGTTACAAATGGCACCTAAAACCATAGAAAGTTAATTATGTCTTAAATATTGGATATTAAAATCCCATATTTCACGGCAAGATAACAACATCAATGTTGACTGAAATGAACCAATATTCAATTTTAATTTGTGTTTTTAATTTCGAATTTTATGGAAAATATTGAGTTAGAGGTTTAGCTCCTTTAAACTATACTGTTCTTTTATTAAACTATTAACCGCACACTATAACTCATCAGTTATCGTGTACTTTTACTATTTTAGTATTCTGTATTTAATGTTTAATTTCAAATTGTTGTTGGCAAATTGTACAAATTCATTGAGAATCTTCGAAAAATATTGGGTTCCTATTGTTGTTTAGTTTAAAATGGTCTGTCTAGATTAGATAAAGAGTGTCGGGTTTACAACTATTTAGTTTCCCGAGCTGTGTTGTTGAGTAATTAATTACAGAAACTACTGCTATATATTTATATAATATTTTTATTTTTCATTAAATGATATTGGGATATTGATCCTTGTCATGCAATAATTAATTTAAAAAAAAGAAATTATATTAAGATGGTTTATAATTTCAGTTTATACCATTAATGAGTATACAGAATGCTACAGAAGCACTGATGTTAATCTGTGATCCGAGAACTGATATGAATACTTACCTGGTGTCGCCAGTTGGTGTTGATGTTAATATGTTACGTGATCAGTTCTGTCAGATCAATATAAACGATCTAGTAACGGAATCTAATGCCGAATTTGACATTGAGCATATTACGATGGTGGTAAGTTTTAAATATTAGTTACTTTGAAACGTCCCCCACTAGTTTTATCACTTTGTTTATGAAGTTTTCGATTCATGGTACAAAAAATAAACTTGACACACCCTTTCTTACTTTAGTGATCTGTCTTAATTGAGATTGAGCATATTATGATGGTGGTAAGTTTTATATGTTTTAAATATTAGTTACTTTGAAATGTTCCCTGCTACTTTTTGTCATCACTTTTTGTCTATGGAGCTTATGATTCATGGTACAAAAACTGAATTAACTATTAACGATACACTACTCAGTCACTTTGTAACCCAAAATCCCCAATGTCAATCGATTGTCACTATTTTGGGGATTGAGAGAATTTAATTCCAGATCGATCAATCAAGTATTCACTTAGTAAACAAATGCAAAGGCGACGACTGAGGTGGTGTGAGTAGAATCATGTTGTAATTAAACACAACGAATATGTTTCAACTGTCATGGTTGGTCGATATATTTCTTATGCAGTTGTCGCATACCTTGTAGCCCAAAATCCAACTTTTCACTAGATTGTCACTGTTTTGGGGATTGAGAGAATTCAATTTCGGATCGTTCAATTGAGTATGCCGAAAATGTACATATAATTTCTACGATAATTGTTGCAGGCTGAGGATAAGACGAACATTGACTGGATAAAGATTGGTGAAAAATATACGAAGATAAGCAAGTTATTCAGTCGTTGGATAGAAACACCACCTACGGTATTAGTACCTACAGAATGGCAGAATGGAACATTCTGGTTAAATATGTTAGAACGGTACAACCAGATGCAGACGTCGCCTGAAGCTATAAATGAAGAGTAAGTAGAATCTTTATTATCGCGTCAAATTAACTTTCTAAGTGGCCCCTAAATTTTGGGGGCCGTGACGCAGGTGCACCTCCATCCACGTTATCCTAGTGGTATTGTTCCGTTCTACCCTACTAACCCCTGGGTCCATTCACTGGGTATCCACAAATGGAAATTATCTTCCCCTAATGATTTCATTGGCCACATAAATTGATTCTACAAACCAATTAAAAAACAGATCACATATACCAGTCTTAGCATCATGATATACGTTCACCACAATACAGCAATTTGTACTCTTAATTATGAGAAAGTTTAATATCAAAGAAATAACATGCACACAAAAAGATATCTATTTTGACAAGGGGGTCACGGTGGCTAAGTGGGTAAGACGCTGGCTCGCAAGCCTGGAGGTCGGGTGTTCGATCCCTGTATTGGCCGAGAAAGTTCACCCAGATTTTCCGGCGTGGTTCCCCCTTGTCAGTGATGCAGGATGGAGATCCTGACAAGGACAGCTGTCTAGTCATTCGGATGAGACGAAAAACCTAGGTCCCGTGTACACATTGACATGCACGTAAAAGATCCCTTGACAGTTGGAAATCGATATAAGAGTAGGCCATAGTGCTTCTATCCGGGCAAAATTTCCCTCAGCAGACTTCATTAGAATAGTTCGGAGCAAAACAGTAGGATGTTAAACCCAATTTCATTCATTTCATTTCATATTTTGACAAAGTTTACAATGATTTGGCGATCTAATGTGAGTAACTTCCATTCACCCATTTGGTTTTGATTTATGGAACTCTGTGATTGGTCAATAAAAATAGCACAATTATCAAAGCCAGATAATTTGACTATGTGTCTCCCCTGTGAATGGGACCCAGGGGTTAGTGGAATAGAATGGAACAATACGACGGGGAATCCCATAGGTAATCCGCCACTGATTATCTCTCGAAATTTAAATTAACATATTCCTGTGATATAACTTTTAGTTAGTCTTAAACTATATATTTTAGAATATATCCTATTGTACTACCATTGGATTATTGGGGGATTGGATGGCCGAATGGTTAGCACGTGCACGCTGTATCATAAGGTCTGTCATTGAGTCAGCTGGCGTGGTTTCAATTCCCTGGTTGTACGTGACAAGGAGTAGGGTCGCCTGTCCAACACAAGCGAATTATGGAAATAAAATTGAACCATATTTTAGTCCCGAAATGACCTAGTTTGTGTCAAGTTGACATTAAACCCCCCCCTCTCTCTCTCTCTCTCTCTCTCTCTCTCTCTCTCTCTCTCTCTCTCTCTCTCTCTCTCTCTCCATTGGATTATTAATTTAAAAACCTTTCTACCGAACAGGATCAATAACAAAATCTGAAATTGGGCTTCCCTATTTTGTACCCTTTTGTTATATTTTTCAGAATTAAAAGTTTCCTTGCCAAGTTATCACCCTTGATGGAAAATGAAGGATTCAGAGAATTTGGTTTGGTTCTGGAGAATCTAATGCGACTGATGAATGAGAACTTTATTGGTCTTCAAAATCAAACTCTGACAGTGGGCAACATGCTGTATAGAATACCAATATTAAAAAAAGTCATGGCCGCAACAGGAATCACTGGAGATGTCTTAGGTGCTATCTTAACGGTACCTGTTAGGGATCCTGAAAACTTCCTTCGAACCATACTGCAGACTACATATAACGAAACGCTGTGTGGCAAGAAGTCAATGTGGCACACAATTCTTGAGCTTCCAGAAAGTTTCGATACATCTCCTTTATACAATGCTGCTTGTAACCATAACAACACAGACATCTTGAAGAATTTGGTAGCTAATTTAGACATAGAAAATCTGATAGATTCATTAACAAATACCTCTGTTACTCCTGATTGGGAATCCGTCTTCAAACAGTCAGAGGAACTTGGCAAAAATATCCAAAACTTCATTAAATTTATGCCAAAATTTGACGCATCCGAGTCATTAGACCTTCTCACCAGAAGTTACAATGAAACCAATCTCTGGAATATGTTATCTGTGTATTCCACTTTTGGTCAATATTTCCCAATCCAAGAATACAGCGTCATCATGAGGAGTGGAACAGTTGTCATGGATTTCTTAAACGAGATGATGAATAAGTTGGACATCCGTGGTTCGAGCTTAGATCTGGCATCGTTATTTAAGGGTAGCCAGACATTCATGAGGATAGTTGACACCATGTTAGATTTAACACCTGATCCAGTCACTGCTTTATTAGGAGTACGTCTTCGACTGTCAAAGGTAAGTTACGTTGAAATGGGCTTTAACGTCCTACTTTTTTGCACCAACTGGGATAATGAAGGTGGGCATACACCATGCAGGGTGCTTTGGAGGGAAATCTTGCCTCAAAAATTGTGCTACGACCTACTCTTATTTTGAAGTCCAACTGTCAAGGGATCTTTTACATGTAAGCTAATAGGTACACATGACCTCAGTTTTTCATATCAACAGGATTACTAGACATTGTTCCTTGCCAGGCCCTCCTTCCTGCAGCACTGATGAGCAGAAACCATGCTGGAAAATCCTGATGAACTTTCTCGGCAAACAACAGGAGCGAACTCGAGACCTCCTGGTTAGCGAACCAAGCGTCTTTAAATATTTTAATAATTCAAATTGTAACTTACGTTAATAGAAATTTATAGCTATTGATAATTCCTACATATTATTTACAGTAAGCAATATGGGGGGATTAGATGGCCGAATGGTTAGCATGTGTGCACTGTATCATTAGGCCTGTCATTGAGTCAACTGGCATGGTTTCGAATCCCCGGGTTGTATGTGACAAGGAGTAGGGTCGCCTGTCCAATGTCGTGGGTTTTCTCTTGGTCCTCCAGTTTGCTCCCACTGCTAAAGACCACTATGCGCAAGTGAATTATTGAAATAAAATTGAACCTTGCGTTAATCCCAAAATGACCTAGTTTTTGTTGAGTGGACGTTAACCCCCGTTTCTCTCTCACTCTCTCTCTCTCTCTCTCTCTCACAGTAAGCAATACAAAGGATTTCTATTGTTTATTCTTGTATGAAAAACCATCCTCAGTATCCTCAGTGGTCTCATTCCGTTCTACTTTACTATACCCTGGCTTCATCCATGGGGTATTCAAATTTTTGACCCATCCGAACAATGGACATGGTCTACTATACATACTGCGCAATTTTGATATATACCATACAATTATTTAAAATGCACTAATTACTTAGATCGTTTTTGTTTGCCATGTGGCTTAGTTTCACAAAGGCAACTTACTCAACTTGTTAAGAATAATCAGCGACCTTGTTTTTTTTATGGGATTATTAAAATTACCCTTAAATGAGCTAAATACTCTCTCCGACTACACTTTTTCTGCCATTTCTCCTTTTCGGTGATCGAGAAAGGGCCATTGTCACTAAGCCATAGTACGTCACATGTCTTTTTTAAAATAGAACATTGACTATTTTACTTTATAATAATAAATTTATTCACTTTATTACAGAATATTGAGTTTGGAAAGCTGGCAACTGAACCTATGAAATTAAATGAGGTTTTCTGTAATAAGGCTAAGTTTTTGGAATATTTTGAAGTACCAGCCAGTTTTAATGTTACAATTGTTATACAGGGAATGTGTAACATAAATTTCACGGCTATTGCAGAAGAATTACAATATGAATTCCCCATCAATGAATTAATACAAAAGGTAAGAAATACATTTATTTTAAAAATAGGCAAGAAATGTAACAAACGAATTTGATTTGGCATATTGTTTTTTCTTTTATTTGTTAAAATCTTACTTGAACAGATTATCATTTAGGAGACCAAATGCAATTTCATTTAGCAAGAATGATATCAGATGTTCTAGAAAGATTATCCTTTGTTTGGGTTGTCAAAAATAATACCGTTTGCTAAGGCTGTCAAAAGGAATGCCCTTTGTTTGGACTGTCAAAAAGAATATCGATATATTGATATATTGCAATACAGGTTCTACGGAATACAAAGTATTTGTTTTAATATTTTCACTTTGTGTTTAAAGTGTTTAATTAGTATATGCCCACATTGAAATGTTGGTGTATAATATAATGTTGTCACAATTGCCTGGTTGACTGTCCTGCATCCACAAGCATTTGGAGGCTAAAGTTATAAATTGATACATTATAGTGTCTAAACACTACAACTCCGGTGTCGTGTAGTTGTGCTGTTTTAGCAGGAGTTTTGTTTCAAACCATTGTTGGAAAACTGTTAAAATTTGTTGAGAATCATTGAAAACTATTGGGTTTCTACTGTCTCCTAGTTTGAGATGGTCTAATGAGTATTGGGTTTACAACTCTTTACTTTCTGAGCGGTGTTAATTACTTTTCATCATTATGTAGTGTCTAAATATACACCTATTTGTCTGGATATTTAATTTTAATTGTGTCTGTCTGTTTTTTTGTAGTTTTCAAATCTGGGAAATTCATCCGCACCGTTCAGTCTCCAGGAATACATCGACAGTTCTCAACGATTCACGCAGCACATCATGGAGTTGATTAATGTCACGGATGTTACGTTTGATAATCGTGACTTAGAAAAGATATTTACTATCAATACCACTGCTTTAATGAAATTATGGGAACAGGCTCAAACAGACAATGAAATTATACCTTCACAGCTGTAAGTATTGCCTGCATAATTTGTCTCAATATCTCCAGCCTAAATTGTTTTGGGGTTTAGCAGTAGTTCTTTAGGACAATGAAATTATTCATTCACAGCTGTATTGGTCAAAAAAGTTCATCAGGTTATGCCATCATGGTTTCGCCTTGTCAGTGGTGCAGGACGGAGAGACTGACAAGGGCAGCTGTCTAGTCGTGCAGATGGAACAAAAAAACATTGGCGTGCACGTAAAAGATCCCTTGGCAGTTGGAGTAGGCCATAGTGCCGCTGCCTGGGCAAAATTTCCTTCATAGCACTCCATTTGGCGTATGCCTGTCTTCATTATCCCAGTTGGAGCAGAACAGTAGGACGTTAAACCCCATTTCATTTCATTTATATAGTTGCTCTTCTCAAAAGCTGTTAGTTCCAAATATTTTAGATTTGAAATTTTAACAAAATGTACTTTGGCCTAATTTGTTTTGATTTCTCCAGCCTTAACTGTCTGGGGGTTAGTGGTTTAATCAGTGTGCGGTTTCCTAGTACTGCTAATTAAAGATGCCTACGCACATCCTCGAAATGACCTAGTTTGTGTTGAATAGAGTTAAATCCAATCTCTCTCTCTTAATCAGACTACAAGGAATATTAGTCTGGACAATAGAGCATCCATTGTGTATATGACAACTGTCTGGATGTCAGTGTATTCAATTCACGATCGGAGAATTTGCTACCTAAATCCTCATTTATTCTGCAATCTATCGAATTTTGATTGTACTGAATCGAATTTATTTACACATTTAATTTATTTTATTCTAAGTTTAATGTATAACTTTTTGTCTATTATTTCCAGAATTAACGATTTGTTTAAAGAAAATATGAATGTATCTGGTTGGAGAGAAGCAATGACAGTTCTTCATCTTTTTGACTCTTATCTGAAGGATATGAACCAAAATCTACGAAATATTAAAAGTAAATTTTTTTATATTGACCAGTAAATCTCCATTAGTATCATAAAGTCAAATGATAATCGAAGTGCTTGATGTTGGTCCCAAAATAACCGAGTATGTGTTGAGTGGATGTTAAGCCCAGTTTATCTCTGTCTCGTGCTTGATATAGTGTCTCGGTGCCACGAATTGTAACTTTTGTAGCTTCAGTGAAAGCATTAAATCTCTCACAATTTATAACTTTTGGGTACTTCAGTGAAAGCATTAAATCTCTTATGATTTGCAACTTTTGTGGCTTCAGTGAAATCCTTAAATCTCCTGTGATTTGTAACTTTTTAGGGTTTCGGTGAAAACATTAAGTCCCTTATAATTTGTAACTTTTGAGGCTTCAGTGAAAGCATTATACATCTCATGATTTGTAACTTTTGGGGACTTCAGTGAAACCATTAAATCTCTCATGATTTGTAATGAAAGCAATAAATCTCTCATGATTTGTAACATTTGGGGCTTCAGTGAAAGCATTAAATCGCTCATGATTTGTAACTTTTGGGGCTTCAGTGAAAGGATACAATCTCTCATGATTTGTAACTTTTGGGGCTTCAGTGAAAGCATTAAATCTCTCATGATTTGTAACTTTTGGGGCTTCAGTGAAACCATCAAAATCTATTATGATTTCTAACTCGTTCCATTTATCTTCTGTTATACAGATCAACCATTAAGTCTACAACTCTTATTCAACGGAACAGATTTAGGACCCACACTGATGACGGTATTATTGAAACCAGAATGGATTGAAGAATTAGTTCAGATTCACTTCCATCCTGATGCTGTAAGTATCAAAAAGAACAAAAAGGACGGAATATTAAGAATATGTGACCCTTGATATCGAAATCGCAAATCTTTTACGATATGAACAAAAATGTTGATGTAGGATAAAAATATATTTTGAATGGTAACACAAATTTATAATTGACAAATATAGCAAATTATTTTTTTTTATGATTTTAGACTATTTTGACATTTTTGTTCATATGTTGTTATAGTAAAAAATGTCTTGTGACTTGTTTTGTTGTCACAGGTCACATATAAATATACTTCTTGGCTCCATATTAGAAATATTTATAAATTCTGATTTTCTGGGTCACTTAGTACACATTTTGGGGGTGTTGGATGGCTGAAATGTTTAACATGCGATTTAGATCCTAAGATCTGTCATTGAGTCAAGTGGCAGGGGTTCGATCCAATACCTGTACTAGACAAGGAGTAGGGTCGCCTTTCCAACCTCATGGGTTTGTCTCTCTCACTTTATTAGAGGGGTAGGGGTGGCTGAATGGTTAAAGTGTGCACATTGAATCAGAATTTCTGTCATTGAGTCAAGTGGAGTGGTTTCGATTCCCCACTTGTACGTCAACCAAGAGTGGTTTTTCTCCAGGTCCTCGGGTTTCCTCCTGGTGCTGAAGACCCTGAAATAAAATTGAACCATATGTTAGTCCCGCAATTACCTAGTTTGTGTCAAGTGGACGTCAAACAATGACAACACATGACATTGGTTATTAATATTCTATGCTCGTTTGTATTTTTCTAGCTACTAAAGTTGATAGAGAATGGATCTCACGCTGAGTTATGTGGTAGAAAGTTCTGGGATGTATTTATATTACCTGATGATAATACTGGTGTATTACAACAACTACAGAATCAAATATGTCAGGCTAATATCACCGCCATGACATGGGCGAATGTTGTTTTACAAATACAAGGATTAAAATTCTATCATGAGGTAATCTATTTATTTGGCATATAAGTGTCCAGTAAAATCTTTTGATGGTCGTCTTTTTTATTCAGGGGGGGTGGATGGCCGAATAGTTAACGCATGCGTGTTGGATCATAAGATCTCTCATTGAGTCAAATGGCATGGATTTGATTCACCGCTTGTACGTGACAAGGTTTGCATGTCAACCTCGTGGGTTTTCCGCAGGTCCTCCAGTTTCCCCCCACTTCTAAAAACCTCTATGCACAAGCAAATTATTGAAATAAAATTGAACAATATGTTAGTCCCAAAATGATCTAGTTTCTATCAAGTTAAACCCCATCTCTCTCTTTTTATTCTGATTGAAACCAAGACAAGAGATTATGTTAAATCATCAGTTTGATCACATTTTAACTTTAAGTGTGAAAAATTAGATTAAACATGCATTATGCAAGAGCAAAATCTGCTTATTACAAGTCTTTCTTTAGGCCTGAAATGTTATCTAAATTATCAGTTAGACATTAATTAACTTATCCAGACCATAATAAACTCTTGATGTCAAGGCTAGCCTTCGATGTTGGCTGGATTAGATTCCTAGATTCCTATATACTTTCAGTAAAACAGCGCAATTACATAATACCCGAGTTGTAGTGTTTAGACACTATGTATCAATTTCAAGTCAATCGAATGATATACTTTAGCCTCCAGTCCAGACGCTTGTGGATGCGGGCCAGTCAACCAGACAGCCCGCAGCTGTGACAAGAATATACACCAACGTTTCAATGTGGGCGTATAAAAATTAAACACTTTAAACACAAAGTGAAAATATTAAAACAAATACTTTGTATTGCGTAAAACCTGTATTGCAATATATCAATATTTCGATATTCTTTTCGACAGTCAAAACAAAGGGTATTCTTTTTGACAGCCTTAACAAACAGTATTCTTTTTGACAACCCAAACAAAGGATAATCTTTCTAGAACAAATGATATCACTCTTGCCAAATGAAATCGCATTTGGTCTCCTCCTAGATGATAATTTGATACATTAAGATAAAATTTAAACATGCATTATGCAAGAGCAAAATCTGCTTATTACAAGTCTTTCTTTAGACCTGAAATGTTATCTAAATTATCAATTAGACATTAATTAACTTATCCAGACCATAATAAACTCTCGATGTCAAGGCTAGCCTTCGATGTTGGCTGGATTAGATTCCTATATGCCGCTAACGGCTATTGATAATTAAATGAAAAGAAAATGGATAATCGAGACTATGCTGTTTATATTAATGATTTTAGTAATGATGACCGAGACTATGCAAAAATTTCACCCGCTTCTTTCTCGGCTCATAGTGGATCAATTTGACTGAAATTTTCAGCAAATTATCTTTACACTATCTAGTTTTTAACTATTATAGCGAGAACTGACATCTCTTTATCTTATCTCCCATAATGTATCTTTAAATGATGCCAAGGTTACAGTGTTACATATATTTATGACGTTTACATAATACTTTACTGTTTCAGGCCATATTAATACAAAAGCAGTTAGAATCTGGTCATGGTGTAATGGTTAATATAACCGAGTTAGATGTAGATATGAGGGAAATGATAAAACTTGTTGGTGAAGTTATACAGGCTTACACATCGGGCAACCAGACTGTCGGAGAGTTCGTAAATGTTAAGGGTTTCCAAACCGTGTTTAATAAATTGCATGGAGAACTAGGACAGAAACTAATGAATATGACTTCAACTTGGTAAATATTTTAACATTTCTGTGTAACAAAAAATATTGCATTCTTTTCACGATTATTGTATTATATTTATAATGTTCCTATGACAGGCCTCAAAAGAATCATCCATGGAGGAGACACGTATTCAAATCATCTACCATTGATGACTGTTCTATTTTTATCGACCAATCAAAAAAATTGTTAAATACATAAAAACTGACATAAAACCATATTTGACATTTTTAGGACATCTTTTTGTTTGAATGTCACTTCTTTTATATTAAATATCTTGCAAACTTTCTTAAATCAAGCAAACAAACCGCCATATTTTTGTGAATGTAAACAGTGAGGCTAAGAATGGTAGGTAAACTGTTTTTTTATTGGTTCGTAGTGCAATCAAGGGCAGGTAATTTGAATACGTAAATACCCCATGGATGAACCCAGGGTATAATGGACTAAGTGGAGTAGAACAGAATGAGGCCGATGGATGTACTGAGGAGGAGAAAGAATTGAAGATTAACTTAATTAAACTAGTATTACTGTTAATCACAATTTAACATTTCACAAATCATACACAGAAATCAGAGATTATATTTTGAAGTAAATAGATAAATGGGTTTCACATTTATGGCGTACTATAAATGTTTTATTTATTGCAGGTCTTTAGAATTATCTTCATTATATTATAAACAAATGGAAGAACTAGATCCGGCCACGAGACGAACTATTAAAACTATGAATATCTTCTTAAAAATGATCAACGATAGATTAATCGATATTCGAGGTACTGGCTCAATTTTATACTAATACTACTCATATTAAAGTAATAATGCACGATAGGCATTTGTTGCTTATGTATCAATTTTTTCACGACTGAATCCATGCCGATGTTTAAATGATACGTGAAGATGCCTTCAAGAGTAAAAACTGTGTGATTTGATGATATATTTAGACTAAAAACGTATGCAAACTAATGTATTTGTCAAAAATTTTCTTGAAATCCCTCTTAAAACTTTTTAATCTAAGGAAAACTATCCCTATTTAAAGCAACCTTGTTGTCAGTGACATGACTGAGATCGAAACAATTTTCAACTTATGTCATTAGTTGCTTTCCCTATACCATAAAGATCGAGGCCTAACTAAATTCTTGGATTATCCCTCTTTCAACTGTTAGCTATTAAATGAACACAAAAGCAGCGCTACACATATAGTTGCCTTTAGAGACTAGATTGACATTTATTCTGTTCACTTAATAACAATTTTTTAGACCACAATGTCAGCATAACCATAGGTATTCTACAGAACAGATAGACTATTATCATTATTGATTACTGCACCACTGACAAGGGGAAATCCTGATGAACTTTCTTGACCAATGCAGGAATCGAACACGCGACCTCCAGGCTAGCGAGCCAACGAGCCAGCGTCTTACCCACTTAGCATCCGTGGCTCCCTCAGGTTAAAAGACCCCTTTATCAAATGTTGTAAGATATATGACCACAGTCATAATTTTACAAGACATATAAACAATGTCAAGTACAACAAACTTTTATATGATCTTTTGCTATATTTATTTTTTAAGATGGGGGAATCAGTTTGTCAACTCTACTGGGTCATTCTCAACAACTTATAACAACAGTTGATGCCTTTATATCTCTCAGTAAATATAAAACAGAAACATGGACGAGTGGAATTATTGATTTCGATCATGTAAGTTATTTTTAGGCTAGAATTTATTAAACATACATTATGCAAGAGCTAAATCTGCCTATTGCAGGTCTTTCTGTAGGCCTGAAATATTTTCTAAAGTATTAATTAGACATTAATTAACTGATCCAGGCCATAATCAACCCTTGATGGCATTAGATTTCTCCGATATTAAATAGATTAGAAAGGTTCAGCTATATTTTGATTTAATTTAAAAATGGAGGAGTGAGACTTAGCTTCGAACAACCAGTACGGTGGTTGAAATTATTGCACACGTCTTGTCAAACCTTCAAAGGCTAGTATCTTCACTCACAATAGAGTAATTTGAATGAAATTTTCAAATTATTTATTTAACATTATCTATTTTTGAACTATTATAGCAAGAAAGGCTAGTTCTTTATCTAAATCTTACATAATGTATCAACAGTATTTTTAATGTTATGATATTATCGTATTATGTATTTTAGCTGGCTGAAATGTTCACCAACTCTACTTTACTAAAGACTAAATGTGATGATGGAAGTGTAAGTGACTACATCAGTAATGGTACTATGTCATCATCACTTATAAATGATATACAGCGATTAATCTGTACCTTCCCAGCACTACCAGCAGCTTTAAAACAAGTTATTGACTATGAAACAATTGGTACCGAGGTAATTATTTTAGTATCATTTTGTTTCAAATATCAGGTTTAAAACTGAAGTGAAGAGAAATACATTGTGGTGTAGATTTTACAGAAAATCTTTTAATTAAATTATAAAATATTACCAAAAATGTTGATATCTACAAAAAGAAAAACATTAGGGTGTAGATTACTTAAAATCTTTTAACTAAATTCTGAAATATTACTAAATGTATTCATATCTACAAAAAATTATAATATCTACTTAGTGTGTCTAGTCATTTGGATGAGATGAAAAACCGTGGTCCATCAGTGTAAGATTGAGTTAGTAGGCAAAAACGCAGCTACTTGGACAAAATTCTCCCCCTCGCATTACCCACATATGGAATGAAAATGTCCATATGTTATCTCATATTGCCCAGTTACGGCGTGGTTCCCCCCTTGTCCGTGATGCAGGATGGAGGGCCTGACAGGAACAGCTGTCTAGTCATTTGGATAGGACAAAAAAACGAGGTCCTGTGTACACTTTGGCATGCACTTAAAAGATCCCATGACAGTTGGAATTTGATATAAGAGTAGGCTGTAGCGCGGATGTCTGGACATAATTCTCCTCATAGCACACTGTATGCGGAACCCGAGACCTCTAAGTTACTGAGCTAGCGACTTACTCACTGAGCCACCAAGTCTCCCCGATGAATACTTTGAATGTGAGTATAGAATCAGTTTATATATATATATATCAATGGTTGATTTCAGTTGATGAATACATGGAATATGAGTATAGAAGTAGAATCAGTTTATGATAATTATACCAGAAATACTCTACTCTTGAATGAATTAATCACCCAAATCAGCCAGAAAACATTAACAATTGATCCAAAATTACAACAAACATTTAGTGCTGAGAATATACTAAAGACGCTTGAAAATGTTTTCATGAATCCAACTTTGTAAGTAAATTGATCGTTAAAGATGCATTATATAAGAGCTAAAAATGCCTGCCTATTGCAGGTTTTTTTCATAATTCAAAATTTCTTAGTAATAGACTGATTAAATGACAGATATTAAATTTGTGATTGATAAACAGTAATTTTCCATGTTAAATATTTAGATATGTTCTTAATTTGGGAAATTTGATTAAAGATACATTCTGGGAGATTAGATAAAGAGCTGACAGTTCTCACTATAATAGTTAAAAACTAGATAATGTAAAAGGAATTTGCCGAACATTTGAGACAAATTGATTCACTCTGAACCAAGAATTTAGCGATTGAATTTTAGGCCTAGCCTCGATCATCATTACTAAAGTCGGTACATTAAAAAACATAGTCTTGATTATCCATTTTGCAATTTAATCATCACTGAGTGTTGAGCTGCAGTTCAGATTCTAATCCAGTAAATATCGTAGGCTAGCGATGACATCGAGAGTTGATTATGGTCTGGATAAGTTAGTTAATGTCTAATTAATAATTTAGATAACATTTCAGGCCTAAAAAAAGATCTGCAATAGGCAGATTTAGCTCTTGCATAATGTATGTATAAGTGACTAATAATTGAATTTGTTTAGTTGTTTTTGATTAATAACTAGAAATATATTTTATTTTTAATGCATTATGATTAGGTTGATACACCAATATGTATTGGTTGTACATGACAAGGAGTAGGGTCGCCTGTCCACTCTCGTGGGTTTCCTCCGGTTTCCTCCCACTGCTAAAGACCCCTACGCGCAAGAGAATTATTGAAATAAAATTGAACCATGTGTTAGTCCCGAAATGACCTAGTTTGTGTCGAGTGGACGTTAAACCCCATTTCTCTCTCTCTCTCCAATATGTATCGATACTTTTCGGCAATATTTATATCGATAGGAATATAACTGTATTGCCATATCATTGAAAAAATATAGCTGTATTGTCATATTGTTGAAAAAATATGTTAAGAAAGACCATGAAACTTATTAATAGTTTCTAAATAACTATTAAATTATTAATTTGTTTGCTTTGCCATTTCTGTAATAATGAAGCAAAAATGATATCTGTTTCACAGTTTATTTTCTTCGGCACGTGATATGAAGTCAGTTTTTTGACTTGCCCAGTGCATTTTTGATTGTTATGTCATACATTCACACAGTTTATTTTGATAACTGGTTAACTATAGCTACACGACCTCGGTCTGGGTTCAAACACCTTGAAACAAAATGTAGTTTGAGACTAATTTGTGATGTGACCATATCGCGTATCGGTTTGCTGTATCGTCAATACATATTGTATCGAAAATGAACTGTATCGACACAGCCCCAATTACAATAATGTCAGTTGGTTTACAGAATATTTGATTGAACATTGTTTAATTTCTAGGATATTTAATATATTGAAATCGTACAGTCCAGAAATACAGAGAGTATTGGGTAAAGATGAAGCTTTTAGCCCAACTTTAGCAATGCTGAACAACTATTTTATACTGCCGATGACACAAATGTTACAAAAACTTGAAGGTAGGTGGTCAAATATGGCTGTATAGGTATGATTAAAGCCACTAATCATCCATCCTCTGTATCACCAGTGTTCTCAGTCCGTTCTACTCCATTATATCTGGTTTAATCCATGGGCATTCACGTATTCAAATTATCTACACTTGATCATACCTTGATTCTACAAACCAATCAAAAAACAGTTTACAAACCAGTCTTTGCCTCATTGCTTATGTTCACAACAATATGGCTACTTGTTTGTTGCAACAAGATGGGAGTTACTTCCATTCTCGGACTTCCTTTCTATTTTAATGGTTTTTTTGATTGGTCAATAAAAATAGCATGGTCATCATGCAGGGGCAGATAATTTGAATACTTCTCCCCCATGGATGAGCCAAGGGGTTTGTAGAGTGGAACGGAATGAGACCACTTGGGATACGGAGGATGCTGATCATCATTTCAAGGATTTTTAATTCCTTGCGGACCACAATATTGGGAAAGCTGAATATCAGTGCTTCAGTTATTTATAATATTTGCAACATTCAGCATATTTGTATATCTGTCATGACGAATTTTTTTTCAGGTGGCTGAGTGATTAATATATCTTGACTCACTAATGTGGATGCTCTGTGTTGGTCGAGAAAGTTCATCAGGATTTTCCGACGTGGTTCCCCCTTGGCGGTGGTGTAGGATGGAGAACGGATGAGACTAAAATCCGAGGTCATGTGTACACATTGGCAGTTGGAATTTTATATAAGAGTAGGCCGTAGAGCCACTGTCAAGGCAAAATTTCCCTCATAACACACTGTTAGTTAGACGTATGCTCGTCCTTATTATCCCAGTCTGTGCAGAACAGTGGGTCGTTAAACCCCCATTTCATTTCATTTCATGAATTTTTCAGAACACGGTATAACAATAGATGGTTTATTATCCGATCCCAGTAAACTGTTATCAGCTGTTGAAATACTCTCTGGTTATGATATGCAACTTGTTCTAAGTACTGATTCGGCTCTTCAGATTGTGGTAAGTTAGCCTTAAGACCAATATAGTTAAATTTTGTTGATTATAAATAACCTTCTCTATTCTTGCATGCAGTGTTTGCAGAGTACTTTTTGTTTTTAATTTTTTTTTTTTTTTGTGAAGAAATTGGAGGCAGAATCTTGAAGATGTGTTCCTAAAGAACAGAAATTCAAATTGAGGGTCGCCTGTCCAACCTTGTGCATTTTCTCCGGGTCCTCCGGTTTCCTCCCACTGCTAAAGACCCCTACGCACAACCCAATTATTGAAATAAAATTGAACCATATATTAGTCGCAAAATGACCTAGTTTGTGTTGAGTGCACGTTAAACCCCACCTCTCTCTCTCTCTCTCTCTCTCTCTCTCTCTCTCTTTTGCTTCAAAACGTTCAGAGATTACTCTGTGTTATAGTTTATCTCTCATTCTCGTTTCAGTTAAATCCATTAACAAATTCACCAATTGTTGTTAAAACGTTACTGTGTAATGCGACAACACTAAGATCAGTGATTGGTTATTTGAATATCCCAAATTTTGATGCGGTTCAACAATTACTCTGCAATAAGCCTGCGTCTTTTTGGATTGAAGACTTACGGAAAATGGGTGTCGATACACTACTGATTTATAACATGGGGATGAAGGTGAGTAGTTGATCCAGCAGGGATGCAGAGAGATTTATTGTGTGTGAAAGCAAGACAAATTTTGGACCCCTTCCCCCTTCCAGAATAGCGCATAGTGGGTCTGGGGTTCTGCATCATGAATACCAGCTAGTCTGACATAGAAAAATTAAATCAATATTTATGGTCCCCCAGAGCCATCTACCGGCCGCACCTCTCTCACTGAGTCTAAAAATTAAATCGATATTTATGGGCCCTCCTGAGTGATCTACCGACTGCACCTCTCTCACAGGGTCTGAGATCCAGTAGTTGAAATAGACAAAAGAATTATACAACTCAGCATTCATCGAAGTGTTGTATTCTTTTGTCATATAGGTGGATGGACTTTGATTTTTGATGCTATCTAAGTCTTGTGACAGAAACAAAAACAATCCATCCAGTCTAGTTCCCCTCTACATAATGTCCTTTGCGACCATTTATTGAACTCTCTACATAAAATCTGATAAAACACAGATCCTATTTCATTTCGTTTTATTTGCCTTCACCACACAAGGATCTGGAAGAGTTGTTATACAACCAGCGTTGTGGTTGATGTGAAGGATTAACCAATAAAACGGTCTGTTGCAGCGAGTTCTTTGTGTGCTATGCACGGAATTATGGGTATCCTATCTAGAAACATCAATGGTGGTTAGTTAATCAAATGTCTGATGTCCTTGGGTCAAAAGCCACTTGTGTGACCCCTGACGCAACCTCCCACTATAATTGTTGTAGAGGCCATCAAAAGTATAAAAATACGAAATGAAATATAGATATGTATTTTAATCAAATTGTCTCTACATAATGTTATTGGCGATCATAAAGTATATTATTGAGTCAAGTGGGCGTTATTTCGATACCAAGCTTGTATGGACAAGGTATAGTATCACATGTCCAACATCTTGGGATTTCTCCGGTTCCTCCTATTACCTCCCACAGCTAAAGATGGCTTCGTGCTGGCGAAATATTGAAATAAAATTAAACCATATGTTAGTCCCAAAATGACCTAATTTAAACCCAATTTCTCTCTCTATTTAACCTGAAATTGATTTAAGAGAAATAAAACTATTTTTCTACTGGTATTTTCGCAGCTTGCACTTTCGGAGTTTGAGTATTCGTGTTACGATGTAATGGAATCTGTTATGGGTTACAACCATACATATACTTCGTGTTCCTCGGGAGATAGTCTTGATCGTCATTTCACTTGGCCAAGATTTGTTGCCGGAGTGGAGAAATTAACCAACCTAATGATGGTAAAGGGGAGTGATATCAGTAATTCGTGGTTAAGTCCAAATGCATCAAGTGACGTCATATGGAGAATACTGAAAAATGTTTTAATAGAGACTCCTATGAATGGGTAAGCTGCATTTAACATTACTTTGTAATGGGTAATCTTCAATTTAAATCTTTTTGTAATGAGTTACGTAGCTTCATTTAAAAGTCTTTTTGTAAACTGCATTTAAAATTATTTTGTAATGGGTAATCATCAATTTAAATCTTTTTGCAATGAGTAAGCTTTATTTAAAAGTCTTTTTGTTAGCTGCATTTAAAATTGTTTTGTAATGGGTAAGATTCAATTCAAATCTTTTTTAAGCTTCAATTAAAATATTGTTTAAGCTGCAATGAAAATATTGTTTAAGCTTCAACTAAAATATTTTTTCTTCAATTGAGATATTTTTTAATACGTAAAGTTCACTTTTAATCTTGTATCTTGTTATATGAATTAAAAAATTGGGATCACGTTGGCTGAGTGGGTAAGACGCTGGCTTGCTAGCCTGGAGGTCGGGTGTTCGATCCCTGCATTGGCCGAGAAAGTTCATCCAGATTTTTCGGCGTGGTTCCCCCTTGTCAGTGATGCAGAAAGGAGGGCCTGACAAGGATAGCTGTCTAGTCGTTCGGATGGGACGAAAAACCGAGGTCCTGTACAAACATTGGCGTGCACGTAAAAGATCCCTTGACAGTTGGAATTTGATATAAGAGTAGGCCATAGTGCTGCTGTCTGGGCAAAATTTGTCTCATAGCACACTGTATGGCGTAGACCCGTCTTCATTAGCCCAGTTCGGAGCAGAACAAATGTATAAATGATAACATTTCAAGCCACAAATAAGACCTGAAAGAGGGAAATTTAGCTCTTGCATAATACGTCTTTAATTACTGGGTTTTGGTTTCAGAGTTCTAAATACATTTACGTTAAATGAGCAATTGGGTAACAAATCCATAGCAGAGCTTGTCAACAGTTTTGAAGGTTTTCTCAACAAATACATGGAATTATTTATTGGTAAGTATATTATAATAGTTTCTGGTTGGATTTCTTATCTCATATTTTGAATCTAAACTTGTTAAAATCCCCTCGAATCCAAATAAAGATTAGGGTACCAGAGTGAGAGATTCTGTTGTTTTGGTATTGATTTAAAAATCCCTAAAATGTGGGTTCCAACTATAATTGATGCAGAAAGACGTCCAGCTAGAGTCCATTTCAAAATGGTAGACACACATGAATTCACGATACACTACCATAAATAAAAAACATGAAATATGAATTTAATTTTCAAAGTTATTAAAAATGACCGACTGTGAAAATTTTGAAGTGGAAGCCCCGGCCCAGAGTCCATTTCAAAAATGAATTGTTCTGATAGATGATGACTAGGTTACCAGAATGTGAGATATTGTAATAATGTTTTGGGAAAATCAATAAAATATAGGTTTTAACAATAAAAAGAGATTTTGTTTTGTACATTAAACATGTTGTAATTAGAATAAACTAAATAAACTTTTTGACCCAGAATATGTAATATTTAACCCATAATGAATATTTAACCCATAATGAATATTTAGAAAAATAAAATTTTAATTTCTTTGTTTAAAGTTTCTTAATGTATATGTATTCCCCATGAAATATTTTCAGATTCACCAAATCCGATATTACTTAAAGATGTTTTACCAAATAATCTACAAGTTGAAAAACTACTTGAGCAAATTCTCAGTCCAGAAACAGCTGCAGAATTTCTTACAATGGCCGTTGATCCCAAAAAGGTAAACCAAGAACACAATTTATAACACATTTATGACCTGAGAAGTCAATTGTAATCCGATCCCCAACGAATATATGAATGGAACATGATTTAACGCATGCACGTTTGATCATAAGGTCTGTCATTGACTCATGCGGTGTGGTTTCGATTTTACACTTGTGCATGACAAGGAGGAGGGTCGCCTGTCCAACCTTGTGTGCCTTCTCCGAGGCTTCCTGCTCCTTCCACAGTTAAAGACCCCAACATACATGCGAATGTTTGAAATATATTGTTAGTTGTAAAATGGCGTAGTGTGTGTTGGGTGGGCGTTAAACTCTCTCTCTCTCTCTCTCTCTCTCTCTCTCTCTCTCTCTCATATAAACATTATTCTTCAGTTTATGAGTTTGGCGTATGTTAGTATATTGTGGAGGACATTGTGTGTAATTTGACCTTCCCTTACGAAATGTTCATAGATCTATCATCATGTTTGAAGTCTTGACAAGAATAGCATAGTCTTGATTTGTCATTGCTGCGATAATAGTCTTAGCGTTAACTGATTAAATAGCACATGTATTCTAATCCAATTAATATCACAGCCATCAGATGTTCTACATAGTTGATTAGATTATGGGCTTGTCATGTATATAAATGTCTAAATAATGATTTATATAACATTTGAAGGCATAAAAATGCCCGGCAATAGGCCAATTTAGCTCTTGCATAATAAATCTTTAATATAAAACATTTAATATTTCAGTTCATGAGTTTGGCGTATGTTAGCAACTGGGAGGACATCGTGTGTAATTTGACGATGTTTAATGAAACGTTTATGGATCTATCATCATCTGGTATGGCTGTTGAGGCTATACAGACGTCACTATGTCATGTAGCCACCAATAAATCACACGCTTTACAACAATTTGTTGATCTATTTGATGCTGGAAATGTATTAGAAAAGGTAAATATTAATTGATCGAGCGCCTCTTACGAAAAAATTTAAGGGGTATCAAATGGACAATAACAGTCCGATAAATTTTAAACAGGAGGTGTTTATCAATATTGTAGCCCAAAATATTTAACATGTTTGTTAGAATTCTTTTTTGCGTGATTGTTAGCAGTCGTTTTTTGGTTTTAATGACGTAAAAACCGAAAAAAAGGATGTTGGTTAATATATATATAACTTTGATTTTCTGGAGGGTTTTGTTACCAAGTTGTATTATGTGTATACTTTACATTATACTGTCATGATATGATATCTGTGCCACTCTTGTATGTGAGAATGAGTAGCCTGCCTAACCATTGTAGGGATTCTTTGGTTTTCTCTCATTGCTAAAGATTCTTGTAATCAAATTATGGAAACAAGATACATATGTTAGTCCCAACAAGATATACTATATGTTAGTCCCAACAAAATATACCACATCTTAGTCCCAAAATAACTAACCAAGTTTAGTTGAGTGGCCATAACACTACAACTCGGGTATCGTGTATAGTTGTGCTGTTTTAGCGGGAGTTTCTGTATTTAATGTTTAGATTCAAACCATTTTTGGAAAACTGTTCAAATTCATTGAGAACCATATATATAGAAAAACTATTGGGTTTCTACTGTCACATAGTTTATAATGGTCTGTCTAGATTAGATAATGAGTGTTGGGTTTATAACTATTTACTTTCCTGAGCAGTGTTGACTAATTAACAGACACATGATACCCCATGAGTTGTAGTGTAACAGATGAAGCTTGTGATGGTGGATGTGTGTTATCTTGCTGGGCAAGGAACCCTTGGCAGTTAGAATTCGATATAAGAGTAGGCGTTAGTGCTGCTGCCCTGGCAAAATTTCCCTCATAGCACACTGTATTGTGTATGCCCATCATCATTAGCACAGTCGGAGCAGAACAGTAAGATGTTCAAGTAGCTAATAAGTCTCTAACTCGATATCGGTGTTAACTTGAATAACCAGACGCTAGAGGTTGCCATTCAATTGAGACTTCTGGCATATTTCGCCGAATATAAATGATTTGAAATTAGAGTAAAAACGGAAACGATTGAATGTAAATCAGTTTATATACATTCATATTACATTATTATATGCGTTGCGACGCATTTGTGTCCATGTCTAGGCCCCAAATATTAGTGATTTAGCTCCTTTAAACTCCATTTCATTTCATTTCATTGCTGGGCAAGTTATATATTTATTCAAATGTTCACATTATTATTTATTCCAGATTAATGCATTAATAAAAGGAGATTACCATAATATGAATGATAATGTCACAATATGGGAAAAGCTACAACGTGAAAGCGAGAGATTGTTGAATAATTTTGAGAAGTTAGGAGATGTGTCTGTTGATCCGAACTCTGTTAATACTTGGTTTTCACCAATTCTTACAATGCTGTCAACTGGTACTAGTAATCCATCTATCGACGGGTATGTAGTTTTACTCATTCAACTAAATATAGTTTTCACCGGAAAAGTTGGAAACATCAAGGGAGTTGCAGTGGCTCAGTGAGTAAAACACTGGCTCGCTAACCAGGAGGTCTCAGGCTTGCTTCCAGTGTTGGCAGAGAAAGTTCCTCGGGATTTTCAAGTTTTAATCCATCGAAAAACATGACCATCTGATGGTACAGAGAGTTGATTATGGGCTTTGCATATGAATAAATAAATGTCTAATTAATAATTTGTATAACATTTGAAGCCGAAAGAAAGAACTGCAATAGGCAGGTTTACCTCTTACGTAGTGCATCTTTAAGGAAAATTACCTTAAAAATATCTTGATTAACCCAAGAACAATTATCCCCTCTCATATTTGAGATTATATTTATTTTTTAATATTTCAGTGTGAGTAAAATGTGTAATAGTATGATATCATATGTATCGGGATCACAAGATTATCAGACTATACAACCTTTGTTGTCACAAGTCGTGGATTACATGAAAGCTCTTGTGACACCTATGACAATATATGCTGGTAAGATCTCACCTTTTTTCCCCTAATTTCTTTATATTTGTACATGCTTTACTCCTATATACATTATCTCTCTGTACATAATTATATTACCCCTACTATGCATATACTTTACCCTGCTGTACACACATTACTCCCCTATGTACATGCTTTACCCCTCTATACTTTACTTCTCTCCTGTCCATACCTTTATGTTCATGTACACACTTTACCATTTTTGTACATTCTTAAGCCCTCTGTACATACTTTACCCATCTACATACTTTACCCATCTGTACATACATTACCCATCTGTACATACTTTACTCTTCTGTACATACTTTGACCCTCTGTTAATATTTTACCCATATTTATATACTTTACTCCTTTGTGCCTACCTTACCCCTCTGTACATACTTTACTCCTCTGTCCACACTTTACTATTCTGCCCACACTTTACCCATCTGTACATACTTTACCCATCTGTACATACTTTACTCCCTCTGTACATACTTTACTCCTCTGTACATACATTACTCTTCTGTACATACTTTACTCCTCTGTACATACTTTACTCCTCTGTATATACTTTACTCCTCTGTGTATACTTTACTCTTGTGTACATACTGTACTCCTCTGTACATACTTTACTTCATCTGTAGATACTTTAAGCCTCTGTACATACATTACTTGGATGATTTTGAAACTTGTGATTTCTTTTTAGATTTAGAAGATATCACATGTGATTTAAGCAGCAGCTTTGATTTATCACGGGCCTTCAACAGATTAAACCAACTTAAGTTCTTTGACCTATTTAAGGTAAAGTACTAGATTTCAATAATTTTTGCGGCACATCTATTTTGCACTCTTAAAAGAAAACATTTTGTTATCATAAGTTTTCAGAAAATGTAATTATTCCAGATCGATCTATGATGGATAAAGCCTTTGATGGATTAATCACCCTATGTTATGATTTAGTATTGACTGTTTTTAACACGCTAACTGCGTAGGACGTTATATAACGTCCTGGACAACTGCCACTCACTGTGTGTAGGGCGTAATATAACGCCTTGGAGGTATTTTCCCCAACCTATTCTTCGAACATACGATCGCAGCATGTGTAGAACGTTATATTTCGCCTGGTCGAGGAAATCTAATTGAAGTGAGACAACTCTATTTATCGTTAGTTTTAATATGGTATTAGACTACTATCATTTGTATTCAGGAATAAAAAGTCCCCAAAATGACGTTTTTCGTCAAATTAATTACACAATAGGGGGTAGTTAACGTTTTAAAAACTATGCAGTTAACAGGTTAAACTTATTTCATAAGCTTAATGTCACAATGTGCTGCCTTTGGCCTTGAAAGTTCATCAGGATTTTCCAGCGTGGTCCCCCTTGTCAGTGATGGAGGGCCTGGCAAGGGACAACGTATAGTCATCGGATTGGATGAAAAAGCAAGGTCCCATGTACACATTTGGTGTGCATGTAAAAGATCCCTTGACAGTTGGAATTCGAAATAAGAGTAGGCTGTAGCGCTGCTGTCCGGGCAAAATTTACAACACGTAGTTTGTAACCGATTTCTATACGCTACATGGTGCATTGGGACTTAAAGAAAATCATTATGTAAACCAAACATTATATTACTATATACCAAATTTGCCTGGTCACTATTTCTAAGTCCAAAAAATCTGATAAAACAATTTTCTATTTTTATTTTTTTAATTTAATAACAGTTGATGTATAGAGATGATAGAACCTTCCAGTGTGATGATGCCATATCAACTGTTATGAATGTTTATAACGCTCTAAATAAAACTATATCCCATGGTATAAACTTTGATAGAATTGGCCATTGTCTATCGAATGGCGCTATGGATCATTTTGGTACTATGTTAAAGAGTGTAGATAGGTACAGTCTTATTTATTGTTTTTATTCTCAATAATATTCACATTTTATGCACCCCCATTAATCATTTTTATATGACGAAAAAGCTTAGGTCCTGTGTACACACAGAGTAGTATAGGCCATAGAGCCGCTGTTGGGGCAAAATTCCCCTCATAGCACACTACATGACGTATGTATGCCTAGCCCATGCTAATTCCATGTCGTTTTATACACTAACATATAAAGTGAACTTATATTATTGTCAACTGTGTCCATTGGCCTGTCAAACTTTTCTGGTGAATGTTCTACAGTTTTCAGGCGTTCATCATTTTAAGTTGTAAGACAGGAGCATGCTGAATTTCAAGATCCCAAATTTCAGAGTTATTTCCATATATCTGTGACTGAAACGAGAGTCCTGATTATTGATACTGTTGATTGATTGTTATTTATTAATGATTGATTAATATTGATTATTGATATTAATGATTGGTCGATATTGATTATTGATATTAATGATTGATTGGTATTGATTATTGATATTAATGATTGATTGATATGCATTGATTTGTATTTATTATTGATATAGTGATTTAATGTTACTGGTGATTGCTTGTTATTGATTTTTTTTTGTTCTTGATTGATTGTTATTCATTGATTGATTATTTGCAGTGTCTTTGAGTTGTCAACGGAGGTATTAACTTTGATACAGCAAACAGAGGTGAAAAAATTATTGGGTGACATTTATCCAGATTTACAACCAATCTTAGATTATGTTCTAAAAGTTTTGAGTCAACAAAAATCTTGTGAGTTTGATTTAGATAATTAAAATTTAGAGGGATATTTGCGAATTGCAACTGAAGGACTAGAGCAATATCTGTATGCCTGATAAATTTAGTTAGGAGTCACACATGACAAGGAATAGTAACATTAAGGCCCCCGATTTTCATTTTCGGACATTATCTGATTTTTTATCTAAAATGTGCTCAAATTCATTATTTAACATCTAATTAAGAAAACAAAGACAAAATATTGATGGTAGATAAAGGATTAAACAGAAACACTTTTGAAGCTTTTACGTAACACTGAGATTTTCCGACGTCGTTTCCCCTTGTCTAGTCGTTTGGATGGGACGGAAAACAGAGGTCCCATGTTCACATTGGCGTGCACTTAAAAGATTCTTTGGCAGTTGGAATTCGATATAAGAGTAGGCCATAGTGCCGCTGCCTGGGCAAAATTTCCCTTATAGCACACTGTATGGCATATCCCTGTCTTCACTAGCCCAGTCGGAGCAGAATAGTAGGAGATTGAATCCGATTTCATTTCATTTCATATTACCTGGTTTGTTTAGATCGTCTGCGAAGAATGCTGAATGTTGTAAAATTTCCAGTTCTTCACATCTTTGCAAAAACTGAACGGAAAAGAATTGTTTTTTCACTGATATTACTTTTAAAGATTCAGATTTCACGATAGCGTACAGTAATTTGCAAGGGTTTCAGAATTTCTGAAATTTTTCAGCAGCTTAGGACAAATACAGTTATATTTCATTGTAATGATTTCATGCCTAAAAGATTGATTTATTAATTGTTAAATTTATTCTTAATTTCAGTGGTGTATAGATTTGAAGATCTATTCTTAAACTCCACGTCTTTACAAGACTTTTTTGTTAATTCTCTGAAGTTTGCGCCAGAAGTTGCTGAGACTTTGTTGAAGTCCACCATTAACTTAGATCCTGTATGTAAATTATGTCTAGTTTGTTGGACTTTTTCTGGGTTTTGTTCAGTTGGCTTATTAATCCCCAGTCTTTGGAAACATACCTCTGTCTCTAAGTTTGATGATGAATATTTTATGCTTAGACTAAGCCGCTGACTGTCTTGTTATCTGTCTATCACACCTTTTGGAATACAATAACTCTGCTTCCAATTGATGTAAAATGATCAAACTTGGTGTAGATGCTCATTAACTGAATGTTTTCACTAGTTACAGTGATAACATTTTCAGATTAAGCAGCACTCTATCTCTTCGTCAAAATGGGGATCACGTGGCTAAGTGGGTAAGACGCTGGCTCGCTATCCTGGAGTTCGGGTGTTCGATCCCTGCATTGGCCGAGAAAGTTCATCCAGATTTTCCGGCGTGGTTCCCCCTTGTCAGTGATGCAGGACAGAGGGCCTGACAAGGACTGCTGTCTAGTCCTTCGGATGGGACGGAAAACCAAAGTCCCGTGTATACATTGGAATGCACGTTAAACCTCATTTCTTTTCATTGCATTACATTTCTTCCTCAAACCTTTTAGGAACCAATAACTCTACATCAAATACAAATGTTTTGACTGGTTACGGTGGTAAAATATTCAATAACTCTACTTCAAATTGAGGTTGAATGTTCAAACTTGTTGTAGATGTGAATATCGTGACTGTGTTCAATGAGAAATAGTTTCTGCTTAGGCTAATCATAAGAATGTCTGTCTATCTGGCCATCACACATTTTAAAATATAATAACTCTGTTCTAACTTGGTGTAAATGTTCGACATGTGAATATTTGCATCGTATTACCATACTTTATTGTAAATGCAATCTGATTAAAGCACAGATCCTATTTCGTTTCGTTTTTTATAGTTTAAAATTCTGTTTTACTTGTCTTTACTACACTAGGATCTGGAAGAGTTGTTATATAAACCGCGTTCTGGATGATGTAAGGGATTAGCCAATCGAAGGATATGTTACGGCGAGTTTTTGACGTGAGGTTCACGGAATTGTGGGTAACCCACTCGAAACATCAACGCTATCCCTGATTGGTTGATCAAATGTCTGACATCATAAGGTCAAAAGCTGCTTGTATGACCCCTGACACCACATCCCACTACAACTGGTCAGACCTTCATGTAGTAGAGGCCATTGAAAGTATAAAAATACGAAACAAAATATGACCTCTAACGTGATCTTCCACTATAACCAGTCAGATCTTCATAAAAAAAACGAAACGAAATATAGATCTGTATTTTAAACAGATTATTGTGAATGTTATTAGTTCAAATATTTATGTTATCAGTTATTATATTTCTGTAAATGTTATTGGGGTTTTTTTTCTTCAGAGAATGTTTTTAAATGAGTCTGTAGATGATATTCAACTTCAAATTTGTAATCCAGTGGAACTCTCTAAACTAATCCAGCTACCTCAGTTTACCCAGATTGATTTTACATCATTGAGTAATGGGCTGTGTAAGAATGGTAGTATCGATGCTGCTATTGGTATTAAGAGCGTTGCTGATTTTTCTAATTTCGCTCAACAGGTGAGTGGCCGTCTGCTTTAACACATTCCAGGAATATTCTTATTTGAAGACTGGCAAATATATCTCTCTGTTGTTGATAAAAAAAACACTGTATTGTCTGTAATCAAGTTTGCTTAAAGTGAAGCACTTTATAATGTATTGATAGAAAAAAATTCACAGATATATGTTCATTAGATCAATGTCGTTACTCTGTTTGATGAGCAGCCTTTTCAGCTAAGGCTAAGCAGGGACTTATATCAAATCTTTGTTTAAAAATTCATAAAAATAGTTTAAAATCACCGAAAATCGTCTAATTTGTACTTGGTGTCCAGGGTTATCCGGTCTTGACATAGGTGGGTGGGCGTGGCTGAATGGTTTAATGTGTGTGCTTTAGATCATGAGGTCTGACATTAAGTCAAGTGCCGTAGTATTGCGTCCCAGTTTGTACATGACGATTAGGGTCGTCTGTTACACCACATGTGTTTTCATCGGGTCCTCTTGTTTCCTCCCACCTAGAAGTGAATGGTTTAATGTGTGTGCTTTAGATCATGAGGTCTGACATTAAATCAAGTGCCGTAGTATTGCGTCCCAGCTTGTACGTGATGATTCGGGTCGTCTGTTGCACCACATGTGTTTTCTTCGGGTCCTCTTGTTTCCTCCCACCTAGAAGTGAATGGTTTAATGTGTGTGCTTTAGATCATGAGGTCTGACATTAAGTCAAGTGCCGTAGTATTGCGTCCAAGTTTGTACGTGACGATTAGGGTCGTCTGTTACACCACATGCGTTTTCTTCGGGTCCTCTTGTTTCCTCCCACCTAGAAGTGAATTACTGAAATAAAATTGAACCATATAGTACGGAAATGACCTGGTTTGTGTTTAGTGGACATTAAACACCATTTCTTTTTCTCTCCTTTCTTGACATCATTTTAATAATTTCTATTTCATTTATTAGTTAGTGAAGTTGTCATCCTCGAATGTAGATGAGGCGTGGTTAAAGAATATATCTGATCATACTGTTACGTTGATTGGTGATCTGGAGGAGATTAGTTCTATTGCTAGTTTACTAGGTGGAGGTCTAGATCTACAAGCTCTACAGCGTGATATACCTAAAATAGATAGATTCTTGATGGGTTCTGGACCAGCTCGTTTAGTTTTGAGGTCTGTATCTTATTTATCAAACTTCTGTTACAAAGGGGGCGGGGGTTGGATCGCCGGTGCGTGTTGTATCATAAGGTCTGTCATTGAGACAACTGGCATGGTTTCGATTCTCCAGTTGTACGTGACAAGGAGTAGGGTTGCCTGTCCAACCTCATGGGTTTTCTCCGAGTCCTCCAGTTTCCACCCACTGCTAAAGACGCCCTGCGTGCAAAGTTAATTACATTCGTTACTGGTCACTATGGTAACCATCTTACTGTGCCTATTACTATTCTTACAATAAAATAGGACTGTGTAACAAGTAGTGTGTGATGAACCTTTTAAACCTATAGCACTTAGTTAGACTGCCCAAACTTTCACATTCTAAACCTACCATAGTTTTTTTTCAAGGAATTTTTGTAAGCACTAGTTATAATAAATGTATAGAATTTATATTTGAATTTGTCCCCGATTAATTAAAAGCATTATATTATATTAATTTTGTGTCACATTACATTACATGTTTTGAATACATTTTAACAAATTTAATTTTTTTTCCAGTTTGTCAGCCATATTAGATGATCTAAAATATGTTTTCCCAAACAATGATTCTCGTAACATACTAGGTGAAATCAGTATGTTTATTAGAGGATTTATGGGCCTTGATTTGATACAGTCACGTGTTTTATCTGCAGGTTTGTTTATTTGTTTGCTTGTCTTTTTAATGGAATGCCATTCGGACTAAGGAAGAACTATTTATTTAAGTAATACCAATAATTTCAAAAAATCAAGATATTAAACATGCATTATGCAATAGCTAAACCTGTCTATTCCAGATCTTTTTGTTTAGGTTTTAAATGTTATATAAATTATTAATACTCTCGATGCCATCGCATGTGTCCGATTTCAAGCAGATTAGAATGCTTCAGCCATTTAATGATTTACTGTAAATATGGTGAAGCAAAACTTAGCCTCGACAAACCAGTACGGTGGTTACAATCAGTCCACACATTTTGTCAAGCCATCAAAGGCTAATATCATTACTCAAAATAAAGTAATTTGAATAAAATTTTCAATATATTCATTTTTTCATTATCTGATACCAAGAACAGCCAGCTCTTTATCTAAATTTGACATAATGTATCTTTAATTTTGATTCTTTTGTACCTTAATTTCTCAAATTTCTTTTCTTATTAAGATTATTTCATTTTCAGGATTTAATTTGATGAATATATATATATTTTTTTATTAATTATTATTTTATATTGCAGTTCATGTTGGCGACTTGTTGAAGGAACCAGCAGAAGTAAAAGATTATATGGTTAAGGAGCTAGGATTTACGGACAAAATGGCTGAAACTATCTTAAGTGGATCTTATTCTTTACGAGTGGTAGGTTATTTATTTTAAATGTCTGGATACAACACAGAAGCCATGGTGGTTCAGTGAGTAACCAGGAGGTTCACTGACCAGAGGGCCGGGCAAGGACAGTGTCTAGTACACCCGTCTTTCATTACACCAGTCGTTTCAAAATAGTAGGATGTTCCACCTCATTTTGTTTCATTTACTGTTACCTGCACAGTGATTAGAGGATTGTTTTTATACCATGGGCAATAACTCTGCAGACTGATGTGGAAAATAACTCACCCTTTAGTTTTATTTCTTCAGTATAAAGCCACATGCCTTTTGTTCCAGATATATAGAGTTCAATTTTGCCCTGTGGTCTAATCACTGCTTGTATATTCTGTTCCCACTTCTGTTTATGTGGACATTTCATTTCTGACTGGAAACAGTCGTTTATGACCGGAAACAGCTGTTTATAACTGGGAACAGCCATTTGTTACTGGAAACAGTCGTTTATGACCGGAAACCGCTGTTTATAACCGTCAACATCCGTTTGTGATCGGCAACGGCTGTTTATGAATAGAAACAGCTGTTTATGATCACAATTTGACAGGTTAGATTTAGACGAGGATGAGCTTGTTTAATAAATATATGTATAATTTTTGTAGTTTTTGAATGCAACTGTGCAGATGATGAATGGGGATTATACTTGTGACAAGATATTTAAAGAATTTATCATCCTCAATTCACAAGAAGTCAGAAATATAGACATTACTTCCGCTTTCTGCAGTCTGAATAAAACTACAGCATCTAGCTTAGCAGACCAACTTCTACCCGAGTTAGATATCGGAGAATGGGTAAAAATGGTAAGTTGGACACGTTAAATAAACACTGTAAAATTGATACTGTTACTAATAATAGTGTTATATTTGAACAGATCAAAATGAATTTAAAGATGTATTGGGTAGTTATTACCAATAAAAGTATACATATTTGGTATATATATAGAAACTAGAGACACTCAGCCAAACTTGAAAGATGTATTGGGTAGTTATTACCATTAAAAGTATGCATATTTGGTATATTATAAAGTAGAGACACTCAGCTGTAATTGAAAATTACTTTAAAGATTTATTGGGTAGTTATTACCATTAAAAGTATGCATATTTGGTATATATAGAAACTAGAGACACTCAATTGTAATTGAAAATTACTTTAAAGATTTATTGGGTAGTTATTACCATTAAAAGTATGCATATTTGGTATATATAGAAACTAGAGACACTCAATTGTAATTGAAAATTACTTTAAAGATTGGGTAGTCATTACCATTAAAAGTATGCATATTTGGTATATATAGAAACTAGAGACACTAAATCGTAATTGAAAATGATGGGTTCCCTGAAAAACACCCATGGTCCTGCACAAGACCAAAGTGTAAAGGTTTCACTAACTGACAACATATTAATTGGCTTATTGCAATATGTCTGCTCGAGTAAAACTTGGATTATCCTTTGCAAACATTTTTTCTGTCGTTTAATTGCCCAATCATTCGATCTAGATACCTATCTTATAATTACAGTATGTGACCACATCTGCGAAAGAAATTCTGAATTCTGCTAATATAAGTATGGAAGACGCTGCAGATCTGACAACTAAGTTATCTAAAGCTCAGACAGGCCTTCTGAAAGCAGCGGACATATTGAAGGACAGTAATGATACGTTAGAAAAAGATCTGATGAATCAGTTATTCAATTTACCATCTGCACAAACAGGTAGGTCTCTCATATTGATTGTTCTTGGGGATTAACCGGCAAGGTTCCCTCTTGTCAGTGATTCATAACGCAGGGCCTGGCAAGGGACAATGTATAGTCATTTGGATGGGACAAAAAACTGAGGTCCTGTGTATACTTTGGTGTGCACGTAAAAGAAAGAACCCTTGGCAGTTGGAATTCGATATAAGAGTAGGCCATAGTGCCGCTGCACGGGAAAAATGTCTCTCATGGCACCCCTTATGGCGTATGGCCATCTTCATTAGCTCAGTCGGAGTAAAACACTAGGATGTTAAACCCCATTTCATTCATTTTTCATATTGGTTAATTTGAGTAAGGCCACACCAATTTGATTCTTTTCTTCGAGAACACCTGTTAAAATATTTCTTCAGGAAGAAGACTTATTTAAAAACCAAAAGTACTTGGTTGTACCATTTAAAACCTTTTCATTCCAAATTATTAAGTTTTAAACAACACATCTTTCATGTGATTCAAGGGGCTATTTTTTTTATTAAGACTCCAAAGAACACACACAGATGAAATTGGTTTGGCCTAGTCATTTTCCTTTATTTTTGTTTAACCCGTTAGCATTTAGACCACCCAAAACTGCCCTAACTAGGGCTCCTTAGATTGCCCCAAACTGTCCTAACTAGGGCTCCTTAGACCCCACCTAATTTGTACTCCTTAGACTGCCCCAAACTGCCTTTACTAGGGCTCCTTATATTAATCCACCCTAACTAGGGCGTCTTAGACCACCGTAACTAGGGCTCCTTAGACTGCCCCAAACTGCCCTTACTAGGGTTCTTTCGACTACCCCAACCAGGGTTCCTTTGACCACCCTAACTAGGGTTCTTTAGACCACCCCAACCAGGGTTCCTTTGACCACCCTAACTAGGGCTCGTTAGATTGTCCCAAACTGCCCTAACTACTTAGCTGTGCCACCCGCACCAACTAGTAAATGGCGTATAATGAGCAAAACTATTCACATATCTCGAGTGGTTTGAGGAGTTCTAAATAACACCTGTTTTGGACTGTTTTGGTCTGTTTTGGTCTGTTCAGGGATGTACTGATATTACATGTACCAGTGCGAAAGAGGAGTCAACACAGGCCTAAACTTTTCCCCAATCCATTTTCAAATGAAATAAAATATTATTTATGAAAAACAGATATTTTTGTAAACAGAAAGTTTTACACCATAATTAAATAAGATGATTTTTTTATTGTAGCTAATCAGATGCCATCTTTACAACCGTTATTGTGTGGTGTTAAAGCTGATGATGGAGAAGTTAAAGATTCATTGGATGTGTCTTCAGTGGTTGGTGGTAAGGCACCAGAAATTAGGAAGGATGAACTTGATTCACTACCCTGTAAGTTTAAAACATCTCTATATTATTAACACAGTCTTGTAGAATTCGTTCAAGGAATATTTGAAGGGATTATGGGTCGAATAGTTTACCGCGTGCACTGTCATTGAGTAAATTAGTGTTTCGATTCTCCCGCTTGTACGTGACAAGGAGTAGTGTTGCCTGCCCAACCTCGTGAGTTTTCTCAGGGTCCTCCGGTTTCCTCCCACTGCTAAATACCCATACATGTATATGTTAGTCCCGAAATGGCCTAGTTTGTGTTCAGTGGACTCTCTCTCTCTCTCTCTCTCTCTCTCTCTCTCTCTCTCTCTGCCACTCAATTCTGTCAGTTCAGAATGTTCGGGACCCACAATTGAGCATCCCTAATGTTTATGAAAAAGAAAAATATATCATTAGTATTTCTTTGTGTTGTTTCTTTTCGTCTGACTTTATAATCAATTCCCTGAATTTCAGCGGAGTTTTGTCGTGACATTTATCGAGAAATAATGCAGAAACCAATAGGAAGTATTATCTGGTCGTATTTGAAACCTATCTTAAGAGGAAAGATTTTATTCACTCCAGATACTCCACTTACTCAAGATATTATCAAAGGGGTGAGTAATATTATAATGTGTACTTAAAGATACATTATGTAAGATTTAGATAAAACACTGGCCGCTCTTGCTATAATAGTTCCTAGAGAGAAGATGAAAAATCAGTATATTGAAACTTTTAAGTCAAATTACTTAATGCTGAATGAAGTTATGAGTGTTTGAAGTTTTAACAAGATAGTCTTGATTGTCGAGTACCATTGCTATGATAATAAACAATTATGGGTTCTAATCCATTAAATATTTAAGCTATCAAATAGTTTGGAGAGTTGATTATATGCAAATAGCATGGTTTTGATCTGAAGCAGGTTCCAGAACTAAAGACACCTACACACAAGTGAATTATTGAAATAAAGATATGTCATAGTCAGTCGCAAAATAACCTAGTTCATCTAAGCACATCTCCCCTGACTAAGTCTTTGTTTCAAGATAACTTTATTATTTTAACTTTTTACACATTACAGGCTGATGGAATGTTTGACCTATTAAAGGATGTTCGTAGAGTAGCGAAGGCATGGGTTGAAGGTACACCCAGTTTAAAAACATTAACTACTCAAGCTAAAGATATGACTAAACTCAAGGTAATGATTCTCTTTTGTGTAATAGGACACATCCTCTTTGATATGGGCGTAAAAGGAAATGAAATGGGTTTAAGACAGGCATATGCCATGCAGTTTGCTAGGAGGGAAATTTTGCCTGGACAGTGGCACTATGGACTACTCTTACCAGAAATTAAATCTGTCGAGGTTTCTTTTATGTGCACATCTCATCTGAATCACTATGCGTTGTCCCTTAACAGGCCCTTCGTCCTGTACCACTAACAAGGGGGGACAACGCCGGAAAGTCCCGATGAACTTTCTTGGTCAACACAGGGATCGAAACACAAAACTTCCAGGATAGCAAGCCCACGCCTTACGCACTGAGCCACCTTGGCTCCCAGGTGTAAAAGAAAAGTATTGATTTGATGGACTATTCAGTGCAGTGGATGCTTACAGCTGGCCCACGGATCCATTCACTGGCCCCGAGTTCACAAAGCATTCTCAGAATGGAGAAATATCTTTGATCCAGAAACACAAAAGTTTGCACATAGTTTCCTGTTGATTTATTTGATACATTAAAAAAACAAAAGTTTTATAAAAGGCTATATTTTAGTTAAAATAAGGCGAACAATTTTGAGTAAATTCTTAACTTAAGTGTGAGAATGCTTTGTGAACTCTGGGCCTGATATATGTGTGTTATTTATTGTTTGATATGTCTGTAGGTTGTGAGTCTGTTTGGTGGGGTTGTCTTGTTTGTGTGTGGAGCTGTCCTCCTGATTTTGATTTCTTCATTTATAGAGACGGAAATTTTTCGAAACTTCGCACAAGTCGGGGTGGGGGGGGGGGTGGATGGCTGAATGGTTAGCGTGCGCGCGCTGTATCATAAAGTCTGTCATTGAGTCGACTGGCGTGGTTTCGAATCCCCGGTTGTACGTGGCAAGGAGTAGGGTCGCCTGTCCAACCTCGTGGGTTTTCTCCGGGTCCTCCGGTTTCCTCCCACTGCTAAAGACCCCTACGCGCAAGCGAATTATGTAAATAAAATTAAACCATATGTTTGTCCCGAAATGACCTGGTTTGTGTCGAGTGGACGTTAAACCCCATTTCTCTCTCTCTCTCTCGCACAAGTCGGATCTAAATGGACTGACCAATTTTATCCGAGTTACGCGAAGATCCGAGTTAGCTGAAGACCTAGTTCAGCTCTGAACGTAGTCTCATTATCGCCCTGTACATTTAGGAACCGTCCTATTGAATCCTTGTCAAAATAAAATCGGTTCCCAGTCAATTTTACTGGGCAACTTTTTACTGCTAAACGGTCGTGTGTCAGTCTCTGTGAACGCCCGGTTTCCTCCCACTGCTAAAGACCCCTACGCGCAAGCGAATTATGTAAATAAAATTAAACCATAGGTTAGTCCCGAAATGACCTAGTTTGTGTCGAGTGGACGTTAAACCCCATTTCTCTCTCTCTCTCTCTCTCTCTGTGAACGCCTGAACAATGTAAAGGAAAATTTAGTGAGAAAATAAGGCCCTGCTTACCTTGCTAGAGTCAGTATGTGCAACACAACATGCTGTTAAAAATCCATCCCCTTCTGCTAAACATTGAGGTCTAGATGTGGGGTAGTGTACGGATTTACGTGGCTTGGCCATATTAGATGAAACGAAATTTAGGTAAGCTGGGGTGGGGAAAAATTAGAATTGTTGAAAAGCTGAAGAACTTCAGTCAATTATTGCTTTGCCTAGCCCAATTACAATCAAATTTTTTCAAAAATTCCAAATTCGTTTCGTCTTATATGGCTGAGTTGCGCAAATTTGTGTGCTGCCTTGTATTTGGATTTCAGTGGCGTCAGCCAGGCCGTATTTTTAACAGCATGTTGTGAACATACTGCCGATCCGACTTAGGCGAAGGAAAAATGCCGGAATTAGATCAAATGGGCCGAACATTTTGATCCGAATTGAGCAAAGCTCCGACTTGGGAAATCTTACTTACGCGCAGAAATTTAATAAGAAAAACGTGCAGGATCAAAGGGTCCAAACGATTTTATCCGAGTTGAGCAAAGATCCAACTTATACGAATCCGACTTATGCAAGGTTTACGGTATATATATTTTCTTTTTTTTTACAGGAAAGTCTAAATAACAATTTTATAAAGAATATGTTAAAAGATACTGCTGGTATAAACCCTGATTCTCTATTAGATGGTCTTGGAGCATTAGATTCAGATCAGTTAACTGTCGATCAATTGAACGGTCTACAAAGAGCAGCTCAACTTGTCGTGAATTATACAGAATGTATTGAGCTAGAGAGATTTATTGGTGTGGATAGCGAGGAAGAGTTGCTGAAGATTTCTAAGGATCTCTCCGAAAAACATCAATTTTTAGCTGGTAAATAGATAAAATTTAATCTGCAAAATTGCTCTTGTATAGCTTAGGGCTCCTTATTCGTGAAACTTGAACTAGAATATTTTAAGAATTCTGCTCTTTCCTTGCATTGGTCAATAGGGTCAAATTTGAACTATGGCTTCATATTATCAAGATATTTCTGTTTCTTCAAAGCATATGACAATTTTTGAGTATTATCCCAATTTTTGAGTATTATCCCAATTTTTGAGTATTATCCCAATTTTTGAGTATATTTATAATTTAAATTACATTTATTATGTTTCAAGGTTGATTTTTTTTGGAAATTCTGATCTTAAAGGGGCATTCTGTAAGATTTAGATAAAGAGCTAGCCAGTTTTGCTATAATATTTCAAAAATAGATAATGCAAAATCAATATATTGAAAATTTCATTCAAATTACTTTTATTTTGAGCAAAGTTATCAATGGTTGTAGTTTTGACAAGATGTTTTCATTGATCGTAAACATCATTCTAGTCTTTTAAATTAAATCATTAAATGGCCGAAACTTTCTAATATACTTAAAATCAAGCCAGATGATGGCATTGAGAGTTGATTGTGATCTTGTCATGTTGATTAATGGCTAATTCATAATTCATATAACATTTAAGGCCCAAAGAAAGACCTGCAATAGGCAGATCTAGCTCTTTACATATTGCCTGTTTAACAGAATTTGACTGACATGTAATTTACACGTGACAGCCATTGAAGACTGGCAAATTTGAACGAAACGAGAGCCCCTGCTGTGAACTCTTTTGAAAGAATTCTAAAACTTTTATTGAATATTCTTATATTTGGTTCCTTGGATCCTGGGGTCTTATACTAAACTTGTGGGTGAAAGGGAAAACAACCATTTTCCATGTTATAATTCCAATCTCTTTCTTTATTCCTCAAGGGGATCACATGGCTAAGTGGGTAAGACGCTGGTTCGCTAGCCTGGAGGTCGAGTGTTTGATCCCTGCTTTGGCCGAGAAAGTTAATTCAGATTTTCCGGCGTGGTTTCCCCTTGTCAGTGATGCAGGATGGAGGGCCTGACAAGGACAGCCGTCTAAAGTTTTGGAAGGGACAAAAAAACATTGGCGTGCACGTAAAAGATCCCTTTGCAGTTGGAATTCGATATAAGAGTAGGCCGTAGTGCCGCTGCCCAGGCAAAATTTCCCTCATAGCACACTGTATGGCGTATGCCCGTCTTCATTAGCCCAGGTTAGGAGCAGAACAGTAGGACGTTAAACCTCATTTCATTTCATTTTCATTTATTCCACAAAAGACAGGGGGGGTGGATGGCCGAATGGTTAGCACGTGCGCTGTATCGTAAAGCCTGTCATTGAGTCAACTGACGTGGTTTCGAATCCCCAGTTGTACGTGACAAGGAGTAGGGTCGCCTGTCCAACATCGTGGGTTTTCTCTGGTTCCTCCGGTTTCCTCCCACTGCTAAAGACCCCTACCCGCAAGCGAATTATTGAAATAAAATTAAACCATATGTTAGTCCCATATGTTAGTCTCTCTCTCTCTCTCTCTCTCTCTCTCTCTCTCTCTTCTCTCTCAAAAGACATTAGCCTACAGCTTATATCTACTTATTAAAAATATGGGTTCAGACCACAATGATATCGATATACTACTATATGTCGAAAACACAGTGCTTGTTTTCCACAAAAATTGTGTGTTTTTTTATTGTGCTCAATAGTTAAATGCCACCTAAGGATTATAATGTAAATACAGACGTATTGCATACAGTGTTATTTATTGACTTGGTAGCCGAATGGTTTGACGCATGCATTTTTCGATCACAAAGTCTGTCATTGTGTCAAGTGCTGAGGTTTCGACTTCCAACTTGTATGCGACAAGGAGCAGGATCGCATGACAAATTACGAGATTTTTCTCCGGGTCCTCCAGTTTCCTCCCACTGCTATAGACCACTATGTGCCATATTAGTCCCGAAATGACCTAGTTTCTGTTGAGAGGAAATTAAACCCCATTTTTCTCTCTCTATTGATGTGAATGTTAATTTCAGGTATTGTTTTTACAAATATTAAACCAAGCAACAGAAAGAAGAGGGCTGCCGTAGAAGATATACCAAAACATATTATTTATAAAATACGAATGGATGTGGATAATGTTCAAGATACTTCCATTAATAAAGCAAGGTCGGTAAACAGTTTAATACACCCAGTCTAAAACACAGGCGTTTCTTGGACAATGAGTTATGTGCCCCTTGTGGCTGCAACTGAGTCATATTGCTCTGAGTGGAAAGTGATCTTTCCCTTGATTTCCTTAACTTGTGTATAGTTTAAATCAGAACTATGTGACTACTGTGTGAAAAGGCTGGAAGATTTTTAGGAGTATTTTTAGATTATCATGTTTTCAAGGGTTGGTTTTTTTTTGGGGGGGGGTGGATGGCCGAATGGTTAGCACGTGCGCGCTGTATCATAAAGCCTGTCATTGAGTCAACTGCCTTGGTTTCGAATCCCCGGTTGTACGTGACAAGGAGTAGGGTCGCCTGCCCAACCTCGTGGGTTTTCTCCAGGTCCTCCGGTTTCCTTCCCCTGCTAAGGACCCCAACGCGCAATGACCTAGTCCCGAAATGACCTAGTTTGTGTCGAGTGGACGTTAAACCCCATTTCTCCCTCTCTTTTTCAAGTTTTTGGATAGAAAATTTCAGTTTGTGATATTTTTAGTATCTGCTTTGTTGGTGTCAATACCAATTTGAACTGTTATCAGATTTGTGAACTGTCAAGACAAATTACAATTCGGATGAACAATAGAGTTAACAATGTTATGACTGTAACTTAAAGTCCAGTATAATCACCTACTTATTTTCGGAAGTTAGACTTTCCACTCCCCCGGTGTATATAACTATTATCTCACTGCGCTTTGAGGATGCTTTTGGGTGGATTTAGCGCTCTACAAATGTACATTATTATTATTATTAATGTGGCTACCAGTTGTGTTGACATCCAACTCGTCAATTCATATTTCACACTGGTTGTACAAGAAAAATTTACCATAATAGCCATCAATTACCACATTTTTCCACATAAATTTGTTGGTACTTCTCTTGGGGACTATTCTATCTTCTAACTTTCTAACAGTTACTGGTATATACACGTAATTGAGGACTATTTTGGTAGATTTTTCTTGTACAAGAAATATGAATTGATGAGTTGGATGCCGACACAATTGATGTATTATAATAAGACCATTTTAAAAAAAATATTCTGGTTCTCAGGTAATTCTGCACCACTTGAAATGGCCTCATGACCTGTTTTTATTTCAAAAAATGAAAAATAAAAACAATTTCATTAGTTACCACATGTAAATATTTTTACCCCGTTACAGTAAGTAATCAAAACAAAAATTAATGAAACCAGAAATGTGTCTCATTTATCAAGTACGCAAACCTGATAAATGTTACTGATAATCATAAATGATACTGGATAATCATACATTCCTATAAACAGCACGATGAGATAAATGTTTTGCCACGATATAATATGATGTTTATAAGTCATTTAGCCTGGTAGTGATCTTTTGACAAAAAACCCCCCAAAAAACATGAAAATAAAAACATTCCTATAAACAGCATGATGAGATAAATGTTTTGACACGATATATGATGTTTATAAGTCATTTAGACTTGTAGTGATCTTTTGACAAAAAAAAAACCAAAACATGAAAGTTAAAACCTTCCTATAAACAGCACGATGAGATAAATGTTTTGCCACGATATAATATGATGTTTATAAGTCATTTAGCCTGGTAGTGATCTTTTGACAAAAAAAAAACAAAACATGAAAATAAAAACATTCCTCCTGCATCAGACTTTTGGTAATGATTGTCTGAGAACCCGAAAATATTTTTTTGTATAACCTAATTTATATGTTTTTTTATTGTAGATTATGGAAACCAGGACCCGAGGATAGTTTCGCGAATAGAATGCGTTATCTGAGAGGTTTCGTACAACTACAGGATATGATTGAGAGATCTATTATATCAATTCAAACTGGTGATAATACAACAACAGATCCGGGTGTTCAGTTAAAACAAATGCCATATCCATGTCATAAAGATGATGAGTATGTCAATTATTTGTGCTTTAGATCATAAGGTCTGTCATTGAGTCGAGTAGCGTGGTTTCAATTTCCAGCCTGTAGGTGACACGGAGTAGGGCCACCTGTCCAACCTCGTGGGTTTTCTCCGTGTACTCAGATTTCCTCCCACTGCAAGCAGCCATTTATTAAAATAAAATTGAACATTAAACCCCATTTCTTTTTCTCTATATATTTTTAAATTTTGATGTTTTTACCAGCATTCACTAGTAGTCTGTCAACAATTAAAATAGACTTTCAGATTCTCAACTCTTTATGTGAAATGATATAAAAAAAACCCAATTACCTTGTGTTTTTCAACTTTCTTATTGCGCTCATATTGTCACATAACCTCTGTTTACTTTACAGGGGTGTGCCTTATTGAGAACTGTGCCAATCTGGACCACTGAAGTAAGCTGGTCTCGGCTTCATTCTTGGTACTGCACCGTTAAATTTTCATAGTGTTAATGCTATTCTGTCGCAGAATTTAACTCTTGGAATGTGTGTAGAACATTATATGTGTGTGTATATATAGGCCTACATACTGTTCATGTACAACAATATTGAATACATCGAAGGTGTATTAATGAGTGTTATATTGAATTCAATAAGCATAAAGTAAAACATATAAAATGAAGATAACGATATTGTGGTATTGGGGTGTATAGGTCACAAGATGGCCAGGATTGTTTATGACAAGAAGAAGTTCTAATTAAAAACAGCCATCTTTCATTTCACACCATCCCAGAATTCCATCTAAAGCCTTTTATTAATCGAGGGGAATAACTCAATTAACACAAAGAACTCAAAAAGGTGTCAGACCACTGTTCCCTAATAATATGAATAAGTTGGTTCAATAATAGAGTATGTGACAGTATGTTTACTGGATTAGTTTAAAATGTGACTTAATGTAATTTTTTTTTAATTTCAGATACATACATTATCTTGGATCATACTTGCTGCCAGTTTTAATGACATTTGCTTGGGTAGCATCTCTAGGAATTGCTACTAGAAATTTAGTTAATGACCGAGAGGACGGACAAGATGAGGTAAGTTATTCTCTAATTCTGTTTTATTCATTGTTATTAAGATATTAAGGAGGTGGGGTGGGTGAGTTGGCGGGACGATTGGTTTAATGCATGTTTTAATGCTTGCATGTTAGATCACAAGGTCTGTCATTGAGTCAAGTGGTGTGGTTTCGATAAGGAGTATGGTTGCCTGTCCTGCCTTGTGGGTTTTCTCTGGGTCATCCAGTTTCCTCCCACTGCTACAGACCCCAAAGCATATGCGAATTAATGTAATAAAATTGAATCATATATTAGTCTTGAAATGACCTGGTTTGTGTTGAGTGGACATTAAACCCCATTTCTCTCTTTCTCTCTCTGTTAGGGTAATATCAATGAACCAGTTTTTGTGTGCACAGCTGTATGACATAGATACAAAGATATTCCAGACTTGGAAATAATGATTCTGATAGTACCTGATGAAGTAATATTTGATATTTTTTTTCAGGTATTAAGAATAATGGGAATGAAATGTGGATTAAATTGGGTAGCATGGTTTTTATCGACTATGATAATAATGATGATAGTTAGTATTATAATAGCTATCATATTGAAATATAGTACCATCTTCTCGTACTCCAACCTGTTTATTATATTCCTGTATTTACTGGCATTCTGTTTATCATCTACAATGTTATGGTAAGTATATAACATCTACAGTTATAGGTTTATAAGACATCCATATTCTATATTTACATGTACATTTCATGATCCATCTCTTAACATCGTTCGACACAGGATAAAAATGAAGATATAGTAAAATTGTGGTATTGTACATAGAAATACTAGTATAATTATGATACTGTACATAGGAATACTAATATGATTATGATACTGTACATAGGAATACTAGTATAATTATGGTATTGTACATAGGAATACTAATATGATTATGATACTGTACATAGGAATACTAGAATTATGGTACTGTACATAGGAATACTAATATGATTATGATACTGTACATAGGAATACTAGAATTATGGTATTGTACATAGGAATACTAGTATAATTATGGTACTGTACATAGGAATACTAGTATGATTATGGTACTGTACATAGGAATACTAGAATTATGGTATTTTACATAGAAATTCTAGAATTATGATATTGTACATAGGAATACTAGATAATTATGGTACTGTACATATATGTACTAGTAAAATGATGGTATTGTACATAGGAATACTACTATAATTAAGGTACTGTACATAGGAATACTAGAATTATGGAATTTTACATATGAATACTAGTATAATTATGGAATACTAGAATTATTGTATTGTACATAGGAATACTAGAATTATTGTATTGTACATAAAGGAATACTTGTATAATTATGGTATTGTACATAGATATTATTATAGTATTATTTTTATTCTAGCTACATGGTGAGTGCTTTCTTCACAAGAACAACTCTAGCTATATTGACAGTACTAATTATTTATTTCCTCTCCTACCTACCATACATTGTTCTGGTAGCAATGGGACTTCAAATGGAATTCTGGCAAAAAACAGTTGCTGTAAGTATAAATAGTGCTTTTACTCTATATTTGTAAATTGTCAGTGATATCACTTCGGTGGAAGTGGACATTAAATAGAGCCATTTCACACACATATTTGTAAACTGGCAGTCCAAAAAAGAAGTACTTCAGAATGCTCTAGAGCACAGTATTCAAATATGACCAGCAGTGATGAGCTATTGTGAATTCTTTGAAAAAACACGTTTTTACTTTATAATACCACAATAAGGACTGTGCCTTTTGCAGGGTTTTACCGTCAAGATCTAGTCAAATTATCCATTTGGTTGATTTTGCATCTCTGGTGGAAGGCGAACCACTGTTGCTGTTGCAAGTCTTTGCTAATGAAAATAGTCTTTTATGAACTATCACCTGGTCTCATCAACAAATGACTTGTTTGAGATGTCAATCATTATGTTGGGGATCACGTGGCTAAGTGGGTAAGACGCTGGCTCGCTAGTCTGGAGGTCAGGTGTTCGATCCCTGCATTGGCCGAGAAAGTTCATCCAGATTTTCCGACGTGGTTCCCCCTTGTCAGTGATGCAGGACGGAGGGCCTGACAAGGACAGCTGTCTAGTCCTTCGGATGAGACAGAAAACCGAGGTCCCATGTATACATTGGAATGCATGTAAAAGATCCCTTGGCAGTGGAATTTGATATAAGAGTAGGCGATAGTGCCGCTGCCCGGGCAAAATTTCCCTCATAGCACACTGTATGGCGTATGCCCGTCTTCATTAGCCCAGCATAGGGGCAGAACAGTAGGACGTTAAACCCCATTTCATTTCATTTCAATCATTATGTTAAATTCTGCTGGTCACGATTTGATTTTTGCTCCACAACTTCAGCATCAGTCTATGGAAAGAAATCAAAAACTGATTAAATTTGGACAGATTATAGACTCAGTTTACCCATCTAATGCTGTTTGTGTACTACACATATTATAGTATCACTTATGAGCCACAGTGGCTCGGTGAGTAAGATACTGGCTTGCTAACCAGGAGGTCTCTGGTTCGTTCCTGATGATGGGTAGAAAAGTTCCTTTCAATTTTCTGATGTGGCTAGTCGTTCGGATGGTGCTGTTTCCCCTTGTCAGTGGTGCAGGACGGAGGATCTGACAAGGACAGTGTCTAGATGTTCCAATGGTACAAAAAATGATAGGAACCCATGTATACATTGGCGTGCACATGAAATAGCCCTTGACAGTTGGAATTGGAAATAAAAGGTTATAAGATCGCTTTCCGGGAAAAACTTCCGTCATAGCACACTGTATGGCATAGCCTATCTTCATTAGCCCAGTCGGTGTCGAAAAGGACTTTAAACCCCATTTCATTTACCATCAAAAGTTCCGTGACCAATTTCAGTAAACCCGTCTTCATTAGCCCAGTCAGTGCTGAAAAGTAGGATGTTAAACCCTATTTCATTTTATTTAAGTGTTTGTCGAGTACAACAGCGTTTAGTTTTGGTGCCCAGTATTTAGCGTTTCTAGAAGAATTAGGCGATGGTATACAATGGAATAATATAGATCATAGTTTCGTAAAGGGAGATAAGATGACATTTAGTTGGACATGTATTATGATGTTAATTGACAGTCTTATCTATCTTGTGATTGGATGGTATGTTAGAAACGTCAAGCCAGGTAAGAATATATATCATTAAGCTCTTAGGCCATATAAAATTTAAAAAAAATCGTTTTCTCAGATAGTCTTGCATCATTTAACACTATGGAAAATATTTTCATTTGCTGCTAATTCACTATAACCCGGGTATCATTTAATCTTGTGTATCTAACACTAATTTATTTCATATTCGTTTATTATCAAATTTTTGTTTAGAATTTGTAAAAATCGTTTAAAATCACCAAAAGTCATCCAATTTTGATAATGAGTGTCCAATTTACATGCGTTTAATTTCTTGATCACTGTTAAACAATAAATAACCCAATTGATTATTGATGAATAATGATTAATTTGTGAACGGAGGTCAGGAAATTAAATACTTATTAATTACAGGAAGCAGCTGTGTAAAATATTTGTACCTTATTTGTTTTTATTACAGGAAAGTATGGTGTTGCCAAACCATTTTATTTCTTTGTTCAGCCATCATATTGGTTCTTCTGTAAATCTAAGAGTGCATCTTCAAATAAATATTTATCCGATAGTTCAAGTAAAAACCACAACAGTAAGTTTATGTACTAATATTTTATCGTGAATTGTTTCAATGACATTTAGTAATTGAATTGGATATACACAGGTCACAACTCTATGTGATATAATGGGTGTCCATGCTGAAGGAATTCCCACTAAGCGTTGATAGTAGAAACTTGGTTCCACGTGACTTTAGCGATGACAAGAGAACCGTATTTTAAAGCATCAGGATTAAATTCCAACTAACGTTTGTGAACACACCAGTTCGTAATGAATGTACAGGAAACCAAGGCTGTAAGGTAAACAATGAGGTCACATGAGATCGCCTCCTCTAGGGTGTCACCTATAAATTACGCCCCCTTATCTCTAGCAAGGATGCCTATTTCTGAGTGATTTTTCGACTATACCTTTGCTTGAAAAGGCTAAGAGATGAGTTGTTAAAGCATCACTCAATCAGTAATAAGCAGTACATGTAATTATATTGCATAGAATGGTGAGATGTGTATTTTATAGTACGTTGTTTTATTCAAACTTTTTTTATGTCTTTTCTAGTCATCGGTATTAATTAATCTTTCTTGCTGTTCATGTGCAAATATAATTATTAATACATGTATGGAAAAAGAATGAATTTTCATTTAAGAACTACATATGGAATTATTAATGACACGATACATCATTCTATTCAATTTGGTTCTGTATAGTTGTGATATCAAGGGTTAAAGGCTTGATTCATCACTTAGCACCAGTGATGGGATTTTGCCCGTATATTCCGGACTTGTCCAAATCTTTTTTCCAAATGCCCAAAATTGTCCGACCGGGAATATGCCCAATCGGACATCAAGACATGGTGAATAATATTCAAAATTCCGAAATTAATATAGTTTACTGAGTGTATAACTACCACGCAACCAGATTATCGTTGATAATACGCTGGATTGATTAGGTAATTAAGTAATTTTGTAGGAATATTACTGACATAAATTTGAATACCGTACGGGAATTAAATATGAAAAATAACGAGGTGCACCTATTTTTTTTATTACGGACGAAATTGAATATTTTGTTTACATGTGATTTTTGTGTGTGATCTAAAAACTGCCATCTTAAATAATGATAAGAGTTATGTCCCTTTATTTTCAGTAATAATGTCCGACAAGAAAAATTTTGAAATCCCATCACTGCTTAGCACTATAGGAATCACTCGTAAATAACAATATTGTGAAAGTTAAAATCTATAATAGGAATATCAGTCCAAAAATGGTTCAGTTCCGTTTAGTACCGGTATTTGCAAAGTTAGGTTGAATTGAAATTTCATTGATCTATTTATGCTGTTCGCTATTCAATAGGCTTGTCGCCATTGTGTTTGGCACGAACAGAAATAACAGGCGTGTTTAAATTGGAATTCGAGCCAGGAGGTTATCCAGAATTGTTATTTTGATTTTGTTTACTCAATTAAATGTTAAATAATCAATCTGAGTTCTTGAAATACAGATGTGACGTCATCCTTTGATGTTGGAGTACCATTATTTCAAATAATCGTACGGGCAATGTGCCAAGCGTAACTTGGTAAAATATTGAACTCAAGTGACGTATTTCATTGCAAAGCACGTGCAAGTGTCTGTATTTTAAGTTGTTTAATGGTCTCGAGCTTAAGACATTGCGTAATATATAATGTAAAAACATATGTTACAATATATTACTTAATGTCACACTCTCGACCATTAAACAATACATAATAGCATTGTATTAAACTATTGATATTTCAGTGAAAATCCAAATGACACATCAAGCCTTTATTAATTGTTTGACTAAATAATTAATTAGAATATGCAATTTTATTACATGACAAATTATTTATTTGATTATTTTCTCATTCTTTAAGATGCATTTGTTGAGGAAGCATCTGGTGATGAACATGTTGGAATATCAACTCACAACCTGCGTAAAGTTTACAACACAACAACTGCCGTTAATAATCTGAACCTGGAATTTTACGAAGATCATGTCACAGCTCTTTTGGGCCATAATGGAGCAGCTAAAACAACCACAATGTAAGGATGTATACTAAGAAATATGGGAAGGCATTGTAACACTCCTCATTCTTTTTTACATTATCAGCTTCTGTTGATATTTTTTGATAAAAAAGACGAGTAGGAGATTCTCTGCAACATTATTATGACAAAAAAGCTGAGCACAAGTTGGGTTATGGAAGGTTAGGTGGGGGTGGGAGAAGTGAGAGAGAGGACAATACTATACAATTGTAGATGAGGTAAAGAAAACAAATTGCCAGAAGGTTTACGTACCTTTAGAACAAGACAATAATAAGGAATACTGTTATTTTGAATTAGGCTACATTCATTACTATAAAGTACCTTTTCTATTTCATATACCATTTCTAATTCATATACCGTTTCTATTTAATATACATCATTTCTATTTCATATACCATTTCTATTTCATATACATAATTTCTATTTCATATACATAATTTCTATTTCATATACCATTTCTATTTCATATACCATTTCTATTTCATACACCATATGAATTCCTGATGGATGTCAGTGTTTGATGACAATGTCGATGGAGGGTGGTTGGGTGACCGAAAGCATACATGTTAGATCATAAGGCCTGTCATTGAGTCAACTGACCTGGATTCATTTCCTAGCTTGTATGTGACAACCTCGTGGGGTTTTCCGAGTCCTCCGTTTTCCTCCCACTGTTAAAAACCCCTATGCGCAAAAGAATTATCAAAATAAAATTGAACCATATGTTTGTCCCATAAGTGACCTAGTTTGTGTGTGTGAAGGTTAAACTCTCTCTCACACTCTCTCTCTCTCTCTCTCTCTGATTGTAAGTTTATTGTATATTTCAGGAACATGATAACAGGTGTAACAAGACCTACATCAGGACATGTAGAAATATATAACAAATCACCTGTAGATTCAACTGGTACTATTGGTATATGTCCACAACATAATGCTTTATTTGACTAGTAAGTTATACAATTAATCCTTTATTTGACTTAAAGGTTATACAATTATAATCCTTTATTTGACTTATTGTAAGTTATACAATTAAATCACAAGGTCTGTCATTAAGTCCATTGGGGTGGTTTCAACTAACTCCTTGTATGTGACAACCCCGTGGGGTTTTCCAGGTCCTCCGGTTTCTTCCCACTGTTAAAGACCTCTATGCGCAAGCGAATTATTGAAATAAAATTGAACCATATGTTAATTCCGAAATGATATAGTTTGAGTTTTGTAAAGTGGAGTTCAACTCTCTCTCTCTCTTTCTCTCTCTCTCTCTCTCTCTCTCTCTCCAATATGATTAAACATTTGTAACAATTGATTTAAATCTTTATTTCAGTATGACAGCAGTAGAACATATGGAATTTTATGCCAGTGTTAAATCTGGAAATGTTTCAAATGAAGAAATTAAGCGGTAAATATAAATTAATTTGTAATTTTATTTGATTGTATTGATATTGATTATCAGTAGGATAAGCTATACAAAATTATTTTACAATTTCAACCAACTCTTTTTACTATTCACTTTTATAAAATGTGAGTGTTTTAACAGGTATCTGTCAAGAATTAAGAATAAAATGAAATGGAGGTTTAATGTGCTACTTTTCTGCACCGCCAGAATGAAGACAGACATACGACAGACTATATGAGGGAAATTTTGCCTACTTTTATATCAAATTTCAATTTTCATCCGAACGACTAGATATAGCTGTCAATGTTTCAACGAGGGTCGAGTAACTTGTATTCCATATAATTATGAAATGTGTTATTCTTATTCAATTACCAAATGCCGCTTAAATAATTTAGATAGCTGTCCTTGTCAGGCCCTACGCAAAAATCAGTATGATTTAAATTGATCAATCCTGTAATAGTAAGTGCAGGAGGACAAAATCAAGCTAATAGACATTACAAGAAATAAAAACAAATATCAAATCAAGTGAAGGGATTATAGCCATTTGAAGTTTACATTATTTTGCTGTAGGTTATTACAAGATGTTGATCTGTGGCATGTACGTGATATCCCTAGTAAAAAGTTATCTGGTGGAATGCAGAGAAGATTATGTGTGGCCCTGGCCTTCGTTGGAGAATCCACAGCTATTGTACTAGATGAACCAACTAGTGGTGTTGATCCATATGCTAGAAAAAGCATCTGGAACTTGATTTTGAAACAGAAAATGGGTAATGTAAAACATTTTATATCTGTAAGGGAGCTGCAGTGGCTCAGTGAGTAAGATGTTGGCTGGCTAGCCTGGAGTTCCTGGGTTTAATCTCAGTGTTGACTGAGAAAATTACCCCTTGTTGTCAATGGTGCAGGATAGAGGGCCTGGCAATGGTCTGATGTGTGTGCTTTAATTTATAAGATATATCATTGAGTCAAGTGTCTTGGTTTTTAATCCCACACTTGTGACAAGAAATAGGTCGCCTGGGTTTCCTCCGGGTCCTCTAGTTTTCTCACACATCTTAAAGACATCAACATGTACCATATATATATGTTAGTCCCGAAATAACCCTAGTTTAGTCAAGTGGTGTGATTTCGATCCCAAGCTTTTATGAAACAGTTGCAAGCTGTAGGGTCGCCTGTCCAATCTCATGGCTTTTCTCAGGGTCCTCCAGTTTCCTGCCACTGTGAATTGATGAAATAAAGTGGTAACTAATGTTGATCACGAAATTACTATGTAGCTTGTGTCAGTGAACATTGGAACCTATCTCTCTCTCTCCCCCCTCTCTCTCTCACACACACACAACAGCTTGATGCATTGTTTTGTTTTTAGGTCGCACCATCTTGGTATCCACACATCATCTAGATGAAGCTGATCTACTAGGTGATAAAATCGCCATCATGCATACTGGTAATCTGCTGTGTGCTGGTTCACCAGTATTCTTAAAATCATGTATTGGAAGTGGACTGTCTTTAACTATGGAGAAAAATGTTGCCTCACCGGTAAGATATATTGTAACTATTCTACAAGAATAACTCTCTATTTGTGGTAGACAGTGAGAATTTCTGTAAATGATATTAAATACTTGTGCTTGTTTATGTATTTTATTTATTGCATGCATCTGTTGCTTAGTGCAGTGTTAAATTAAACTTTATGATTTATTCTTATTAGCTCAGATATTTTCTCCTTGCTGGTTTTCTCAATATATGTGTCCTTTGCCTTTCGTAGGAAGCAGCATATTATTAAAATGGGTTTTGTTGTACATCAGGGTTTCTGACACACCTTTTGGAACACAATACGTTCTGAGGTAGAAAGTTCATTTTTGGCTTCGGCTAAGCAGAGATAAAGAACTTGATTTATCAATGTTTTGTAACAGAATGAATAATATTCTAATTGATTAAGAGTGATATGAAACATGGGTGGATAGTTTCATTGCATTTTTATAATGACTAAGTTCGATCATAGAGTGTCATCTATTTATTTTGGCTTGTTATTATATTCTGTAGATATATTATCTTTGTTATTATTATTATATTCTGTTAGTATTATTTTTGTTATTATTATTATATTCTGTTGGTATTATTTTGGTTGTTTTTATGTTATTATTTGTGTTATTATATTCTGTTTTTATTTTTGTTATTATATTCTGTTAATATCTTTTGTTATTATTTTGCTGATATTTCAGTCTACCGGTGCAGATGAACCGCAAGGTAGTTTATTGTTTATATATCTTTTTTTCTTTAGTTGTTTGTATCTTGGGAGCCACGGTGGCTCAGTGAGTAAGACGTTGGCTCACTAAACATCCTATGTTTGATTCCGGTGTTTTCCAGCTTTGTTCCCCCTTGTCAGTGTTGCAGAACGGAGGTTTCGTATGCAGATTGGCATGCACATAAAAGAATCCTAGGCAGTTGGAATTCGCAGTTGGAATTACCTCATAGCACACTGTATGGCGTATGCCCCTCTTCATTAGTGACTGTGAAGTCTGAGCCGAGCAAGACGATAAACCCCATCATTAGTTTGCATGTTTTTCATTCAACTAAATTCACTTTGATATATCATAACTTGTTTCTTATTTATTTTAACAAAGCTTAATTACCATCTGATTTTCAGAAATCTTAAATACTATATGACCATATTTTTATGTGTTTGTTTTAGTTATGTGTAAGACCTCCGACGTGACTGAATTTATCCAACAGTATCACCCACAAGCTAGACTAATAGAAGAAGTAGGAACAGAGATGCACTTCAAATTGCCAAAGATATCTACAGAAAATACATCCTGGGCTCAATTCTTTGACGAACTAGACAGACGTCAAGAACAGCTACATGTATCGAGTTATGGTGTATCTGATACAACCCTAGAAGAGGTTAGATTCCGTTACGATAATTATTGTTAAATGTTTTGGTGATAAAAAAACGGATAGCCCTGGGTAGAGAGAGTGGCAACCATACTCCTTTTCGTACAAGTGGGGAATCAAAATCACGCCACTTGACAGGTGTTAAACCATTAGGACACCCCACCCCCACCCCCCACCCCCATCCGCGTGTTTGGAGAAGAAGAAAGAAAATGTGTTATTTACAAATAATATAAATAAAGCGGAATTTAACGTCCTTCTTTTCTGCATCAACTTTATCTTGACGAATCAACCAAACCCATATAAAATTATGTGTTTGCCAACTTTTGATCACAAATTTTTGAATATATATTATGTAGGTGTTCCTAAAAGTAACAACATTAGTTGATAATGGACAGGAAATAAACAGTAGAACTCTACAAGATGATTTCACAGGAAAACGACTTCGATCTGGTACAGAATCAACAGATAGTGAAACAGCATCACAAGGCAGCGCAGGTAGATTTTCTATTATAATATTTACAAATATACTAATAATGATAATAGTATGTACATTTGTGCTAGTATGCATGCATGCTAAAGGACATTACTGGTATGTGCAATGTGTCATTCGTATATTATTGAAATGCACATGTGGGATAATGTCTACATATTTGAAGTTGTTTATAATGTCTGAGGGCTGTATCAATATTTGTTGCTCGAGACCATTTAGCAACAGGGATATATATTCCATTTACAGCAATAAATATTCAGGAAAAAAAAAGGTACATGGTGAGGAAGAAAAGGTACATGTCATAAAAAAAAAATATCTTTTAACTTCAAATATGACAACGGATATTATTTACCGCACTTGGATTAAGGTGGAGTGGGGGGTAGTGTCAACATAAGGCATATAGAGGAAGAAAAGATACATTGAGGAATAATATATACACCCCTCTTAAGCTAGTAATAATTTTATATAAAATGCAGTACTGGAACATAGTAGAGAGAGAGAATGGGGTTTAACGTCCACTCGACACAAACTAGGTCATTTCGGGACTAACATATGGTTTAATTTTATTTCAATAATTCGCTTGCGCGTAGGGGTCTTTAGCAGTGGGAGGAAACCGAAGGACCCGGAGAAAACCCACGAGGTTGGACAGGCGACCCTACTCCTTGCCACGTACAACCGGGGATTCGAAACCACGCCAGTTGACTCAATGACAGACTTCATGATACAGCGCGCGCACGCTAACCATTCAGCCATCCAACCCCCCGGAACATAGTAGAGTCAGAATAATTCTAAGTAATAAAATGACTCTGTTTTCTTCATTATATTAATGAATTTATGTTGTATATACAGTAGAATCATTCCATCCAATGACATTAGAAGGTATCTTCTTTCTCATAAGATCCATTTTTCCCTTTTGCTTAACCTTCCCGTTGTATGTTGTGATGGGAGCAAATTCTTTTGCATAGTTACATATTTTTATTTCTAATATTTTATCCAGGGTTTAGTGGCATATTGATTGTTATTAACTTTAAGATCCCAGGAGATATGGTTTATTTGCCACCATGATACTAATGAATATATTTTATTTATTTATTTATTTATTTATTTATTTTTTTATTTATTTTTATTTATTTATTTATTTATTTATTTATTTATATATTTATTTTTAATTTTATTTTTAATTTTAATTTTAATTTTAATTTATTTTAATTTTATTTATTGAAAGTCTTGAAATGATATAAATTCCCTGTTTACATTTGGATTATGTTTGATAAATAGAATAAAAACATCTAGGATTTGATGATTTCCCGATTTTGAGGAAGAAAGCCAAATGTCATCTCCTGTTTGTGTCTCTGGGACTTCAGACCATGCCATTTAAACTATGAATTTAAAATAACTATTATATTTAATGCAGCATGTTCTCTTATCCTTTTGTTATGTACGATACTTTAATGTGTGACCTGTATCAACAAATTATCCTATGTAAGAAAATGTGATATTTTGCCTATTGAAATGATGTGTGACTCTAGTGACTATGTACTACCCCAGAATGACTTGTATATCTTGTATGAACCTAGTTACACAGTCCTCCCGTCAAAATGCTTTTTTTTTCTATTTACCGGTAACATATTTTTTTCAGTTTGCCTTTCAAACCAGTTTTTCCTCAAACCATGTTCCTTTTCAAATCACAAATATACATTTAACATAATATCCCAAAATCTCCATCCTGTTTTATTAACTTTAACAAATGTTTTTTTTTTATTTAAAGTAGCTAAGTCTCTAACTCAATATCATCCAAAATCTTCGACATTGAAAACACGATTTATTTGTCGGTTTAAATCAACATTGATGTTGTGATCTTAACCGGAAAAGATGGTCTTATTACATTATTGTATGCGTTGCGACCCATTTCTGTCAATTTCTAGGTCCAAAATATTAGCGACTTAGCTCCTTTAAAGTAAGATATGATCTATATTTCCTTGAGGCTGAGGAAATTATTTTAATACTGCATTTACAGGCACTTTCAAGTTTATTTCGAATTAACCAATGTGCATGTAAATGAGTTACCTAATGTAAATTGAGTTAACTAATCTACATATAAATGAGTTAACTAATGTAAATTAAGTGAGGGTTAATGTCTTGCCTTTCTGCACTTTCCAGGCTAATGAAGACAGTATGTCATGTAAATGAGATAATTTATGTAAATGAGTTAACTAATTATGTACATGCAAAATGAGTTAACTAATGTACATGTAAAATGAGTTAATTAATGTACATGCAAACAGATGTATGATATTTTGTGTATTGTATTTTAGATTCCACTCTGTTGTCAATGGGTAAAAATCAACTGAAATCTGGCTTTTCATTAAGCATGCAACAATATGGAGCTCTATTGGTAAAACGATTTCATCATTGTCGACGTGATTGGAGAATGATTGTATCAGCTTTGATATTACCTGTTCTGTTTTTCCTGGCTGGTGTTGGATTCTCTGCCATGAAACCTGATAATCATAACATGCCAAGTAGAATAATGACTCCAGCTTTATATGGTCCTGATACCCACATGTTCTTAAAGTAAGATAAATTTATTGTTTAATGTTTTAACCATCATCATCATCATCATCATCATCATCATCTCTATAGCAGGGTGTTGGGTGGCGGATTGGTTTAATAACATGTGCATGTTAGATCAGAAGGTCTGTCATTGAGACGTTTTGATTCCTGCCTTGTATGTGACAAGGAGTAGGGTTTCCAGGTCTTCTGGTTTCCTCCCACTGATAAAGACCCCCATTCGCAACTAAACTATTGAAATAAAATTGCACCATATGTTAGTCCCAAAATTGCCTAATTTGTGTCGAGTGGATGTTAAACCCCATTTCTCTCTGTCTCTGTAATGGACAGACTTATATTCTAGTTAGAGTTAACACTATAATAGTATTAATGTTGGATTATTTGTGTATTTTGTAGAGACAGTATTCAAAATGCATTCAGTGAGAAATTAACAAGAACTCTGATAGAATCACCAGGAGTTGGTACTACATGTATGAATGGTTTCAGACCCAAGTAAGTAGAGAATTCTATTGATAAATCACGCATGCACATTGTATGGCGTATGTCCACCTTCATTAGCTGTGAGCTGGTGAAGAAAAGTATGATGTTAAACCCCATTTAATTGCATTTCATAATTTCGTGAAAGTTGAATCTATAAAAAAAAGCACCAGAATTGATTTGATTACATTCAGCATTAACAAAGTTTTGGGGAATTGAAATTGTATCCCATCACCAAGATACATTGTATAATCTGATTGATTTCTTCTGTTATTTAGTCATTCGGATAGCACGAAAAACCAAGGTCCCATATACACATTAGCGTGCATATAAAAGATCCCTTGGCAGTTAGAATTTGATGTAAGAGTAGGCCGTAGTGCTGCTGTCCGGGCAAAATTTCCCTCACAACACACTGTATGGGGTATACCCGTCTTCATTAGCTCAATCAGAGCAGAAAAGTAGGACGTTAAATCCCATTTCATTTCTTGGGATATTAGAACAAGAAAAAACATTCTGCTTCAATGTTTTGTAACAGGCCTGATTTCAGTTCACCATATCTTTGATGCTGAATGGAATTGAACCTTTTCTGATATACTTTTTATAGGTTCAACTTTCATGATATTGTAGTTTTCAACGAATTAACAATCCCTTAAATAGTATCAATAATTTCTTGCTTTATGATATATCTTCCCATAGAGTAAATATTACATTCATATGACTTCATTCTTTATCCATGATAAATCACACTATTTCCCTATTGTTTTTTTCCAAGATATTGCATGTTTGTGCCAATTCTTTATCTATTAAAAACTCAATGATAAATGAAACTATTTTCCTATTTCTTTTTTTCAGGGAGTTTACATGTTTATCCCCTGATGAATTAAATCATGTGTTTGTTTCGTCTAATGATACATTACCATCGTGTAAATGTGAGAACTTTAAACAGATATGTGATGGTAAAACGGACGTTCTTCCACCTGGTGAATTGACAATGCAGACATCTGATGTGCTACAGAAACTTGATGGTTATAACGTCAATAATTATCTACTCAACTCCTTCCATGAATTTGTTGAAAAACGGTAAGTTATGGACATCTTTCTTTCTCTAGCTTGAGGTTTACGTCTACTTCCATCGAGGGGGGTATAGCAGTTGTCCCAATATAGTATGTGCAGGGGGACCGCAACACACACAAACAATTACACAAGACAAACCTATTGGCAGGAGGGGATCACATGGCTAAGTGGGTAAGAGGCTGGCTCGCTAGCCTGGAGGTCGGGTGTTCGATCCCTACATTGGCCGAGAAAGTTCATCCAGATTTTCCGGCATGGTTTCCCCTTGTCAGTGATGCAGGACGGAGGGCCTGACAAGGACAGGTGTCAAGACGTTCGGATGGGACGAAAAACCGAGGTCCCGTGTACATATTGGCGTGCACGTAAAAGATCCCTTGGCAGTTGGAATTTGATATAAGAGTAGGCCGTAGCGCTGCTGCCCGGGCAAAATTTCCCTCATAGCACACTGTATGGCGTATGCCCGTCTTCATTAGCCCAGTTTAGGAGCAGAACAGTAGGACGTTAAACCCCATTTATTTCATTTAATTTCCTACTGGCAGGACACAATATACAGACACCACAAAAAACAAACACACATATATCAGATCAAGTGAATGGACCCATGGGCTAGCCATTAGTATCCACTTTTCTGTACAGTCCCGGACCTGTAGTGATTGTACCCTGCCTTTTGGAGAACGCGGGGGATTATTAAAATATGTTTTTCAGTCTGTCCATCACACTTTTTGGAACACAATAACGTTTGGTAAAGATCTTGACTGAGTGCAATGATGAGCATTGTCCCTATAGTGTAAGCAAAATTTGACAATATTAAATACAATACAGTATATGTTAAGTCTTGCTCTTTTCAGGTACTGTTAGTTGATGGTCAATACAATCTGATTAAAATACAGATCTATATTTCGTTTCGTTTTTTTGTCCTTTCAATGGCCTACACTACATGAAGATCTGACAAGTTATAGCGATAGGTCACGTCAGGGGTCAAAAGACCGACTTATGACCCTATGACGTCAGACATTTGATTAACCAATCAGCATTGATGTTACTAGTGGATTACCCACAGTTCCGTGAAAAACACGCCTAAAGCTTGCTGTAACAGACCGTTTCATTGGCTTATCCCCGACACCATTCAGAACACGAGTTAAATAACAACTCTTCCAGATCCAAGTGTAGTAAAGACAAGTAAAACGAAATTTTGAACTATATAACGAAACGAAATAGAATCTGTGTTTTAACTAGATTGTGGTCAATATTAAATCTTTCTCTTCTAGAGGTACTGATAGTTTTTAGACAATAGTAAATATTTCTCTTCTGAATACCAATAGTTGATGGACAATATTAAATCTTTTCTCTTCTGAGGTACCAATAGTTGATGGACAATAGTAAATCTTTCTCTTCTGAATACCAATAGTTGATGGACAATATTAAATCTTTCTCTTCGGAGGTACCAATAGTTGGTAGACAATATTAAATTTTTCTCTTATGAGGTACCAATAGTTGGTAGACAATATTAAATCTTTCCCTTCTGAGGTACCAATAGTTGGTAGACAATAGTAAATCTTTCCCTTCTGAGGTACCAATAGTTGGTAGACAATAGTAAATCTTTCCCTTCTGAGGTACCAATAGTTGGTAGACAATAGTAAATCTTTTCCTTCTGGAGGTACCGGTAGTTGGTGGACAATATGGAACATCCAGTTCAATTTTGTAGTTTCATTCAAATCAACGAAAAAGAAAATATTGATTGTGTTTGTATTTTTATAGATATGGAGGTTGGACATTGGACAAATCTAATGAAGGTGATACAACTGTAACAGTATGGTTTAATAACAAAGGATATCATGCCATGCCATCATTTAGAAACGCCTACAGTAATATGCTACTCAGATCTAAAATATCTGGAAATAAAGCAGACTATGGTGAGTTTTTTGTTCTAATTTTTTTTATAATTATAATATTAGAATATGGGGAGGTCAGTAACACTCTGCTTGGCAAGAGGATAGATTTGTGTAGCTGCTTGATCAAAAACAGATGTTTGTTGAGAGAGTAGACAGATGTTTCAAGTTTCATGACCCTTTTTCAACATGTTGCAGTAGAAAGGGGGAGGTGGAACTTTTCTCTACTTTTCTATGAAGACTGCCTGTAGAAAGGGTCATTAGACCTGAAACGCTATGATTAAATTACCACTTTTTTCTACATAAAGTTTTTTTTATACTTCTATTAAGTGAGGACTATTCCATCTTCTATTGTAATATGTTAGAGACATTGAAATTTTATTGCAGTCAAAGTTTTCTGCTAAATATGGGAAAAATAAAATGATGAATGAAAATTTCATTATTTTGACATTGTATAAGAATGAGAATAATTGTTTTTTTTAATATTTCAGGAATTACCTTATACAATCACCCACTACCATTAACAACTGCTCCACTTACTGCGGAATCTATGTAAGTTACAAAATTAATCTAATAAAAAAACCTTTTGTATTGGATTATAGATAGACCGCAGACCAAATGCATTAGAATTTGATTGTGGTTAACCATTTTTGCCTAAATATTTAATATAATTACAATTCTGTTTTTTGTAAGTTGGAAAGTTCACAAGCTGCGAATTTTTATATTATTATGAACAAATGTTTTTTTTGGTTTTTTTGCAGGGCTGCGAATGCTGCTGATAGTGGAATAGCTATAGTAGTTTTAATGGCCTTCTCCTTTATACCAAGTGCTTTAATCTTGTTATCTATTGCCGAGAGATTAAACAGCGAGAAACAGATACAGTCAATTAGTGGTGTGGGACCATGCGTTTATTGGTTAGCTGCTTTTACATGGGATATGGTAAGTTGATGTGTTGGCCGAGAGAGAGATGATTAGGATTTTCTGGCGTTGTTCTCCCGTGTCAGTGATGCAGCACAGAGGGCCTGGCAAGGGACAACGTATAGTCATTTGGATTCAATGAAAAACCGAGGTCCTGTGTATACATTGGCTTGCACGTAAAAGAACCTTTGGCAGTTAAAATTAAAAACAAGTGTAGGCCATTGTGCTGCTATCCGGTCAAAATATCCCTCATAGCACACTGTATATTGTATACCCATCTTCATTAGCCCAGTTGGAGCAGAACAGTAGGATGTTAAACCTTATTTCATTTCAATTCTCTCATGACATGATGTAAATTGTGGACATGTCTCTTTAAATAGATAAAATGTGAGCTAGAAAAAAATGACCCATCGAATTGACATTCATAGACTTTCAGATCATTCAGATTGCACAATGAAACCAGGTTCACCCACATACTTCACATATGTGTTAAAGAACCCTTGAGTTGCTAGAAATGGATAAAATTTTCCTCATAGCACACTAAATGACATATTCCTAGCTTTATTAGCCCAAATCATGCCGAAAAGTAAACCCCATTTCATTTATTCCACTTTTTATCTTTTGAAAAAATAAGTAGAAATTTTGAAGATTGATTTTGATATTTGACGTAAAAGAATAATTTTGATATTTGATGTAACAGAATAATTTGGATATTTGAAGTACTAGAATAATTTTGATATCTGAAGTAATATATAAGTGAGAGAGAGAGAAATGGGGTTTAACGTCCACTCGACACAAACTAGGTCATTTGGGGACTAACATATGGTTTAAGTTTTATTTCAATAATTCGCTTGCGCGTAGGGGTTTTTAGCAGTGGGAGGAAACTGGAGGACCCAGAGAGGCTACCCTACTCCTTGTCACGTACAACCGGGGAATCAAAAACCCGCCAGTTGACTCAATGACAGACTGCATGATACAGCGTGCTCGTGCTGACCATTTGGCCATCCAACCCCCCTAATATATAAGTGTGTTTTATCGTAATTTATCTATGATATTTGGAGTAATATATTCGTGTACTTTATTGTAGTTTATCTATATGATATCTGTTGGTTTGGCTGTAGCCATTGTTGCTATAATACATCACGCAACCGAACATCCAGATGCCTTGTATATCAGAAGTAACCTTGGTGCTTTTGCAGTTCTACTCTCTTTATTCGGGTAAGTTCATTTCTTCTTAAATGTAGTCATTGTTTTTCTATATTTGTTTGGTGGGCTAGCAAAAGCTCTCCTTAATTTGCAAAATGTCAGCAGTACTTACAGAGTACAAGATTTAGAGTTATATAGCCAGGACTTCATTCTAAGCAACAGAAATAAAATGGGATTTAATGTCCTACTGTTCTCCTCCAACTGAGATAGTGAAGACGGGGAATTTTGCCCGGACAGCAATGCTATGGCCTACTCTTATTTCAAATTCCAACTACCTAGGGTTCTTTTACGTGCACACCAATGTGTACAAAGGGGCTTGTTTTTTTGTATCATCCGATAGACTATACTAAGCTAAATAAAGAGTTGCACAATTAAACAGTGACTTTGACCATTTGTCAGTGATATAAAATAAAATATGGAAATTATGGGGAGCGATTGCTTGACAAAACACTTTCCTGAATCGAGATTCTGAGGTTCAAGAAATGATGTTACTATAAAAGAAAAGATATTGATATGTATTTAAATTTATGCAACTCCACAGGTAAATTATTTTTATAACTTATTAATAGATAGGATTAAGTATAGAATTTTATCATTTATGCCTTCACCCCCCCCCCCCCCCAAAATAATAATATACCGGGTTTCATACTTTTTTATGATTTTTATTTTGTAGATGGGCTATAATACCAATAATGTATTCAACATTACGATTATTTAAGAGTGGATCCGCAGCATATCTTGTGTTATTCTGTATTAACATGTTTATAGGAACAATAACAGTTGTAACCGTTCTTTGTCTCTTCCTCTTCAAGGACCAATATGTAAGTTTATGTTCTTTTATATTTTGACCTTTGATGATAAAAAAGAATATCTTAAAGTAATATTTCCCAACCTAGGGAAATTCCAGCAGTTTTAAAAGTCCTAAATGGATAATTAAATTTTGTCTTAAATACGAGATATAAGGATCCCATATTTTCATGGCAAGATAATATCATCAATATCGATTGCAGTGGACTAATATTGAATTCTAATTTGTCTTATTAATTTTGAATATTATGGAAAATGTTTAGTTTCATGTTTAGCTCCTTTGAGATTATCAGTCAGGGGAAATTCCACAAAGTTTTAAAAGTGTTTGAAATAGATAATTTATATTTTTATTACAGGCAGTTGAACGGGCACTTGAGGTAGTGAAACATGTATTCCTGATCTTCCCACAATATTGTTTATGTCAAGGTCTCATTGATCTAACTACCAATACCGTCAAGTATAATATCTTCTTACGATTTGGTGATGATGTTTATAAAGACCCATTTAGTTTGGAAATGCTAGGGTATAATATGATTGCTCTCGCTCTGCAAGGAATCGTCTTCTTCATACTGACATTGGTCATTGAAATCAAACGCAACACATCAGACAGGTAATCAATTTCTTTCCTGGTTATCTGAATTACACCACAGTGGCGCTGATCAGTGAGCAAGATGTTGGCTCAGGAGGTCGATCCATGTGTCAGTCGAGAAAATTCTCTGGATTTTCCAGCCAGACTTCCCTCGTCATTGGTGCAGGACTTGGGAATCGGCAAGGAACATCATCTAGTCTTTCGAATGTGACGAAAATCCAAGGTCCAGCGGGCAGTTTCCCCCCTCATATTGCACAGTTGGAACTGATTAAAACTAATTTAACAAGATAAACAAATTCTTCAATGTATTCTTTAATTGAGGGTAGCACTTGAACGAGGGACACATAGAAATGTTGATCTGAGTAGCTGAAATCATTATCGTTAGTTAGATTATAGAAACCAGGGCTTGCCACGAGACGCGAGTAATTACTCGCGCGCACGCTACGCTCGCGTAAAACCAAATTTACATGAGTGATTAAGTACTCGCGCAAATATAAAAAATAATTTAATCAGAAATAATTGAATATCGTAATATAAAAAGCCGTAAACAATTCGTATGCCTTCATATCGATGCACTATTGCGCACGCGGCGTGTCTTTCCAGTGCCAACTGTTGTTACTAAAAATACTTTGAGACGCGTACTGCCAGGCGGTTTTTAAGCGGATGTCCTTTGCCGTGTCTGGATAATCAAACATTGAGCGGATGTTGTCGTTTCTATTAATAGCAATTCTTTCGATCCCGCATCTTTTCTGCAAATTGATGGGATTGAAATTGTTTTGCCTGTTCTTTTACCTTTCTAAGCTTTACCTGAATCCCCTCAGCACGCCAACGATGGCAAAGGGAAGCCCAGTTTCTCTTGCAACGTTCTTGTCATGGGAAGACGATATACAGATATTTTTTTTTGCCAAGGAAATAAAAGAGTATGCATTGTCATTGTGTGTGAAACAGCTTTATTCAACGTCCGCTTCCACCGAAGTGACAAGAGCATTGCCATTAGGCTCATGAAATTTAAATGGCTACTCACGCACATCATTCTGCATGAGTAAATATATGTACTCGCCTCACTCGCGCAAGTCTATATTTGCGTGAGTAGTCATCTACTCGCCTCCAATTTGCTTGTGGCAAGCCCTGGAAACTGGTCAAGCTTCTACTTTTAACAAATTGCTTTGAGTAAAAAACTTACATATTGTTGTTAAAATGATTATTAGCATGGTATGACTATAGTAGATTATTGCATAGTATGACTGTAGTAGATTATTACATGATATGACCATAAACATTGATTATTGAAATGAAATGGGGTTTAACGTCCTACTGTTCTGCTCCTATACTGGGCTAATGAAGACGGGCATACGCCATACAGTGTGCTATGAGGGAAATTTTGCCCGAGCAGCGGCACTATCGCCTAATCTTATATCGAATTCCAACTGCCAAGGGATCTTTTACGTGCATTCTAATGTATACATGGGACCTCGGTTTTTCGTCTCATCCGAAGGACTAGACAGCTGTCCTTGTCAGGCCCTCCGTTCTGCACCACTGACAAGGGGAAACCACGTCGGAAAATCAGGATGAACTTTCTCGGCCAATGCAGGGATCAAACACCCGACCTCCAGGCTAGCGAGCAAGCGTCTTAACCACCTAGCCACCGTGGCTCCCTTGATTATTGAATGGTATGACTGTAGTAGATTATTGCATAGTATGACTATAGATGATTATCATATGATATGACCATAAACATTGATTATTGCATGATATGACTATAAACAATGATTATTACATGGTATAACTATAAACATAGGTTATTGCACGGTGTGACTATAGCTGATATTACATAGTGTGACTTTAAACTTGAGTCATTGCATGGTATGACTATAGTTGATTATTACATGGTATGATAATAGACATTAATTATTACATGGTATGACTATAAACATGGGTTATTGCATGGTATGACTATAGAAGATTATAACATGATGTGACTTTAAACATGACTATAGAAGTATTATATTATATTTCAGAGTACCACGTAGTATGTTATCAGATTATACTAAAGAAGAAGATGTTGACATGGAAGCTAGAAGAATACAACAAGAACATGATGATGTCCTAGTAGTTAATAAACTATCCAAGGTACACACTTATTCCTGTCAATGGCCATTACTCTTCACAGATTTTAATGTTTAAAAATGGTTCAATTATGTTTGTTATCTCTAAAGATATCTTGAATTTAAAATTCCCGCAACATTCAGCATATTTTGCAGGTGATATTAACAAACCACCACCATCCAAACCAACAATTTGACTGAAATGTTCAGCATATTCCATTTATATCCACTAGTTTTTAACTATTATAGTGAGAACTGCCAGCTCTTTATCTAATCTCCCATAATGTATCTTTTAATAAAGTCTGTTCTTAAATTTTTGCAGGTATTCAGAAGTGGATTCAGAAAGATTCTAGCTGTTGACAATGTCAGTTTTGGTGTACACAGAGGAGAGGTTTGTTTTTCTTAATGTTTTTATTTTAAGAAACATGATTTATATATCCTGAAGTGATATTTTAAAAAAAAAAAAAAATTATATATCTAAATGTATATCGATCACCAGGCGCATTTGTTGGAGGTTGAGGGTAACAACTGAATCGTGGATTGGCCTTATATTTGTATATATTATTGCTATTTAATTTCCTTTGGAGTTTGGAATTCCTCTCCTGACTAAAATTATTTCCATTAGATTTTAAATTCCTTCCCAGCAGGGAGCCAACTGATTCCTGTTTAAGAATAACTGATTTAGCTTCACTGTATCACATTTGGATTTAAAACAGATTATACATAATTGAGAATGAATTGGGTTTTTTTTTTCAGTGTTTTGGTTTATTGGGTATAAATGGAGCAGGTAAAACCACGACATTCCGTATGTTAACAGGTGATCTAAATCCATCTAAAGGTTTCGCATTACTCAACGGAGAAAGGTAACATTAATTACTTCCTTCCACTATAGTTTAGTTTGAATAAATCTCCAAGTTATGGGGTTTAATGTCCTACTTTTCTGTGGGTCGTCCGGTTTCCTCCCACTGCTAAAGACCCCTACTAGCTAACAAATTATTGAAATAAAAATTGAACCATGTGTTAGTCCCGAAATGACCTAGTTTGTGTCGAGTGGACGTTAAACCCCATTTCTCTCTCTCTTTCTCTCTCCCTACTTTTCTGCACCTACTAGTCCCGAAATGACCTAGTTTGTGTTGAGTGGATGTTAAACCCTATTTCTCTCTCTCTCTCCATGTATTACCAATAAGGAGGATAATGACTTCTAATGATCAATTCACAGACATTGCTGTCTCCCAAAAATTATTTGAAATATGCATATCTTCGATTATTTGGCTAAAACGTCTACAAATTATTATTGGACAGGAGAGATGGGTGATAATCAATTCTGCTGATACACAACCTGAATTGATTGTTTTCTTTTGAATTGTGTTTTTAATTATTTATTTGATGAAAAACCTAGGTCTGTGTACACATTGGCGTGCACGTAAAAGATTCATTGACAGTTGGATTCAAAATAAGAATAGGCCGTAGAGCCACTGTCCAATCAAAATTTCCCTTATAGCACTTTGAATGACGGATGCCCGTCTCTGTCAGTCCAGTCGGTGCAGAAAAGTAGGATGTTAAACCCCATTTCCTTTTCATATTAAGTGTGTTTTATTTGATTGATATTTTATGTTATACGTGTTTTATTAATTTCGTATTTGTTTATAATGTGTTATATTTATTTGGTATTTGTTTATAATGTGTTATATTTTTTTGGTATTTGTTTATAATGTGTTATATTTATTTGGTATTTGTTTATAATGTGTTATATTTATTTGGTATTTGTGTATAATGTGTTATATTTATTTGACCTTTGAATTAAATGTATTTGGTATCTGTATTAAATGTGTTTCATTTATTTGATATTTATATTAATTGTATTTTATTTATTTGATATTTATATTAAACAGTTTATGTGGAAGTAATAGTAAAGATAGTGTTAAACGTGATATTGGTTATTGTCCACAATATGGTGGTTTAGATGATTACCTTACTGCTGAAGAACTTCTATTATGTTACGCTAGACTTAAAGGTTTATCAGGACAGTTGGCTAGTAATGTAAGTAATATTGTATCACACAGTGAAAATTTTTAGTAAGTTTATAGGGGGGGGGGGGTAGATGGCTGAATGGTTAGCATGAGCGTGCTGTATCATAGGGTCTGTCATTGAGTTAACTGGACTAGTTTTAATACCCCGGTTGTACGTGACAAAGAGTTGGGTTGCCTGACCAGTCTCATGGTTTTTCTCGGAGTCCTCAGGTTTCCTCCCACTGCTAAAGACCCCAACGCGCATGTGAATTATTGAAATAAAATTGAACCATATGTTAGCCCCTGGTATGTGTCAAGTGGACGTTAAACCCCATTTCTCTCTTTCTCTCTCTAGTAATTATTACACATGCACAGAGCATGTTACCAACCAGGGTAATGAAATGAAATGGGGTTTAACTTCCTAGTCTGCTTCTACTAGACTACTGAAGACAGGCATGTCATGCAGTGTGCTATGAGAAACATTTTGCCTGAACAGCGGCACTATGACCTACTCTTATTTTGAATTTCAACTGTCAAGGGTTCTTTTACGTGCATACCAATGTGTGCAAGGGACCTCGTCAGGAGCTCTGTCCAACACCACTGACAAGGGGGAACCAAGCCGGTAAATCCCAATGAAATTTTTTGGCCAACCAAGGAATCAAACACAGGACGTCCAGGTTAGCGTGCTTTGACGTTAAACCTGCATTTCATTTCATTCCATTTGGTCTTACTGTGTTGAAATAATACACTATCGGTTATATCATGACACTGGCTATATCTATGGAGGTAAAATTTTAAATGTAGGCAGACTGTCACCACACAAAAAAAATATATACTCCTAAAATCTAAAGAAATCGACAAATTTATATTTTTGAGCCAGATCAAAGAGAAAATGAAATTTTAAATGCTAATGTTAGCTATTGGTTAATGAAAGATATAATAATTATTTCAGGCTGTGAAGGATTTGATATCAAGATTAGGTTTACGAGAATATTGCAATAAACCTATCAAAACTTGCAGTGGTGGAACTAAACGTAAAGTATCACTAGCTGTAGCTATGATTGGTGAGCCGGACATACTCGTGTTGGTAAGTTTATTTGTTAATAATCTTATGTATTTGGGTGGCCACACCATACATAAACAGTTACACAAGACAAACCTACAGACAGGACACATTATACACAGATACAACAAACAATAATATCAGGTGAATATAGCCTGAGATGAAGTTATGACTGTTTGAAGATGTAGTATAGATGGTTTATTATTGTAGCAACAGTATTTTACAAAGTCTAAATTATACATTTTATTGTTAAATTTACCGCCTTCTAAGCCATTTAAATCTCGACCATCAGATGTTCTAGAGACTTGCTTATAGCTTCTCATGTGAATAAATGTCTAAATAATAGTTTATGTAGCATTTGGAGCCAAAATAAAAACCTGAAAATGGCAGATTTAGCTCTTACATACTACATCTTTAATGTTCTTTCTCAATGTTGTTCAATATATCGGGACAAGTTAACAAAAAAGAAATATCAACTTTTAATAAGTGATGATTTTGTTTATACTACAGGGGAACCTCTTGACGTCTATACTAATATTTGTGACTGTTGTTTACCTGTTTGTCTCTCTGTTCAGAGTTGGCAGCTACACTAGGGCTGTCCTGAGGCTGAAATTTGGTGTATAAGGGTAGCTCGGACCGAGGAGTAACATAGGTTACGTAGCGTTGGCCTACCGCTTCCAGTTTCAGAGTTCCTGGCTAATAAGACTGATAAAGAGAAAATGATCATGTTGTTTCAGCACCATTGTCTATAAAACTGATGTTGATTTTTGTTTTACAGGATGAACCTACTACTGGTATGGATCCTGCTACTCGACGTTTGGCATGGAAGACAATATCCAAGGCAACCAGATCAGGACAAGCTGTTGTTCTTACATCACACAGGTATGTAATACATTGTCTTAAATACAACTCTAGTTTCAAAATCAAACTTTCTTCTTTAAAATCTGATTCAATCCAAGCCAGGAGGTTGACTAGCATTGGTATATTGATTTTTTTTTTTTATTAAATGTTAAAGATACATTATTGAAGATTAGATAAAGAGGGTGCAATTCTCTCTATAATAATAAAAAACTAGATGATGTAAATGGAATATGCTGATATTTTAATGGGTTTTGCTTCACTCTAAGCCAAGAAAACCTTATTTTAAAATCTCTTTAGCCTTGATTGTCATTGTTACCACTGTCCTGATAACTAACAAAGTCTCGAATAGCCATTTTTGGCATTTAATCATCAACGGACGTTGCTAAACCTGTCTATTGCAGGTCTTTCTTTAGGCCTGAAATGTTATCTAAATTATTAATTAGACATTAATTAACCTATCCAGACTATAATCAACTCTAGATGGCAATTGGCAACGCTAGCCTGCGATCTTTAGTAGATTGTGAGTCGATTTGCTGCATAAATTTACTTCACGATTTAACGATTAAATGGATAATCGAGACTATGCTGTTTATCGTACTGACTTTAGTAATGATGATCAAGGCTAGGCAGAAATTCAGTCGCTTTGTTGTCGGTTCATAGTGGATCAGTTTGAATGAAATTTTCAGCAAATTGCCTTTACATTATCTGGTTTTTAACTATTATAGTGAGAACTGCCAACTCGTTATCGAATCTTCCATAATGTATCTTTAAATAATCAATCTGAGTACATAATTAGCATGGATTAAGACGTGAGACATATGATAATTTAGTGTAAAATACAATGATGAATCATTATGTTAAGTGAGTATATTATAAATATTTGCTATTTTATGATTTTAGTATGGATGAATGTGATCATCTGTGTGCACGGTTAGCTATCATGGTTAACGGTCAATTAAAATGTCTAGGAAGTCCACAACATTTGAAAAACAAGTAAGTCTATCATTTGTTTATATTATTCTGATTTTATTGTTGCTATTTTAATAACATGAAAAGGGGTTGTAATGTCCTAATAAAATCTGGCGTACACCATGCTGTGGGCCATGAGGAAAAATGGTTTAATTGTGTGCACTTTAGGTCATATGGTCTGTCGTTGAGTAAAGTGGCATGGTTGCAATACCAAGCTTGTACATGACAAGGAGTAGAGTTGCCTGCCCAACCCTGTATGTTTTCTTTAGGTCCTCTGGTTTCCTCCCAATGCTAAAGACCGTAGCAGCATATGTTAGTCCCAAAATGACCTTTTCATGTTGAATGACGCTAAACCCCATTTCTCTCTCTGTCACATTTTTATGGATTTTTACTGTCCAAGGTATCTGATTAAAAAGAAATGAAATGTGGTTTAACGTCCTACTTTTCTGCACCGACTGGGCTAATGAAGACAGACATATGCTGTGCAGTGTGCTTTGAGGGAAATTACCACCTACTGCCAAGGGTTCTTTTTACGTGCACGCCAATGTGTACACAGGACCTAATACTAGACAGCTGTCCTTGTCAGGCCCTTCGTCCTGCACCACTGACAAGGGGGAACCCTGCCAAAAAAAATATGCAGAGGAACCTTCATGGCCAACACCGGAAGGGAACACGATACCTCCAGGCTAGCGAGCAAGATTTTACTCACTGAGCCACCACGGCTCCAAATAAAATACATTAATATGTAATTTTACATTAACGATATATATTTTATTTTCAAGGTTTGGTGATGGTTATATTGTAACGATACGTTTTTCGAGTCTGTCAAGCAACAAGCGAGCTCTAGAAGGAGAATTTATTTCAAGATTCCCCAACACTGTTGTAAAGGTTGGTAGAAAAACTAAACATATTATATCAATTTATTAGGTCATAGGAAAATCATTGAAAATCCTGTTGGGTTTGATTGTATAATCTGTGCTTTATACAACTTGTAATACAAGTTACATAATGAGACATTATTAGAATCAAGAAAGAAGCAGCCATAGTGCTTCAGTGGACACGGCGTTGGCTGAATAACCAGGAGGACTTGGATAGACCCTGGTGTTGACCGACAAAGTTCCTTTGGATTTTCGGCACAATTTCCCATTGCCAGTGGGTAATACGAAGGAGGGCATTGCAAGGAACTGTCTAAAGTCGTTCGTGCACATAAAAGAACCCTAAGTAGTTGAAATTCGACGAAGAGTAGGCAGAAACACGCTGTCCACACCCAATTGTCCTCATAGCACAATGCATGGCTTATAAATGAAATGAAATGGGGTTTAGTGTCCTTCTGTGCTCCGACTGGGCTAATGAAGATGGACATATACCATACAGTGTGCTATGAGAACAATTTTGCCCGAACAGCAGCGCTATGGCCTACTCTTATATCAAATTCCAACTGCCAAGGGATCTTTTACATGCACACCAATGTGTACACAGGACCTCGATTTTTCATCCCATCCAAACGACTATACATTGTCTTTTGCCAGGCCCTCTGTCCTGCACTATGGACAAGGGGAACCACGCCGGAAAATCCTGATAAACATCTTACTCACTTACCCACCGTGGCTCCCTGCATGACTGATAACTGTATTTACTAGCCTGTTGGTGCGGAAAAGTAGCACATAAAACCCTATTTCATTCCATGCAAGAAAACGCAATAACAAAACACTATATAAAAATTAAAAATGTTTAAAATCATGAAATCCAAATATGCCATGATAAATCAGATTTTTAAAAGTGTAATTTATTAAATTGGATAAAATTTTGGGTTTAAGATTCTTAAAAATGTTTGAATTGTGCCAGAATAATACAGATTTTTGAAAGTATAATTGATTAAATTTGAATAAATGTTTTGACTGGAGATTTATTATAAATATTACAGGAAGAAACACCAGAAGTTGTAGAAGTTAATATTCCACGAGGTTCTGGAAGTGTTGCTAAAATCTTTGATTTATTGGAAGCTACTCAAAATAGTCGTCAAATATTTGATTATTCTATTTCACAAACCACGCTTGATGAGGTTAGTATTTTCTTTCTTTGTATATCCGTAAATATTTCTTTAACCAGGATCACCTAGAGAATTTTGATGTGCTGCAGCAAGACAAATTATTTCTAATCCCTCTCCCCCCCCCCCCCCCCCAATCCCACCAAAACTGGTTTAAGGAATTGGGAGGGTTGGGTGCCCAAAGGGTTTAACGTGGGTGCGTGAAATCACAAGGTCTTTCACTGAGTCACGCAATGTGGTTTCGATTCCTCGCTTGTTCGTGACAAGGAGTAAGGTCACCTGTCTAACCTGTTGGGTTCTCTCAAGGTGCTTCAGTTTCCTCCCACTGCTAAAGATCACTACTCACAAGCCAATATTGCAATCAAATTGAGCCATATGTTAGTCCAGAAATGACCTAGTTTATGTGGAGTGCACATTAAACTCCATCTCTCTCTCAGTTGAAGGAATTAAGATCAATACAGAGGATTTCGAACTTTACCCCTGCATAATATCGAGGATAAATAGATATTTGTAGAGCCCTTGACACAGGTGGGAATTTAAATCCCACGACTCGGACTCAAGTTCAACTTAAGTCACATCAATAACCTGACTTGCGATTCGACTTGAAATATTTATTGCGACTCGAGACTTGCGGCTTAAAAGAGCTTAAGACCTTGAGTCATGGCGAGGGGGCATAACTCTAACTTACCTTATTCGCCATGACTCATTTGATGAACTTGAGACTTTTACAGAACTCGGGCTTTGTGAAAACTTGGTACTTGACTCAACTCGGTACTAAAGTCAGCGATTTGGGACTCAACTCGGACTCAACATGTGCTGTCATGTTCCCACCTGGCCCTTGATGATTTTAAATTCAAAGACAAGTAGGCAGAAGAAATGCTGCTGTCCTGTCAAAATGTCCTGCATGCTCCTCTTGCTGCAGAAAACTAGAATGTTAAACCCCATTTCATTTCATTTTTTCTTTTCTAAGGTGTTTGTGAATTTTGCCAAGGATCAAACGGACAGTAATAATGATGAAGATTCATCTAGCAGTGGCTCATCAGCTGAAGGATCCAGTAAATCAGGAAAGTTTCTGAATACAGTTGATTATGCTTATACTAATCCTGGCTATGGTGGAATTCCTAGTTTGAATGGATCCAAGGAGAAAATGTTCATGGAAGGGTATATGGAATCTGGCGACATGTATTCTACCAAAATGTAGACTAATAAAAACTTACTATAATAGAATCACATTTTTGTGATCACTTTTTTTTTGCACTGTGATAATTACCAGAACAAATAATATAGTACTTAATATTTACTTAGTTAAATTGATTTGTTTTAAATCAGAAGACTGATAATAGTGCTGGGCATAGTATACTAAAACAAGTAACAGGGTATGATGAACCAGGAACTCGGCATCAAGTCATCACTAGCATCTTGCAATTGTGACAGCAAATCAAAAACCAGTGCTCAATTGTCCAAGGAACATGGATGTCGATCATACTTGAGTTGACAGAGCCTTAGGGGGTTTTTTTTTTGAAGAGAATTGCCCGCAAAGTGCTTGGAACCCAGTTCCTGGTCGTAATGGCACATGTTGTACTTAGATTACAACTGTTATATTATTCGATTGTGCATAGTTTTGTGATAATTTTTATTAAGAAATTTATACATGCTTGTCTTCCACAATATATTTTTTTACATTATAAAATAAAATGAATAAATCCATACTAACTTTACATTAATTTTTATATTTGCCAGTACTAACAAGAAAAAAGCCTTTATTTTGTTTTTATAAAAATTAAGATTGAGGGTAAAAAAAACAAGGATCAAATGCTACACTCAAAGTTTGATGCTAGTTTAGGGTAACAATATTATTTCACAACTCAATTTTTTTTTAATAAAAAAAAAAATAATAAGACAAAAAAAAGCAGAAAATTGAAATTCTTTTTTTTTCATACTTATAATATTCGTTTTATACATGTACTATTTTGATTTATTATAATTATAAATTTATAAATGTTTTAGTGATATATTAAAAGTCGCTGATCATCATTTGAGGGATTTTGAATCACGTTAGAAAATAGTTCATATATATGTGATATATTATAAAATTTGCAACATTCGTTATCACTGCAGAGATATAAACAAGCTAGCACAACTAACCTATTGGGGAAGATCTGATTTAATCCAAGCTATTTTGGCTTTGTTTTCTTAATTTTGAGTGCATTATGCTTAGATATTTTCCCCAAAATGGCATATGATGGTTAGTAACTTCAATATACATGTATGTTTTTTTCATAATAGAAAATGTTTATGTAACAAACCACCATGACTTATATGCTGAAACATGATTTTTTATGTGGTATTAATATTTAACCATTGTCTCAGAAAGCTATTGATTTGAAGAGAAAAGAATTAAAAGAGGTTTTTGTACTGTAGTCTAATTTTTATAAGTTTAGTGCTATTCTTCATTAGTGTACATTAATGAATATAATTTTGTCCATCAGATGAGATATTGTTAGAATTCTTTGTTTGTTTTTATTTTCTTAATATAAACTATAGAACATGTGAGTCTAAAATTAATTTGACGTGCTTGTAAAAAAAAACCTTGACAGTTGCAAGTCAATAAAAGAGTAGGGAAAACCCAATGTCCCAGCAAAATTAACCTTTGTATTGTTAAACATTGCCAAAAATTAGATTATTTTGGGCCTGAAATGACCGATGTGTTGGTGATACATTAAACCTAATTTTGGGATTAAAATGACAGCCAGGCAACAGCATTAACAATGTGACTATTGAACAAAATTTAAACACAATTTGAAATTAAATTGACCGACGTATAGCGACATTAAACCCCATTCCATTTAGTTCATTCAACTTTTATTTGAATGCTTTGAATGCAACAGTATATAAATATGTTGTTGTTCTTGGTGTTTAATGTCCGCTTCCACGAGGGTGATATCGCAGGTTGTCTCATTTTCATTTTTATTATCTTCCCACACGCGCAAGGGGCTCTCTTGTGGGAGTAAATCCATGAGGTTGAGAAGGCGCCCCTATCTCTATGCCACATACGCTCACACCAGGTATAGAAACCACGACCGCAAGCCAGAGGTGACCGGCCAGCTGGAGCTTGAAGTGCGACACTCTAGACCACTTGGCCATCCTAACCCTCAAAATTATATTGTATTTTGTCCACTCTTTTATAGTGTCTGTACCCGTGAACATACGAGAATCAATGCAATACTACTATTATAATATGACCCTTGTATATTACATCTTTATATATTATCGATATATTACGCTTATTTTCTTATAATATTTTTACATTATTTGAATAAACATTTTTAGAAATATCTCTTGATCATTTTCCCACGTCATAAAAATACACCCTGAGACTTTTAAAGAAGAATGATAGCAATTTTCCCCACGGACATAAAGAGTAAGTACAGGAGGACTGCACTACACGCAAAACAAAACTGATAAGACAAACCTGCGGACAAGATAAATTACATATAGATACTGCAAGAAATAAACAACAAATATCAAAGCAACTAAAAGGATCCTGGAGTCAGCCATAAGGGTCCAATGCGCAGTACAGTCCCGAGCCTGTAATGATACTGACTTCACCCCGAATGAAAAACAGAATTTTGAATTATGTAGTATTCATTTATGATAACCGTAAGACCTGCTGAGAGCAAAGTATTGGTCACAAGTATTCGTTAAATTCCTCAATAGATTTCTTGGACTCCTAAATTAAAAGTTACAATGCCAGACGCTGTCCAGAACATAATTCTTTTCTCCTGCAAAGAGTTGCCACCCTTTTTGATCTCACCCCACTCTATTCATGACATGAATGTGCATAAATTAGCAGAACTATTGTCTCGCAGCTTCTAATTTTATAAATTATCGGAAATCTCCCAGGCCTCACACCAAAACTGAGATTGTCTCCACCTTGGAGCTTATGCTTCTCAAACTCATGAACTCGCTCCTGAATAGACAGTGGTGTAAAGCTAAAAATGAAGTGAGCCAACTCCATCTTGAAAGAGCTACTTTGACATCGCTCAAGTATTGTCTTTATAAAAGATGGGTTGCCAGGCTTCAAAACATTCACATGAGCAAAGTTATCTAAGCACATTCGATTAGGATAAAGCATAGATAGAAAGTTGGAGCGAGTCGGCGCTTAACAGGCTACATTTCTTGTTTATCTGTACATCAGTAGGTGCCATTCTCTCCTTGAACGCAATGAACGTGCTGAATTTGACCAAAATCCAATAAGAATCCCAGCCCCTTGAAGTTGTTAGTTAGTTGTATTTTACGTCCGCTTCCACCGAGGTGATATCGCAGTTGAGCATGCTGCAATATATAGGGCCTGTATAGGTACCATCATCCAGTTATTGAAATGATTGATGATTTCAAACTTGAACAGAATCTGCAAGTAACTGCAACCTGTAGAATATTTACAGACAACATATTAAAACCAAAATCAATAAGGAATAAGTATGCCAAGTTCCAAGATGGTCCATTCAGAATTACGGCCTGAAAGGCAATACACACCAAAATATGACCAGTCTTTGCGCTTCCAACCAGTTTGTCAAACAACATGGTGCAATCAAAAAACCCTGTCCTTTCGTGAAGTCGGAGGTACTAAACTTGGGAAGTGGTTGTGGAATGCCCCCAGCAGGCCTATGTCACTGCACCGCTTGAGCTGCCCTTATACCCAGGGCCGGTTTTTGGCACATTTGACCAGTTTTCCAAATTGGGCCCCGCACTAGAATGGGGCCCAGAGCTCACCAGGTGTGGTCCCAGGTGCGGCTATTTTTTCACACACTGCAGCTGCAATGTATTCATATCCTGTAACTTTAGTCGCACTAGAAAGGGGCCCAGAGCTCACCAGGTGTGGCCCCAGGTGCGGCTATTTTTTCATACACTGCAGCTGCAATGTATTCATATCCTGTAACTTCAGGCTTCACAAATTGGACCCCACATTTTCTACAACCAGCCCAGCTTACACCACAAAATTCAGCCTCGGGGCAGCCCCATAGTGTAAACAGACAGACTTATGAAAGTCACAAAAAAATGCTGAATTTAGATGACGAGGAT